AAACCCTAAAACCCTAAAACCCTAAAACCCTAAAACCCTAAAGCCCTAAAACCCTAAAACCCTAAACCCTGAAAGACCTAACAAAGCCTAACAATCTCCTCTCGGACCAACGTGCGCGTCTGCGACCAAAACCCATTATACAGGCTTTGCTCATACGCAGCCGCAGCTGCTTCCTGTCAAGGGCCTGGCGCGCAGTAAAAAATGCGCAGGTGGGCAGTTGCAATGGCATCAATCAACCGAGCATCACGATAAGCCAGCCCACCCGCCAGCCAGTAAAAAAGAAGTGCTTTCCCACAGAGCCAACAGTGATAGTACGTTGCTGCACATCGGGGCCTTACGGTGCAACTCGTGTAAAAGGCACGTTGCTGGGCCGGTCATTCCCTCGTCTCTGAGTACAAGAAGGTTATGTCGAACGCAAATGTCACTGATGTGCCGCAGCTCCTCGCGTGAAAACACCTTTCCGGTAGGGTTATGCGGGGTGTTTATTACGACCATCTTGGTGCGCGAGGTGATTGACTGTTCCACCTCGACGAAATTGATGGTCCACTCAGTGGACGAGCAGATTGCAATGTCTGCCTTCGCAAGGGTTCGCAGAGGAACGCATTGAATGACGCCCTCAGCAATATGATAGTCGTCCAAATATTTCCGGCAAGGAGCGACGAGCTCAAGCGGGGCGTGTAACTGTCGCATAGATAGTAGCACGACCGATAACGAGGGCGACGGGGCGCCAACTTACTGGTCAAAGTAGGGTCCCAAAAAGATAACTTCATCACCTGGATCCAGAAACGCCATCAATACACTAAGCATTCCTATGCCACGTTAGTCTCAATCGACAGGAAACAGAACATTTCCAATGCTTCGTGGGCTAGTACTATACCTTCGTTGGCCCCTATGGTCACAAGTACCTCGGTTTCGGGGTTTGCGCGATGACCCGAAAGGGGAGTGTAAGTCTTCGATATGGCCTCCCGAAGCCGTGAGCGACCCTTGGTTGGAGCATACATGTTACACTCGAAGCGGCCTGCTTAGTCGCTTCACGGATCGTTCTGCCGGCCGAAAGTCAATGGCCGGGCAGTTGTTCTGCTTGGCGGCTGAGGAGTGGTCTCCAACATTAGTTGTCTCTATGCCGCTGCAATAAGGGCACAACAAGCAGGGGCTCGCCTGGGTGTCCTTCGAGAAGGTCGTGCCGGAATTTGAAAGATAACATTAAGCCCCTCCAAGAATGGCCGGCCCCGTCAGACTGGGGTATTTCGAATTCCTCCGAGCTTCCTCCGAGTTCCACTGCCACAAGGACTTTGGAACTGGAGACAAGATCTACCAATCAGCATGCAATTTCGCCCGGAGGGAAAAAATCTCTGCAATGGCTAATTGATGGATATAACCATACCTCCAAGTGTTGGTAAAATCTTTGATATGATAAATATATTTAGCAATGGTTAGAAGTCTTTTTGGTGAGTATCACAGCAAGTTTCCTGGACTTTAGTCCGACATGCGCGAGGTGTAATTCAAATTTTTGAAAAGCTGTTATATCTTTAGAATAAAAGAGCCGTTGAGGAGGGCACTTGCCCACCAAATATATCTATATAATTTAAGCGTCTTGTCCGCTGACATTCTTTTGCATGGCGTGGATGATGTTATCATCCGGCACGGCTTCAGCAACATGATTTAACTATGACTTTCCAGCCTTTTCTCTGACAACGAGCATTTAGTAGAGTGGCCAGCCGTGGTCTGGCTACGCTGTTCCACCGCAAAGTCATCATCAGGTAATGTCTCGGGACATTGAGAAGAGAGATTCGTCACATCGTAAACCTTTCCTCTTTTTGACATGGTAGGAGGAGCAGAGTTTAAGCAGCATCAATCTTCCTCTTCAAGCATATCATGATTGGTTTTAAGGCCAATTATACCGATATAGGTTCCCTTTATAGTAAGGAGCGCCAAGAGGCGGTGCAGAAGTGGATCAAGAAGAATTTGTTAAAGGTAATCATCCACGCGACTGAGGGTATTGAAAAGTCAGCCAAAGGTCCAGTCGGTAGTTTCATGGCAAGAATATGGGCAAGGCCGTGTTGAATTCCAAGCAATTAAATATTTAATTCTTTCTTTGCCTGTATATCAAGGGTTTGTACAGAATGTCAAGCGAAATAGAGAGATACCGGCCATGAAATGCCCACGATCATGACTCATGCGTTGCGGAATTATTTCCTTATGTGGAAAGGCAACAACCCGTTGTCTCCGTCAGGAATCGACAGCTAAGTAAATACAATTATCAAGTTCAGTATTTTGTGGGGGCCTGTCCTTCAATTGCTCTCTTGACTTTAAATAGAGCTCTTTAGGGAACTCATATTCTCAACGGCTGTAAGGCAAATGTGGGGTAATCGAGTAAAACAACAGGGAGCGGGGGTTGCAAGCGCAAACAAAGCATTTGTCTACCCAGGTAAGCGATTGATCTAAGCTGTTTCAAATAGAACACAGCTGGGGTCAGAGCTACAGGCCCAGTTTGATTTGGGGACCAAATAATCAGTCAATATCACCTGGCAGGTTCCTGCATTCCGTGATACTGATTAGAAATTGAGATTGTCGTCTTCTTACTGCAGACGAGTAACTACCTAGCACTCGACCGGCGATCTCTGTATACTTGCTGGCGGCATGTCAACGATTAAAGTCTTCATGGGAAGGATAACCCCTGTACTATCCAGGCAACAGCATACTTCAAGGCGGAGGATGTCGCGCGTGCATTCAATAGGCGCCCGTACACGCAAGAGTCTCTGAGAGTACCACACTTGGGCAGCAGATGAGTCAGACTGGCAGGTATTCGGCACAAGAAGACGGAAATTTTTCACCTTCATTGTCACGAGAATGTCTTCTTCTGTGGCAAGACCTTGGGAATAGATATCAGTAGCAATAAATGCTTATCCAGGGATCAGAGTCAATCCGAATGCAAGATGAACTAGGCAAGTTCAGGAAGCATAAACGAGAAATCTGTTGTGACAGCTATTAGTGGTGCATCTGTGACTATCCAGAATTGGTGTATCGGTTTCCCTTGCCAAGCAAGGGGTTAACTTTAGTCACTCTAATAGACGGTGCTCTTGGGTGTGAAGTAACCGTCCGAGAGGTTTGGGGGTATCCAATCAACGCCAGCCATATAGGACCAAGATTTCGACGGCCCATACCCGCCAAGAGACGAATTGGAGGAGAGAACAATCTCATGCTTATTGCTTGTCTCAGATGGACAAGGTGTCGGATGTTGCTAAATCAGTACGATCCTGGTTGATCCTTGGTGCGAAAACTACTCACCGGCGTGGTTTTCAGCCCCCTAATAGACGCGCTTCGTAGAAACAGGCCATGATCAACATGAAGGTGGACTGGTCATGATGCACCTAGGACCTTTCTTTGAGTCCGGCCTCCTGTTCAGGCATCCACTCGAGCCATGGACAATTACTGGAGCAATTAGCGTAGGTAATATCTTCCTGCTACGCCAATGTAGCCGGTGCGTTGCCTTCCACGTTGCTCCTTGATTCTTAAAGACCCATCACCACCGCGGTGCGCGGTCTTGTGATAATGATTAATCATGGCCGTCGTCTTTGGAAGACCAAGGCAGCTTGCTGTTGCAGTAATATTCTCTTTCATCATCTTTGCCATCTTTCAGTTCAGCTACACTGACGACTTTTCCCTCACCGGACACTTGTCAGAGTCAATACGAATAGTGGACGCATGTTCCCCTGACGCGCTCCAAGCTATCAATAACGCTCGTCCTACCCTCGATCCTGCGATACCGAACATTGTCCATCAACTGTGGAAGACAACCGATATCCGTGAATACTCCACCACAATCACCGCGTCTCGTGAATCATGGAGGGCCATGCTCGAACCCTTCAATTACACAGTCAAGCTGTGGACGGACAACGATGTTCTTGAACTTATCAAGGCGGATTATGATTGGCTGCTCTCAACATACGAAGGATATCCTCACGATATTCAGCGGGCTGACATTGCGAGGCTGCTTATCGTTCATTCCGAAGGCGGCATCTATTCTGATCTGGACGTAAACCCCAAATCAGCCGAGCATATTCAATGCCTCCAGAGACTTAGCTTACAGGCTATATTCTCACCAACGGCGGGCACACTCGGCCTCAGTAACCATTTCTTTATGGCGATGCCTGGTTCGCCATTCCTGCAATGGGCGCTCTACGAGGCCAAGCGGCGGAGTAGCAGGCTGGTATCACGAGGCATAATCCTGCCATACTTGCAGGTTTTCTGGTCCACCGGTCCAATCATGGTGACGGCAGCGTTTAGGCAATACGCTTGGCTATACAATACGCCACGACTCGATATAGGGCTGCTCGACAACGGGTTTGGTGGCTTGGTGGTCCGTCATGCCGCCGGGCGGTCCTGGCAAGGGGTGGACGGCCGGGCGCTAAATTATCTTGCAGATCATGCTGGGTTAGGGCTCATACTAGGAGCTGTTGCATGCTTTTTGATAGTGGCGGGACTTGTCTTTGTGGTGAGGAGGTACAATGGTAGATTTCTTATGTGACATGGTCAGGGTAGGACGACATGCTGCCTAAATTCTTATATACATCTGCAAGTCTTAATCTACAGAGTTTAAGATAACGCATGACGGCGTAATGCTATATCTCCTAGGTCTGATATTAGTGTTGCACAAAGAAGGCTCCCAAGTAAACCGATGAGGGTGCATAAAATGGCGCCTGGCAGAATATTCACAAGAAGGGAATGTCTTGGCGGGACACTAAAAAGCGAATAGAACAAACCTCAGTGCAACTCTGAACGCCTTGGAAAACATCCAACGGGCGCCGTAATGGCTTAAGGATGGCCTTCCAGCGTATCCAAGCTATGGAAATATCTGAGGTGATTTGTGCTGGGAAAGAGAATGATTACAAGGCCTTGAGGGGGGGCGCAGAGCACGTCCAATACTTGAAGTTAAGAATTGTTCTGCCGGCGGGCAGATTTACTTGGCCCAGCCGCTAAGGTTTCTGCTCTTGGGATCAGAAAATCCATGAGCCAGGGTGGACAGTTTCAAAAAAGTGCGCATGTAGTCAGTACAGGCAACTACGAAACACAAGTGACCATTTGAAGAGGCGAATTCCTGTAAAATAGACAACAGCTACTAAAAAGGGCCTTCGGAAGCAACGCAAGTTGAGCCATTCGACTCCTTATACTCTGATGGAATTGTCTGATAGGAGTGCGCGCAGAATAGTATAGGCACGCAACGCAAAGTCGTGCCGAGGAGGCTTTCCCTGCGAAGCTCGCAGAGCCAAGGTATGTCTCTAAGATTATTCTTTTGCCATAAGCGCATGCCCATAAAGTTGGTGTAATAAGTGAAATTTAGGTGCGACACCTGCGACTTGAGAGGGGACCTGCGCCTGGCCTGTAGGATCTGCCTCTCAGCGACCCGAACGACCCTCGCAATGATAAATACCATGAGGCCAATTCAACCCACCCAGTACCAACGTAAAGGTCTGGACGCTCTTAATCTCTCCGCAGTCTACTATAATGCGACGTGTGCCTGACAGAATCTTTGCATGTGGTGGGCGGCGGGTCTTACCATCCGAACATGATCGACCTTCATACGAACTCTTCGTGCTGCACACGGTCAGAAACACGTCGCTAATCCCGCAGTGTCAGCATATCTGGGCCTTAGTCATTCCTACACTCGTCATGTGGAACGGACCACTGATGCATCTGCTCCTGGTATTAGCAGCGTTGGTCTTTTCTCGTCTGACAGGTCTGTGGCTGACGGACGCCGTCTGTCTTCAGGAAGCTTGCCGGCGGCCGAAAATCATGAAATGAACTCACTTCCTGCCTCCTATTTGCCATCAAGCATCACTAACCGGGGATGAAATTATTCAGAGAAGGGCTATCCAATCTGGACAGCTCTGATATCCATTATGTATATGCGGGTTCTATGTTAGTCATTAGAATTTCTCTCGCCTGTCTACATATCCTGGACTTCAGTGATGACCCGCCACATACCGACCCTTCCTAGGCAATCAAGCAGAAGGTTTAGCATGATGATTATATGGATCTCCTACGACGATGTATGGATACAGAAATACAGAAAGCCGAACCGAAGTGGGTCTGTTTCACGGCACTATATACTAGTGGCGCTCCTGGACTATATATAGATTCAACGGCACTGGCACAGGGATTGGGATCCCCGGGCTTCGGAAGGCTGGAATGGAGACGTTTGATCAAATCAGGATGGATACGTTTCGCTCACCGTTTCAGGTGTCTCTCAAATAGATCGTCCTTTGCTGGCTTTGCGATACCAGATTTTCTGATGGTAAACGATGGTTAAAATTTTGTATCATTTAGAATGAGACATAGAATTACGATCAAACAAAAGTTTTGATGTCTCTCGATTCATGGTCAAGGTATTTATATCTATAGATCACAGGAGCTTATTCCATCCTCAGCTGTATCTCTAGAGTGCATTTGGATTATACCTATATGCATGCCTTATTCGAGAAGTTTATTTTTCTCTGTATAATCCGAGGGGCCGAATCGACCGATTACCAAGTACAAGCTCCGCTCGTCATCCCAAAATAAGTAGTATGCGCATCGTTCACACCCTGTCCGCCCTGTGCCTCACAGCATTGTACTTCATCCCCAGTACAGACAAACGTGTTCTGGGCGCTGTAAGGATCAACGCTCCAGTACTCTACACCGCCATGGGCGTAACCCTGCTCCGCCGGGGGCAAGTTTGGGATGCCGTCGTTGGAATGAGTGACCCGGAAGTACTGGGTCGTCTCCGGGCTCGAGACCTGGAACGCATCGTTCATGTAGGACGCGAAGGCCTGGTTGCCGCTGCGCGGTTCGCCGAATGTGTACAGGCGGACGTTGTCGTATGTCGCGGACAGCTGGGCGGCAGTGAGTGCTGCCATCGACGCTCCCAGACTATCATAAAGTTAGTATATATCATACAACAAATTGTAAGAGGGCAAGCACGCATACCTATGGCCTGTCACGGTAAGCGCATAGTCCGGATACTGGCTAGCCTGTTGTTTGACAAGCGACTCGACTTGGTCTTGGATTGAGATCCATCCAATATAGTATCCACCGTGTACCTCGCAATCGCTGCATTGAGGTAGAGTGTCGAATGGCGTGAGCGTGTAGTTAGTATCGAGCTGTAGGTTTGTGTCACTGCCAGTGCCACGGAAGACGGTGATAATTTCTTTGCTGGTGTCGTCGCGGAGGACCCATCCGTTGATATCAGTTTGAGCGTTGTAAATTTTCTCTCCTTTGATAATAGTTGATGGAATATTGCATAGGTCGGCGTAGGCGGCTTGGGAGATAGTGGCCATCTCTACTAAGCGATTGTAGAGGTCCTCGGAGATGCCTTGCGTGGAGGCCGCGAGGGCTTCTCCTGCAGTCGCCGAAAGAATAAGGGCGTATTTTGCAGAGAATTGCTTCATCCTGAAATATGTGCGACAGTGAGTGATTGACAATAGACCAGCGAGTAGAGATGCCGTTCCTTGGGTGCTTGTCAAGACATCTATCTCTTAAATAAATCCCTGGTAGACCAATTTAGGATAAAATCAACAAACAGCCGACGACCATGTCAGGTTCTCTGACTTAATATCGCATACTAACACGATGGTATGGCTCCTATGTATACACGGCAAGCACATCCCAAGCTCTAACCGAGATAAATAACAATAAGGCTTCCACAGATTTAGCCTGTTTCAAGGTCTGAATACTGCGCCACCCGACACCAATAGAGGGTCTTAATGATGCCCATCCCTGCACCGCTAAGTACTCCGTACACTGAAGACCATCTACCAAACGAGCCCGGAGCTTGTGTCCTTTTCCATTTTCCAAATTCCGTCGACTTCCAGCTTTTCCCGTAGGTTCTCCGATGCGCATCCGGTGCAGATCACTTACACATGTTAAAGCTTTCGGCAAGGACAACTGCCGATATTGAAAAGCTCATGAGGATATGCGGCAAAGGTTTTGAGACAATTGTGTTTTATAGTCGAACAAGAAGGTAATGACTGTCTATCGGTACAAATCCATCAACCGGTATGTCGCCGTCAAGACCCACTGGTGGAACCCAAACCTCATACCAGCGTGTATATAGTTCCAGAAACCAATTCTGCAAGCGTCGCTGAGACTGGTAGTTAATGGACAGTGACGGTTAATGAGTTTAATCCTGGATCAATGGGCTTAGACATCGGCCTTTGTTAAACCAGAAGGAATGATACGGAGATGAGCTATATGATTCTTTTCGAGTATGACACTTGCCGGCTACGTAGAACCATAATATAAGCATATACTCTACAGGTAGCTTCCTTTGCGTCTGGGTTTTCTAAATTCCAATACACAATACAACTGGCTCAAACCCCAGTGAGGGAGATTATAGTGCTTGTAGCCACATTGATTTCAACAATGCAAGATGCCGCGGAGCTATGTCAGTACGTGCAGAACAATAGTAAATTGATCGCAAATTGACAGGAGCGTATAAGATTGAATCTTTGATATTTATTTAGAACCAAGGCGAACAACTATATCCAATAAATCATGCCTTTATGTACAGGTAAATGAAATTTAAATGGTAAATACGTTCATAGTACAGCCCTGGTATTCCACTTATGAATTCACTGTGTTCTAATTGGGCCCGGTGATCTTAGCAGACACAAGTATGAACCGGGCTGTACCAGATGCAAGAGATCAGTCCCACTACTGGACATGATCTACATGTTGTCTGGGACAATGATGATCATATCTATATCCGAAACCTGCCAAGTTCACTAAGGCCTGTAGGCCCACCTTTGCGTTCCTCTCTATGCCTCTCGTCAGCAAGGCTGCAACCTCTAAGTCATGAAAAGCCAATTGCCACTATCAGATGGTCTACATTATGCTGCCATTATCGGCTCTATATAATACATGATATAGTGATTTTGCTATTTTTATTGGCCCCGCAGCGGATTTACCTTCTTGAAGACACGGCAAGTAGCAGGATTAGAGCTAGTGTGTCTGAAACCAGTCTAAATTAGTATTCTTGGCATTATGTAACTGACGGATTCAAGTGCAAGCCTTATGGTCAGATGTGTCTGTCACATGTTATTCGAGGAAGATATTTACACTAATGTCGGAACTCGGAACAGCCTTCAGAGGGTCAGTGGTCGCGAAGTACAGGTGGCGCTCGCATTAGGAAACTAGGGGTTATGCCCCCAAAAATAGACCGTCAAATGAAACCTCGTCTAGGTGGATATGGGAAGGTACCAGCACCGTTAGCTCAGGGTCCAGGGCGAAAACTTATCGCAGAAATTCACACTTGTATAAACTAAGGTCAACGAAGTGGCATCAGGCATCTACCCTGGGGCTCATTTAGACGGTGCTATGAGCCCAACAGTGACCGTATCCTTCTAAGGCAGCCTCTCTACTTGTTCTCTAGTCGTGCATGCAAACTGTAGCTTACCCTTGCCATCTTCGATACTCTTGAAAAAGAAGACATAAACCCCATACCCCACGATCGAGAATCAATGAGGAACGTTGAATTAAGTGAGAAATAAGGTTACTATCTGAGAGAGTGCCCTGGACATAAATAAGTAGAGGTTCTGGGAGTATCTCTTCTACCTCCTTCATATCTAGGTTATAGGATGTTCGAATAGGCAGCCAGGTGTAGTCCGGTTACTTTAATCCTGACATAGTCTGCAACGCATACGCCAGTTTTCATCGAACTAACCAAACTCAATGACAGCCACGTTTTACTTTAGAGACTTGCTGCTAGCGACTTTCATATGGGATAAAACTCTGCGTCCGGCAGTGAAAAAATGCTCTATTGCCGAGGGATTTTGGCATGTCGATCTAGCTTATTTTGATGGATGCCATTTACTCGTCCATGCAGATTGGAAGGATTTGATTGATTTGCCAAGCATCCTGTTACGGAAATTACCCGGAGTAAAGCAACGGGGCCAACAATTCAGCCTGATTGCAAGAACCTTCATCCATTTATCATCCATACGTAGGAGTAACATCCGTAATAACAGGAGCAAATCTCGAGGATAGGCTTTCTATGTAATAGCATAGGGCTATGTCTCCGTCATACTACGACCTAATCCCGAAAATTAATGTGATACTGTAACAGGTCTAAACATCAACCCGTTTCCTACACATGGCTCATCGGATGAATGCAATGAATAGGTTATAGTTTTAACAGGTCCTTCTTGCCCAGGAAACCTAAGGGCTTGCATCGGGCAGGCGAGCAGATAAGACATGATTTGCAGTGGTGAATTATCCAGAGTGCCGCCATTCCTAAATGCGAAAGGTCCCTGTGATTTAGAACATATATGGGTGATAAATTAGTTCTGAGCTTCCACTCCAGCTGTAGAACTCTCTATTGCTTCCCAGGTTCACAAAGTCTTGTGTACTGACAAGCATTTCGATTAGTGATAATGGTCTAATTGATCTTTTCCATTGTATTATGGCCCTCAGTACCCTCACTTCGGTCATTGGTAAAAGGTTTACTCTGGCCAATGGTATCTGGCAGATAAACTCCGCGAGTACCCGCTTAATCTTGCTGACGGCTATAAGTCGAAAGGACTATTCCACCTTACTGTCAAACTCTACGGGCGCGGTGGTAATATGAAAGATGTTCTATATACCAAAAGAATCCAACCCGGGTATGGCTCGAAACACAGGCGCAGGGGGCCTAAATCTCATAGCTCCTAATAGCCTGAACACTGGCTGGACCAACACATATGGCGAAAATCATTGGTGCTATTGTGGAATAAGGAAGAAATAAAGGTGAAATAGGATCAATATAGACCACAGCCCTTGTTTCGCAACGGGACCTTTTCGTAGGTGGTAGATTGAACTACTATCTTCCGTACTCGCGAGCTACGAAATTCAACGCCGAGAGTATCTACAATGGTGGACTAAGGGGGAAATATACAGAAGACAATCATCCTATTTCTTCCACTAAAGGGGAAGAAAAGCTGGCGAATAGACTGATAAGATATAATAGATTGTAGCTAGCAAGCATCAATAAGCCTCGAGTTCGGAGCAGCGTGTGGATATAATAGCACTTCAATATCCGCATCGAGATAGTTCAGTTCTTTGCATATGATGGCGGTCAGGATGCTTTACTGTCTGGAGTGGAAAGCTCGTCGGCACCTGACACTACCTGGTAGTTTTTTATGGCGGTTTAAAAATAGGCTTAGTTCATTATGGCTGTAGTAGTACTATATTATATAGTATTCATACTGAACAGGAATTACTACATGACAGATAAATCCTATACTAATACGTACAAAAGTCCTCGGGTGTATAACCCCAGTTTCAGCGGCAACGTGATTTGTCTCATGGAAAGGTTTGTCATTTAGAGAGTATCGCTATGAATAACAGCCCTTGGGTATCGTAGAAGAGATCACCATATCCCATTTCTTCTTAGATGACGGGAAGAATTTCGAGTAGTATATAGAATAGCCCAAATTATCCGCAAATACAATCTCTTCTCCATTGTTTTTAAAATAGACGCATCTGACAGATGTCGAATAGGATTACTATAAATTCGACAGACCTATTTTGAAATAAATAGTGACATTAGAGAGTTCATTGAGCTGGAACATGTCACTTCTTCCAATAGAGGCTTCTTACGAACATCGCGGCCAAGGCTGTATTGGGTCTTTTGAAGATTTTGCAACTCACGTGAAATCTATTTGAATAGAGTCGAGGCAGAATGCTCATGGAACAATCGAAAAGTTATTGCCAGCATGTAGAAATTTAAACCTGGCCACCATTTAGGAGGACGCTACCGCCACACCAGCCTCCGCTCATGCCACGCCCTCTGCCTAACTAGTAGATAAGGTCCGCTCTTCATTAAGACTTGCTTTTTTAATTTATCAGAATACTACCGCCTTCCTATCCAAGAACAATGGTTGCCTTAAGTATTAGTTTACTGCCTGAGATCTGAATATCCTGCCTCAGGTAATAATAACCCTAAAATAGTAGGCGGCGAGAGTCTGCCTGCTTTGAAAAGCAAGCCGTATATTATAGAGAGCGAGCCTTATCTACTAAGATAGGCGGAAGGTAGGCAGAGGGTGTGGCATGAGCGGAGGCCGGTGTCGAGGAAGCCTGGCTGGGGTAGCGCCTCCCACCATTTCACAGTTAGATAGAGCCATTCCACTCTAGTATGCCAAACATATACAAATCTAACTCTTGTATTTCGGATAGATCTAGATTATAGTAGGTATATGCCAAGACCAGTTCAGAATAATACGAAGTGGGTGGTAGGGGGACTGGCAGAATATTATATTGTAGATTAGTTATTTGGTCAGGCCATGTCAAGGCACAACCTGGATAAGTACTATTCCATATATAGCAGTAAACCACGCGGAGTTATTCTTAAATCACTCCGAAGTGCAAGCCTCACCCGGCTTTCAGCCCGGTTTTAAGCGCTTATCTCCGGTTGACCCCTCCATGCATGGACCAGATATAACGGCATATGTCAGACAGATTCGCTGAACCAACTTCTGGGATGATGAGATTTCTAACCAAAAGCCTAATATTGAAGTAGAAAATAATGGCACTACAGACTGGAGCGAGACATTACACGCAAGGCTACTCTAGCAATACGGTCGCAACCCAACAGGCACGCACAGCGGAGTCAGAAGCTGCCTTTCTTCTACCACACCTTAGAACCACGGATTACATCCTCGACGTTGGCTGTGGGCCTGGCACCATAACAATAGGATTTACCAGGTATGCTACCAAAGGCAGGACAATTGGCATCGACATATCACCAGATGTTCTGCGGAAAGCGAAGAGTGTGGCAGCTGAGGCCGGCTGTTCTATGAAGTGGGAACAGCCAGGCTCCGTTATCTTCGAGGAAGGCGACATTCTGAAGGGGCTGCCGTACCCGGATGAGACATTTGATGTCGTCTACTGTGCTCAAGTTTTCGGATATTTGCCGCCGCCAGACCTGCCTTTCAGGGCTCTGTCCGAAATGCGACGAGTCCTAAAGCCCGGTGGTATCATCGCCACGCGTGATGGAGTAGATCAGCATTTCTACCCGCGGAGCCTTAATTTAGATCGCCTATGGGTACAGAATTTCAATCGCGCTGTGCATTGGTCTGACGGGAGCTGGAGTCCCGACGCTGATTCTACAGCGGCCATCATGCCAGCCCTGTTCCGCAGAGCAGGGTTCAATGCTGATGCTGGTCGCGTTCGCATCGGCGCCGGGACTACCTTATACTCAGGCCGAGAGACTAGAGAGTGGCTAGCAAAGCGTGCTGAGAGTCAGTTGCAGCAGGAAGATCCCCTACGACAGAATTGGTTGCGTGCAGGCATCACAGAGGAGGAAATTCAGCATACACTCCTTGCTGTGCGGAAATGGGCAGAGACCGAGGATGCATGGTACGCGGCGCTACAGTGTGAGATCCTCGCTTGGAAGTAAACGAGGACTCCCGACGACAGTCAAATGACGGTACTAACAAAATGGAGATCAAGAATGCTATCAGTCGCAATTCCAATTCTAATAAGAGAATAAGAGATTTGGTACTGCCACTATCTTTCTTATGATATGTGACGTGGTTGAATAGCACAGATTTCCGTATAACAATAAAACTATATTTTCATTTCCTTATTACTATTACTACAGACAATACTAATATCGTGATATTATGATTTTTTTGTATTTCCCTTTTTAGAGTCAATTGCATTGCTGTAATTTATTCTCATTTATGCCACTGTTGGCTGACACGGTACTATCCGACGCTGTAGGCGGGAGGATAAACAGTCAATACGATTAAGCCCATCACCAATAATTTGGTTGCTCAAACACACACTGGCAACATCGGTTACTTGCCATCACACGGATAATACCCAGTTTCTAGTTGGAGAAGAAGCTGTTGACCTTCTCTGCCATCATCTTTTGGCCTGCCGCTAAAATCTAAAATTCCGTTAATGCCGTGCTCAATTGTTCATGCCCTTGTTACTTACGGCAAGTGACACGGCCCACGCCGTGTCTTTATGCATGCCAACACCCCATGCAGCGAAGTTCTCGGATGTGCCTAGCCTGACGAAACTCGTGATTGTATCCCGGTTGGTTGTGTATTGCATTTGGCTGTTCAATGCCTCGAAGCCATAGCCCAACGGCTTCAGGGCATCGAGTATGGTCGGTAATAGTTCACTTCCAGTTGCTTCAAGATCGTGTTCTGACCCCTCGACTGCAACTTTAAGTTGCACTTGTGTAACAACCCGATCTCCTTTGGTCTCATCGGCTCTGCAATCCAACAGCCTGGCTTTTTCAGAATCAGCATGCATGTAGTGTTCCCGGAACAAGCGACGGATAGTCTCCTGAGTAATCTCAAAACCACTCATATTCGCATATGTTTTGACGATCTTTGTGAACTCAATTTCCAACTCTCGGGGCATATGAATGTGGAAACTCTCCTCGAGAAGCCAGGCAACGCCACTTTTCCCACTTTGCGAGTTCACCCTCACAATAGCTTCGTGTTGCCTTCCCAGATCAGCTGGATCCATTGGTAAATATGGCATTCTCTACTTGGGGACCTGTGTGGCATCATGTTTCCCACTCTCTTGGAGCTGGTTATATCCCTTTCGAATAGCGTCCTGGTGCGTACCGGTAAATGTGCAAAACACATACTTTCCTGCATAGGGAGCTCTAGGATGGATGGGGATCTTAGTGCAGTCCTCTACCATCGCGACAACCTCATTCAAATTGCCCAGGTTAACTCTGGGTGATATGCCCTGAGTATATAAATTCAGAGCCAGCGTGACGAGATCAACGTTTCCAGTGCGTTCGCCATTCCCGAATAGACATCCTTCAACTCGATCTGCACCAGCCAGCTGAGCCATCTCGGCTGCCGCCACGCCACATCCCCGGTCATTGTGTGGATGAACTGATACACAGACCTTTTCTCGCTCGGAGATACCCCTACAGAAGAGCTCGATCTGGTCTGCGAAGACGTTCGGCATAGATATCTCGACAGTTGATGGAAGATTGAAAATGATTTTATTCTCAGTGGTCGGCTCCCAGGCTGCCTTCACAGCTTCGCAGATTTCAAGTGCAAATTCCACGGATGTATCTTGAAAGTTTTCCAAGGTAAATTCCATCGTCCATTCAGTTTTCCGCATCTCGGCATCTAGGGAGTCTTTCGTGAGTTCGCGAATCATCCTCATGCACCGAACAGCAAGGTCTATCATCTCTCCCTTTGTCATTAGATAGACGATTTCGCGGAAAAGATCAGATGTAGAGAGATGTATGTGCAAAACGACTTTCCTCGCACCCCGGACGGCCTCAATCGTTCTTTGAATGAGTTCGTCGCGACAAGGCGCCATGACTTGGATCCACGTGTCATCGGGCACAATACCAGGGGTACTTATGAGGTATCGCGTGAAATCGAACTCGGTCTGTGAGGCAGAGGGATAAGAGACTTCAATCTCCTTGTATCCCAGCTTAATGAGGGTTTGGAAATAGCGTAGCTTGAGATCACCATTCATGGGCTGGTTTGATTAGCAGGTTGAGTTAGCTGTACATGCGGAGTCAGAGGTACCTGGACTAATGCCTGATTGCCATCCCTCAGGTCGGTTGAAAGCCATCGGGGAGCTTGAGTCAAAGTTTGAGTAGGCCATTTCCTGCTGTATACGTACGGCCGGGGAGAAGGATCGTATTTTTCTGACGGTGTGCATAGCCTGAGCATCAAAATCCGTATTAGCTAGTAGGCTCTGTAGTATGAAGAGAAGTCAAGCTGAAAATACATAATGTTTCTCTTTGGGGGAGTGGGAGGTGGAGTGGGATATATTCTGTGTAAGGCAAATGGCACTAATTGTGTGCCAAAGAAAGTGGTAAGATGAATTGCGGGTCGCCTTTCGGATGAAGAAACTAGGATGTTTGACTGTATGAGAGTGGAAGGGTAATAATGGCACGACTCAAGCTACTTATATATGGAGCAACGCCAAGGTAATGCTCAGTATGATGAAGATGCTCCAGTCGGTCCACAAGGAACTAGGAAGATCGGATGCGGATCGCACTGGCTTAGATCTGCGAACATATCACGAGGTACAACCCGGGAACGCCACAGTTCCGTAGTACCGCAACACGATCAACCAGACCGTTCCTACCATGACCTTCCAATAATCTGCACTATCAAGGCTCTACCAGAGCACAGATGGTGGGTCAGATAGATCCTTAATGCTGTGTTACGTATTGTCGTCGCTAGTCACGATCTCGTGCATTATCACACTCGGAACCGTGCCGCTTATCTTGCCCCAGATCTGATATCAAAAGCAAATATGCGCTAGCATGGTAACTTGAGTCAGGTTCAAATCCCGAATTGTGATGAGAACTCCCATGCATGCCGGTGGCCAGGCTTCCTATTCGTGGTAAATCGTGACCTTTCAGGCAATTGGAAATCTCTCGAGCTTGAATAATATCTCTTGTATCACCATACGCACACCTGGCTAACTTATTTAGGAAGTACCATGTCTATCATCTATCTCGGCTGAGTCGGCAACTCCGAGGATACGCTCGAACGGAGTATATTACCCTCTTGTGTGTTCGAAGTATTGGGTCTCTTTCCACTGTGATGGGGACTAACATTATCCACACAACATGTCAGCAGATCAGAACGAGTCATCAACTGTTGATGCAGTCACTGAGAGGCCTGCGCCACCGTATACGATCTTTGATAGATCTCAGAAGCGTCTGTTGGCGGTGCTTGTTTCCGCTGCTGCTACATGTAAGTCACTGTCTATCCACATTATAATACTGCAGACACCTCTAATAATTCAGTCTCGACACTGGCGTCAAACATTTATTTCCCAGCTATTCCATCCATATCCCGCAGTCTCAATGTCTCTACTGAGCTCGTCAACCTTTCCATTACCTCCTACCTTATCTTCCAGGGCCTAGCGCCTAGCCTCTGGGGTCCAATCTCAGACGTTAAAGGTCGCCGAATAGCATACATCGGTACCCTATTTGTAGCAGTCTGTGCCTGCATCGGTCTCGCAGAGACCAGGAATTATACTATGCTTATCATTTTTCGGTGCTTGCAAAGTACTGGGTCTGCTAGTACTGTTGCTATCGGATCAGGTGTGATTGGAGATATTACGACCCGTGAAGATCGTGGAGGGTTCATGGGTTTTTTTCAAGGAATGATGTTGATTTCCATTGCTATTGGGCCTGTTATCGGGGGAGCGCTTGCAGGGTCGATTGGATGGAGAACTATCTTCTGGTTTCTCACTGTTTACAGCGGGGTACTGCTTACCATGATAGGTTTGTTGCTTCCTGAGACGTTGAGGTCAATCGTGGGAAATGGTGGTCGACTTCCTTCCCCAAGGATCGGGCGTTATCCCCTTACTCTCTATCAGCGGTTCAGTAAAACGAATTGGCGTGAGACTGTGGAATATAACCGGCTGGCCCCCAAGAAACGAACCAAACTTTTAGGACCCCTTCGCATCTTGATCAGCAAACAGGCCGCCCCTCTGGTACTTTTCTTTGCCATTTACTTCGCTGTGTGGCAAATGACGATTACGGCTATGGCAACTCTCTTCAAAGAACACTATGGATTGACAGAAATTCAGTCCGGATTAACCTTCATCGCTAATGGTGCGGGCTCTATGGTCGGGACCCTCATCACAGGTAGGATCCTCGACAAGGATTATCGCCGGTTCAAAGAACAAGAACTTGCAGAAACATCACCCTTAAGACAGGAGAAATTATTTCCACTTGAACGAGCCCGTCTTCGTCTGGTTCCCATCTTCGCTGGCCTACAATGTCTATCAGTCATGATATTTGGCTGGACTGTTCAATATTCGTCCCACGTCCACATCGCCGTTCCCATTATCTCAACGTTTATTACCGGGTGGACAGCTGTGTCCAATCAATCGATAGTGACGACTTATTTAGTTGATGTATTCCATGATAGTAGTGCCGCTGCGAGCGCAAGTCTGAATATGGCCCGTTGCTGTCTTGCGGCTGCGGGCTCGGGATTTGTGATGCCCACGGTGAATCGTGTTGGATGCGGAGTGGCTTTCACCGTATGTGTTGCAGCACAGATATTTGCGAATACTGGCTTGTGGATACAGTGGAGGTATGGTGGTCTTTGGAGGAGTGAGATGGAGAAGTCGAGTCGGTGAGTGGTAACTGGTTGGTTAGTTGTGTCTGCTTAGTCAAAAGACTGAGACAGCGACATAAGATCGAGGAGGCCCGGCGTGTAGGGAAAAGGGTCATGTGCTCCAATGCTCCACCCTAATAACGGCGCGAGCAGCTCTGTCATTATCTCCCTGTATACAAGCCATCTAATTTCTGTAGATGGCTCATATATACTTGAGACCAATCCTACATATGGGTATACTTTTCGCTTGTTTCCTTATAAGACTGTATGCTTCTGTCTTTCCTGTGTAATGTGGAGACATTGTCTGGTGCTGGGGGTTGCCTGAAGCTTCAATGAAAAAGATGGTTATCTGGGCAAAACAAATATATTGTTGGACTTATATTTCGACCTGTACCTACCCGCTACGACAGTGCGTAATCTGGATGAACGTGTAATTATGTAATACCAGTCAACTGGGGATCGAGTAGGAAAGAACATGGGATTCCTTCCTAAATAGACTTATCACTGACGATGGACATTTCCTGATTACGGACAACAAAGTAATTGTAGGTGGTGAACAGAGAAGAGCCTCTCTCCAATTTCATGTGGCTGAACTGGGAAAGTCGAGCGTTGACGATGCCATCCTAAACGCAAACAGTTACGCATGGTCTGCTACAGCCATGTATCTGCCTTCATGTGATTGGTCTCGGGACGTCGCTGGCTCTGTGAGGGCCAGAACGATCTTCGCTAGCACGAGGGGTAATATCAGCTCCTCTATAGCTGGAGGCTACGGTCTGAAGCACGGAAGCCACTTTACGAATCCAAATCTCCTGGACCTTGAAGATGAAGAGGAAACAACGACAGACAATGCACTGTGAAAATCCTTCTTCACAACATCTCGCAGATTGGCAGGATCTAGTGCGCCCCGATTAAGATTCTCTCTTTCTTCACGTATGTATCGTACTTCTATTACAAACCTAGGCCATCTTGTAAATAGACCTAATCTCAGGAATGGCGGATGGTGTTTGAACGGCATTCCACACCGTGCGGACTGTATACCCTACATCGTGTACCTGTACTACTACTAACCGATTGTTTTAGCGGAGCTAGACTAGGTGAGGAAAGCTATATATGCTTCTCTCTTACAATCTATCGACCCCCTGATTGTCAAAGTGAAACTAGTATATCTTGGCTATTTCGCTAGCGGACAGACCGATACTTCACACTACATCCTATAGTGATCCATACACAATAACGCTAGTAGTAGCTCCGGTAGTAGCCTTTGACAGGAGTCTCAGAGAGGTCTTGGAGGAATCTGAGGAAGGTCTTGAAGAGACTGCCCTTGAGCTGAATTACAGATAAAAAAGCACATATAGACATTTACGTGTAAATGGATAACATGATTACGAAATGCAAATTAATTGTACAGCTTAGTGGGGATAAGAGCACTACTTCAGGATAGATAAGGTTCTCTAGTCACCCAGCACCGAAGTGACCGGCTGTCTGATAAATGATGCATGTTGCGATTGGTAGCCAAGCATCCTATTTTGCTTCAACGGGGTCAGAAACTGTTCCCAGTAATCTATAATTTTCCCTTTCATCGTAACGCGGAAATTCTTATACTCGTGCTCGCGGTCGGGATTCTCCCATCGCAGCAAGTATATGAGACATCGGGCACGTTGACCTTGGAAGAGCACGGTTCGATCGAGCCATCCATGCTGCCAATCCGTCAAGCCTGCCAGGGGGTACACATCGGAGCCAATCAGAATCCCTAGGTTGTATGGATTGGTGCGGTCCAGCTCCTTAATGTGCGAACCCTCCAGATTCTCGGGGAAGTACACGGCCATGAGCTCGTAATACTCGATTGGACCAACGTACTGGGTCTGGAACGCACCGCCACGGAAAGCATCCCCAACTGTCTGAGAGAGATCGATCATAGATACTTGGACCGATCGCTCGGAACTCCAGGCGGCGAGGATCTCGGTAAGAGACTGGGATTCGGCAGATTTGATGAATTTAGTGCGCACATCGGCAGAGTTCCAAGCTAAGAACGATGTCAGAGATTGCTTTTTCTGAGTATCTGATTTTCCCATCCATGAAGGTGACATTGGGAAACTAACATAGCATGAGCCATTCGGTGTGTGGTGCTTCCACGGGGCACGACCGTCGGAATCTCAGATGGCACAGGTATTCAGGTTGCTCGAAAAGAGGTTGGAAGAATTTGGTTATGGGATCCGATGGATCTTGATGCGTCGCGCCTGTTCCTGGGTTCAATACGATCCAATCGACCATTTTGGTGTGTTGTCCAGTTCTATGCGACTGCCTCAGCGCGAAAGGGGACGCGTCGCGGAAAGTCTCTGGAAAAAAATCGGGGAATTTGTGTTTGGCTTCCGCCCTGGTGATAGGTGGCATTCTGTGTGTGAAGCGACGGAGATGTTAGAGGAAGCAAGGTGGGCAGCAGGTGAACCATTTTAACGAGAAAGGGGAGGTGGGGCGCCGTGGGAGTGAGCGATGAATATTTGACGCCTGATCAGCTTTTATGTCCCAATGTAAATGCACCCTCCCAAACTAACATTATAAATGAGAAGTACAAATTTCATCTTCCAGGAGTACATAATCGATTTTTGTGTTCTGAAGAAAACGATAATGAGATCATTCATGCAAAGTTCTGGCTCATCGGATCTAGGATCCTAATGTAATCATGGAATTGAAAATTAAATGGAACCCAAACTAGAAAAGTGAAAGTCTTAGCCAGCTGCCTTGCACCAAGCATGGTTATGCCTTCCAGCCTCTTCCCCAACGCAGACTAGCGGGACCCTGAAATTCCGCCCGCAACCTTCAGTCTCGTGGGTGTGAGGGGACTGTTACTCTCATCATTTTTTCGCCTCCTTATCGACGCATTACACGAGTCTACCACTATCCAGACGCAATCAGCTCAACAAAAACCATATCGGTCAAAGTTCCTTAGCAGAGCGTTATTGTTGTAACAGCCAAAAGCTGGGGAGCTTCCCAGGCGGGGCCAATGACCTGGCCCGAAACAGTCCGTTCCATTCTCTGTGAAGAAGCATGGAGTTGGAATGACGGATCAAGTCAAATTACCTTTCACGAAGATGGAACAGGCAAGGTGAGTTCGACAAATGAGTTGCCTCCTTTCTTCATTAATTGACGCTTATCGTGTAGCTATTTTGCTCAACCGAGTACACTTGTTGGATTTTCGCCGAAATTGAATGGAAGCCGCACGATTCCGAGTATCTCGATCGGGTCATTGACCTAGGTAACAGTAGACAGCGGTCTAAGGTGGTCAGTGACTTTACCATTGAACTGACCCTCACAAAGCGACGACCACTGGATATCTGGTATAAAGGCAGAGTCAATGAGACTTGGCTAAATGAAGAGGCATTTTGCTCAAGAATGTATCATATAACACTTGAGCACGGCCGCTTCAGGAATCAATTCGACGTCAATCATAAGATTTTGGATGGCTCACTATATGCCCTGCGCATAGTCTTCGATCCCTCGCCGTTTCCGCCAGAGGAGAAGTGGAATAACGAAAGTTGCGGACCGCATGTGATGCGACTCTGGGAGTGTACAGAATTCAACGCTAGAAGGTATCCCGAAGAAAGACTGGGCTTATGGGGAAGATTGATGGCTTGGTGCAACGATTGGACCAGGTGACTCGAGATGAGAAAATGTGAGGTCATTATCTGTAGAGAAGCTTCACTCTCTGGAGCTGCCCCGGTTGACTCTCTTTGCTCAACGTACTCGAAACTTGAACATTGCAGTTGTATCTAATGAAATGTGATTTCCTCATTTCTTCAGGTCGGGTAACGACAATTTTGATGCGCATGCCGGGTGCAGGCGCCAACGTGGAGAACGAAAGGGGACATAAGTCGGTCAATTAACTAACAGATATAGCTTTAGTCATACTGTTTGCTGCTAGCACATCCTAGCCAGAAGAGTATTATTGCGACCCCGCATTCCACATCCGGGCCACAGTATAATGGCCAAGAATGAGTTACTGTTTGTGATGATTGCCACGTGCATTCCACGGTCAAAGCCAGTGTGGGATTTCCACATCAAATGAAAGCCAATCGGCGTTTCAAACAGCAACTCTAATTACGATCCGTGGTCCAAATCATCATACAGGCTAGTCCCAGACAGGATATCAGCCTACGGGGGTTCAAGATGCCAAACAAATGCTCTAAGAATATCGCCTATGATGGAGAGGATCCATTGCGTATAGTTGTATGCCCAGGCCAAGTTCGGCGAACAGTTCAGAATATGCAAACTACTCACGTGATACCTGCAGATGGTCATTTGGTGAAGACAATTCGGGCTGTTGACAGAGGGGTCAGTCCGTGATAATCACTGGGAAGTGCAACCGGGTGATGGTCTTGTCGCATCACAGTCTTTCCTTTGGTCTAGATTCCATTCCTTTATTCCTTGTGGCGGCTCCATGGCTGCGGTCTATAATTTACTTCCTGACTAAGGAGGCACCTCTACTCATCCGTCTGTCCATTAAACATTCCTCCAGGCCTTAATGATGTCCATGTGGTGATTGTATCTAAGGTGAACAGTATTGCAATATTCCGTTATTGATTCAGCTTTATCTTTATCCGCAAGATTGCCATCTGTTCCTCGTGAGAGACTGGATAAACAGGGGAGTCCCCTGTCTTCTGGACCAAGAACTGACATTAGTAAATTCGGTTTACGTGGAACATCCATTGCTACTCATGGCTGAGAACCTTAGAATATCCAAGCAGTGCGTAGAACCCCCTAAGCAAGACGCCCAGGTGGCTCCGAAGCTTCAGGCATATCTAGAAGCCCACAAGATCAAATGTCGAACCGCTGGGCTGCATTATCTTAGCATGAAGATTCCCCAACACTCAAACAGGCACCGCCTCGAATAACGCATTGGAACCAGTTCCCTGAAAACCCGACCGCCATATTTTGACAACCCTAAACTGCGCCTTCTCCAATAGTGCAAGCCACTGCCTTTCCGTCCGTTCCAGAGATCCATAGAGCTCCATCATTATAATATCCATCGAGGATGAAAATCCGGGCGCATTGATCTCAGGCAAGACGTTTTCATTGATCAGTAGTACTGAGTCGGTGGCCATAGCATCATGAACACGGCTAAGAGCCTGTAGGGCTTGTTTATCAGGCCAATCGTGTAAAACAGTTCGCATATAATATGCCTTAGCCCCTTTAATGGGTTGTGGATCAAACATATTATATCCGATGACTTTTATACCTTCAATGAGCGGCTCTTGGATGTCCTCGATGACCTTGGGGAGATCCTGCACTATCAGCTGGTGTTTTATCTCAGGATACTTGCGCTTGAAGCCGGAAATGTCATGGCCCTTGCCACCGCCGATGTCCACCAGGAGGACACGATCTGTACCACTGGTAGTAGCCAGCTTCTCCTGCCATGGATAGTAATCATACCATTGCACACCTTCCAAGGAGCGATTGCCGATCTCCATCACAGTGTTGAAGGCATGTAGCTCCTCCGGGTTGTGCTGTAGCCACTCAAAGTAATGTTCCTTGGTTCCAAAAGCAAGCTGGAAGGTCGTGTCGTAGGCGTCTTCAGGATTCTGGTATCCTCTTGCCTCGAAATAGTCATAGGAGTGTACCGAGGCCTTCATGTCCGAATGGCTGAACTCATTCCCGATATCAGCCACGATTCGAGTTCAACAAAATTATCAGTCAACAAGAACTCAACAAGAACTCACAAATGTTTGATGACCTCGCTGGGTGGACTATCAGTAGCAAACATGATGGCTAGCGGCAGTTGGTGGTATTTCTCCACCCCCGTCTCTTGGAAGATGTGGTTCGCACACAGCACCCGCATGATACGCACTGCAGAATAAAATTATCATTAATCTCCACAACGTAATTTTGAGTGATGTATATTGAACGATAATACCGTGATTCAATGTAAAAACGAAACAAAAATCAATATAGCCAAGCAAAACTGAACGGACCCTTCGAACTGTATGGGTGTTGGAATAGACAAAGAGACTAGGGGAAAAGAAGAAATCAAGGAAAATGCAGGGAAGAGAGAAAAACAGGAAGAGAAGAGAAGGAGTTTTTGAAAAGCTCCCGCAGATAGACAAAGAAGATACTCAGAGAGAACAGCGAAGGAAAGCACTTACCCAAGAGGCCTTTGTCCCCCTTCGTCTTCTCGTTCAGCGCATCAGCGGTCATTTCACCGTTCTTCGTTGAGGCGAAGGCATCAAATATACCCATTCCCATGGCGACACGAATGGCAACTAGGCTATGATGCTACGGATTCATCACCTACATCAGTATCGCAACGAAGAGATTGAATGGGTGATAAAAAGAACCTGGAGAGTTACTGACACCGAAGCAGAAATTCCGAATGGTGAGAAGGGGCGGCTCCACAGCAACGCGAAGCTTGTCAATTGCCTCGAGAAGCTGGTACCGAGCTGCCTCCGGGATTTCATCCTTGCCAGCTAGATTGGCCACAGCGGTGTTGATGGCAGAGGTCAACGTGGCTACGTTATCAGCCATTGTGGAGTATGGTATAAAGTCTGGGATAACAATTTCTTTTTAGACATCGGGTGGCCGTAAATGTGGGAAAGACAACAGTCTTATATATTATTGTGATCCATTCCTTTGTGCTCCTTGGATTTTGATCGTTCTGTACGTCAATAGGCATGGGCTGTGTTATTCGCGGGGGTTATCCGGAGTCTATCCCGTCAGCACTAATGCAATAAAGTCCGCCAACGGATGAGGAGGGGTTGGAGAAAGAACACTAAAAGTGGATAGTAGTCTGAGACATTTTAGCGCGACTGAGTTATGAGCCATTGTAACAAAGAAAAAGCTGATGCCTTCTGTCCCATCAATGGAATGTATGCATCAATGAACCAGATTTGTTGATCCAACCGACTACTCTCCCCTTATCTGACTGTTTATTATCTCCACCGGTTTCCTATTATCCGTCAGCATTTAACCGCTCGACCACCCTATCACCCTGGCATAGGTCGATCGCATAGGTAAACGGTTCGACCAAGGGCAGCCCTGCGGCCCGAAGGAGTTTGTCCCACTTGATTCTGGTTCGCTCCACAGCTGCCAAGCACACCATCGTGGGTTTGCCCATTTCAGGGGAAATCATCTCGTCGATCATTAAGCTTGACAATCCCTCGGGCGCTATAACCTCCTTGAGGCTGCGACTTAAGTACACATTACTCGTTCGGGCAGCCGTGAGACATATTCCACATGTGATAGAACCTCGCGGCCTGGACTGGCTGCGCGGCCCAAAAGTCAGGGAATATCCAGACCATGCAGAGGGGCGAATGACGTGCGCAGGGACCTCCAGGAGAATTACCAGGATAATGCGCTGCCAAGCGTCTAGCTGGGAACCCATGTACAGAGAAGGGTAACGCATTGGTGACCTGCTGCCGGTGATAGGGGGTGCCTGTTTATGCCCTCCATCCGGGTCCGCGTCAAGGTGCTGCTTATTGGTGGGATCGTTCCTACCGCATGTGAGTCGGTATATCGAAAACATATCCATCCAGGTGGATTGGTAATGGCGCTGCACGGTCATCCACAGACATAAATTCTTGAAAAGATTGGCTCTGTCCATGGCCCACGTGAAATCCGCCAGCTAACTGCTGTGCGTCTCCTATGAAACCGTTCGAATGCCATAAGATAGACTGCAACAACAGTTTGTAGCCAGAAAACTATGGAAGAGTCTGCCAGGCGGAGAGCTGGAGTTCGAAGCTAGGGACGCGTTAGTGGGAAGTCAATTGAACTGGCCACATTTTGCCATAAATACCGATTATTAATCCCTGCCCGAGATCCGAACAGGGGAAGACCGTGTGGACATTGGAGTCCAGGAAGAAGTTCACCTTCGGTTCATGGACTAGGCCATACCCGCATAGATACCGGATAGGGCGTGCAAATCTGGGCAGTCAAATATCATTGACTATTGAGAAATAACAAGGAAGCCAGCGCTTACGCAATAATATACATATTAAGCGACCCCGGTCGTCCTACGCCTACATAGATGGCGTCCAACATCGGATATCAGTGGATATGGAATAACGATCATCTCGCCCTCCTGACTCCTGTCTGAATGCTGAACCAGAGCACGATTATTGTACAAGACCCATACTTTTGGCCGCAAATCCGCTGTTGTTGTTTAAATTCCCTATGGGTATGAATGGGCGCTGAATAAAGGACGCAGACTATGCATGCTATATCACCCGGAAGTTCTATTAGCAAAATGGACGTGACAAACATATATAACAGCCAGTGGCAGTAATCGGAAACAAGTAACATCTCGCATGTCAACAACCCGTACTCACCGATACCCACTGATGCATTGCTACATATTATTCCCTAAGTGCGACTCCCGCGCCAGCAATACGTCCGGGTCGCCAGGCTCTACTAACCATGTGTTGAAAACTTTCGGGTGGGGTAAAGAGGGGAGATAAGGGCTACTGACAACCAGAGTTACTGCCTGGCCCAGATCAATAACGATTACGATTACAAAACTGTGCTATATGTAGTATGTCGACTAGCAATTAATGAGTTACTAATAGTTACCAGTTACGTGGATAACGGGTGGTATTCAGCTTGTGAAAGTAATTTGTGTACGCTCAGTATAACGACTTCAACTTCCCCGAGTCGCGCTCTGACCGATCGAACAGGGCCTCTTCGATCATATCAATTTGGTGCGGGTGTAGAGAAGCATTAAGTTCACAGGCAAAAGTTTTAAGGGATGGATATGTGAGGTCAGGGCTGTATATATGACAGGCATACCATCCGTGCTCACTCAAAGATGCATGTGTCTATCAACCACTGTTGGCAACTAGGCCTAAATAACTACATGGCGGAGACTCTTGCAACTCCAACACCGCCCAAAAGTCATCCTTGGTCTCCCACCGGGTGGGTGCAACCCTTTTCCCGCAGTTCCTGGATTGATTGCTCGATCTTCCGAATGGCAGACTCATGGATGCGTCATTGGATGAGCCTTCCTCCTGTTTCCATTATTTACACAGCTGTGGAGTGACAAACTGCACTTCCCAATGCCCATCCCTCGGCTGTGATTCAGGTTGTATGTAGCCGGAACGTTTCTCTTGCCATCCATTTAGTGCGCGACGTGTAGCAGCTCGTCTGGAGTGAGCGCGGAGCGTACGTTGGGCTCCCTCGGCCTCGTCGCAGCGGACTTGCGTAGGGAAGGGTACCAGGCTTGCGTTTGCACAGCCAGCATATGCGGGACCTGTGCGGGTCGCGAGGCGCGGAATCCATACTCCGCTAAACACAGATAGTGTATATTTGTGTCGGCCAGAAGCTGGAAGACTTGGGCAACGCTCGCCCGGTCGGGAAAATACCATAAGGTGTGGCACAGCACAGCTGCATTGAATTTTTCAGTGCTTGCGTGATGGGAAAGCAGGCTGGCCGTGTCGGTGCGGAGCAACCAGATACGCTGCTCGAGTGTGGAAGCCTGGATGTGCTTCTGCGATTGATGGATGGTGTATGGTCCACCGTAGCCCGGTGGGGCCGTGTCAATGGCTGTAATCTGGCCATGAGAACCGTTGATCAATGCAAGAACTAGGCTCGATTCGCCTTGCCCATATCGGATATCGAGCACTTTAAAACCCTGCTCCGTGTTCTAGGTTCAAGTCAGCGCAGCCTCTGCTGGAAATTTGGCTCAACAATGGAAGTCCGTGCTTTCTCATACTCCAAGACTCAATTTGCCAGAGTAATGTCATACATCCGGTCTGGCGCCAGGGAAGGGGGTCGTCTTGTGCTGGGCGGAACGCCATTGAATGAAGCCGCCCCGGGATGGTTCTTCATACTTCCGACAGTCTTTGCCGATGTGACAGATAATATGATCATCTTCCGGGAGAAAATCTTCGGCCCTGTGGTTGTCATTCCAACATTCGAGACGGCAGAGCAGGCCATCAGAAAGGTCAACAACTCAGTGTATGGTCTGAGTGCTCGATATTCATACAGAACATTGAACGAGCCTATCGACTGGCCCGGAAAATGGAAAGCGGGATGGGATGGATCAATAGCAGTGATGATAGTGACTCGTGCACTCCGTTCGGAGGAATCAAGCGGAGTGGGATCGGGCGGAAGCTCGGGGAAGCAGGACTGGCGGCCTACTGCAGTATCGATTCATGTCAACTTGGGTGCGAAACTGTCGTGAGGTTCTTAATGTGGGTAAGCATATAATGAATGCGAGGTGTCACATTATCTTTCAAGGGATTGGTGCTGGATTTTGCGACCGTCGAATCACGTGACTTGCTGGCCATGTGGTTTTCGGTATCTCCCAGATGCAGTGGATCTTTAGATCGTGTCATAAATCTATGTCAGACATCAATATTCAATAAGCCTAGTAAGCATTGTGGTGTTTCTGCTTATTTGCAACCTCCTATGGGTTACCACTACTAGTAGTAACATTTGCTCTAGTATTCATGACATCATCTATTCGTCGGACTTTCTGGAAAGTGTTTTCATGAATACGCTAGTCAGTGACGATGAAATATATATATATTCCCCAGGAATTTGACTACTACCATCATTTCAATTGGAGACCACTGGCATCTGCTTTGATTTATTACTACTATGCTACTATTAAACCATCCTGGTATTTACTGCATTTGACTAAAAGTAGGGAAAAGGTGGCATCTAATATATGGAGAACTGGTGTATTCCGTGATTATACCTTGGGTTCACTTATGATTGTGTTTTTCTGATCCTTCTCTTTTTTTTGTTTTCACCTTTCCAAGGGCCAAGACAAGTGTATGCAAACAAAACAAACAGCACACCGAATGCCCCATGAAGAAGTCGGCATCCCCGTTTTCGGAGCATCCGGGGCAACTCCGCAGCCAAGGGGGAGAAACCTACTGCAATGAGCTGATCTTGCAGCTTATACTATTGAGCCAAGGCGGAGACCGTGCAATGACAATCCCCGGATTGTCCCCCCTTCTCCGCCCAGGTAGTCTTAACGAGCTGGGCAGGATGATCCCAGCCACGTTGGGGAATGAGACGTGGGGGTGCCAAGCCGGAGCTGGGGGATGATGCCCAGCAAGAAACTGGGATACCCTCCGATGTTTCCCCGGATGCAGTCAACCCCGTCCGGGGATAAAAGGCCGGTGAGAGGAAGAACTGCTGCTTCGCTCACCTGCCACATGTTTTAGGACTGACGGCCAGCAATATCATCACCACCATGATCGGGTCTTCCCATGTTGTGGTGGCCCTGGGCCTTTTTACGTTATACGGTCATTCTGCAGCAGCTCCCGCAACTGGGGCTTCAACTTCACAGAGTATGTCCTGCCGGGGGGGGGGGGGGGGGGGGGGGGGGGAGGGATGCTACTGCAACGCTTGATCTTCATTCGGAATGTAAGCTGACCAAACAGCGATCGTTACGAATGGCACTAGTTTCGCATTGAACGGCGACAATGTCTCATATCGATTCCATGTCAACAGTACCACCGGCGACTTGATTTCTGATCATTTTGGTGGTGTCGTCTCCGGCACAATCCCTTCGCCAGTGGAACCTGCTGTCAACGGCTGGGTCGGCATGCCTGGTCGAATCCGCCGGGAGTTCCCCGACCAAGGCCGTGGGGATTTCCGCATTCCCGCCGTTCGTATTCGGGAATCGGCAGGTTATACTGTTAGCGATCTCCAATATGTGTCGCACGAGGTGATCGAAGGTAAAAATGCTTTGCCTGGCCTGCCTGCCACATTTGGCGATGCGCAGGACGTCACAACTTTGGTAGTCCATCTGTATGACAACTATAGCTCCGTCGCGGCCGACTTGTCATACTCCATATTTCCGAAATATGATGCGATCGTGAGGAGTGTCAATGTGACCAACCAGGGCCCGGGTAATATCACTATCGAGGCCCTTGCAAGCATAAGTATCGATTTCCCCTATGAAGACCTCGACATGGTCAGCCTCCGTGGCGACTGGGCCAGAGAGGCAAATGTTCAGAGAAGCAAAGTGCAGTATGGCGTCCAGGGGTAAGTCAGCATAGCAAAAACCGACAGTGTGACCTTGCTGACAGGGGAGTAGATTCGGAAGCAGTACTGGATATTCCTCTCACCTTCACAATCCCTTCCTTGCCATAGTAGATCCAGCTACTACCGAATCGCAAGGCGAGGCATGGGGTTTCAACCTTGTATATACCGGCTCTTTCTCAGCCCAAGTAGAGAAAGGATCGCAAGGTTTCACCCGGGCGCTGCTCGGCTTCAACCCGGACCAATTATCGTGGAACCTTGGCCCTGGCGAGACTTTAACCTCCCCTGAGTGCGTTGCAGTCTACTCGGACAAAGGCCTTGGCTCAGTGTCTCGCAAATTCCACCGGCTATATCGCAACCACCTCATGAAGAGCAAGTTCGCCACGTCCGACCGGCCGGTTCTGCTGAATAGCTGGGAAGGAGTTTATTTCGACTACAATCAAAGCAGCATCGAAACTCTTGCCGAAGAGTCCGCTGCCCTGGGTGTCCACCTCTTTGTCATGGACGACGGCTGGTTTGGGGACAAGTACCCTCGAGTGTCCGATAACGCCGGACTGGGCGACTGGATGCCCAATCCAGCGCGCTTCCCGGACGGGTTGACCCCGGTCGTGCAAGACATCACAAATCTCACCGTCAATGGCACAGAGTCCACAAAACTTCGCTTTGGTATTTGGGTGGAGCCCGAAATGGTCAACCCCAATTCCACTCTCTACCACGAACACCCGGAGTGGGCGCTTCATGCCGGGCCTTACCCCCGTACCGAGCGTCGGAACCAGCTCGTCCTCAACCTGGCGCTTCCGGCTGTGCAGGACTTCATCATAGACTTCATGACGAACCTGTTACAAGACACCGGCATTTCCTACGTCAAATGGGACAACAACCGGGGAATACACGAGACGCCCTCTCCGTCGACTGACCATCAGTACATGCTTGGCCTCTACCGGGTGTTCGACACACTGACCACCCGCTTCCCGGATGTCCTGTGGGAAGGATGTGCCTCGGGTGGAGGCCGCTTTGATGCTGGCATGCTGCAGTATGTCCCCCAGATCTGGACTTCCGATAACACCGACGCCATCGACCGAATCACCATCCAATTTGGGACCTCGCTTGCCTACCCGCCATCAGCAATGGGTGCCCACCTCTCCGCGGTTCCTAATGCACAGACCGGTCGCACTGTGCCCATTACTTTCCGCGCACACGTTGCTATGATGGGTGGTTCTTTCGGCTTGGAGCTGGATCCGGCGACGGTGGAAGGGGACGAAATAGTTCCCGAGCTTCTTGCGCTGGCGGAAAAAGTGAACCCTATCATTTTGAACGGAGATCTGTATCGGCTACGCCTACCTCAAGACTCCCAGTGGCCTGCCGCACTCTTTGTGACTCAGGATGGCGCACAGGCTGTTCTGTTCTACTTCCAGGTCCAGCCGAATGTCAACCATGCCGTGCCGTGGGTCAGGCTGCAGGGGTTGGACCCTAAGGCGGACTATACCGTTGATGGAGATCAGACGTATTCCGGGGCAACACTAATGAATTTGGGGTTGCAGTATAGTTTTGACACCGAGTATGGTAGCAAGGTAGTTTTCCTGGAGAGGCAATGATCGGAGAAAATATCGCCATGTATATACTCTCCGTGCCTTGTCAATGTGCACAAAAGCAAAAGCAATTGAAACAAAATCTTTCAGTAAAAGATATCAATGCGAAATAAATCAAAATTAAATGCAAGCGAGAATCGAGGCGTGTGTAAGTATGAGATCATAAACGAAAAGCCTCGTTTGTTATCCTGAGCGAACAAAAGCTATCTTGGCTGACGTCGTAGCGCTCGCCTGGAGAAACTACTTGCAGGCAAATGCACAGACACTGACCTAGCAGAATTCAAAGGAATGAAGGAGCTGATAACGAATTACTTATAAGATGGTCTGCCGGTATGTGCAGAAGTTGTCGACCGACGATCATCGGTAAGGCGTTGTCCTTTTGTCTGAATGGTTAGCCGTCAACTACAACTTTTGGCAGGACTCCTCATATGGGATGTTTGTCTATTAAATGTGATTGAAATGCGAATCATGCCATGAGGACACTACTTTGCGGCCATGTTAGCTATGACCTGACAAAGGATGGTGATTGGCACAGTCTCGTGGGGGTGCGAGACAGGCTGGAAATGCTTGATCGGAGGAACCTAGTTAGCCCTAGTCAACCAATCAGTCTGCAACGGAGACATATTCCCTACATTGAAAAATCGTCATACATTGATTGTTGTACTACCCCTGCTTTCCGGCTGCGCATACCGCAAGACCGTCAACAATAATCTAGTTGAAGCCTTATGCATCAGCAGGCTGCACGACCCAATGACTTATCGACATCTTCGGCTTATCGTTCCATATCTGGCTCTCTACATCTCGCGAGAGGCTAAATTGTGTGACGTGGTCAAGCAGCATGGTAAGTCATGCCAGTATTGGCTATCGAGCTGACCACGCTAATGAGCATGTCGCCCTATAACGAAGGAAAGGCGTAAGCGCAAGTTGCTGATTCAGCACCACAAAATCTGACTATCTTTGCCACGGACGAACCTGGAAGCTACGGTGTCCGAATCTCTGTGATTGAGTCCTTGACTGGCCAGTGAGCTTTTGTATCGAGGGAATTTGTCACCTTCTTAGAGGACAATCACTTCACTGACCCTGCAAGCACGCTACTGGGGCTTTGGCACGTACCATCCTGCATCGGCTCCAGTATTTCGGCCATTCCATTGATGTGTGGCGTATACCGGCTTACTAGTAATGGGCCTTGATTGGGTACAAGTACCATTGTAAAAGACTCTCGACTTCTGCGAGAAATGAGGTGATGGCACTGAAATACGAGGCTTAGCAGTGCATTTTTAATAGTCATCAATAAAGTTGGCATGATAGGATTTGGTCTTCAAACAATGTTTACTGAAGGCATTGATGAGACTAGGTGTGTTGAAAATAACAGGTTGTAATGCCGGGTTGACCGTCTGAGAAACACATGCAACACTATCCTTAAGACTAGTGGAAACTATTGATAAAGGGCGACATCCTTTTCCTCAGCTCTACATACGGCTTCAAGTTTTCGGGTCAACCCGATCACAGCTCTTCAGCTGATCGGCGTGGAGCGATCTTAGCCGCAGTTAAGATTACTCACTGAACTCGGATTCAGCCCCGACTACTACAGTGCCTAGACATTTCATTTTTAAATTGTTTTCGCCTTTCCACCTATCCCATCAAAATGATCTCTTCGAGTAGAAGCGGTCATAATAAGGCTATGTACCAATTATTGCCTCCATTTATAGGGGCAACTTAGACTGGTGACTTCAAAAGACGTTAAATCATAAAAATAGAAATAAAAATAAGGGACGCCGCTGGAGCCAGCGGAGTAAAGCTCGGACCGGAAGTTAATCGCTGTTTTGTTTATCACCAACTTTTTGGCTTCCTAATCTGCAAGGCTGTGTGCCTCATGACCACAGCCAAGTCTTCTTTATCCTCAATCGGCTGCTAACCCCGCCTTAGCCCCACCTTGTTAATTGATCATGATTCATCAAATTGTGGACTAGACGGTCTCGGGTGTTTCTTGGGCCGGAAAGCTGCTTTGACTTCTCATGAATGCGCCATGATCGACAATTTTCTCTATTAAGATTGATTCCGGTGTCCCTGTACTGCATTCCACGCTCACTTGATTATTTGTATACACATGATGGCGAGTTGCCTTGAAATACGAACAACTCGACATCTCCATGATCTATGTTCTCACTATTTCAGCTTTGCTACCACAGTCGCGAAAGCTCCAAGCGAATAGTTGAATGCAGAATGGTAACATATAACACTGGTTACTTGCTCAGCTTGTGTCCGTGTACACTTAACGAGCTTCATTAGAAAAACTATCAATAGTGTAATGTGACATAAACCAAGTGGCAAGAGGTTGCCACCTGACACTCTAGGAGCTGTTCGGAGTATCCATTGAACGTTGCTTTTTCTATAATGCTAGGCATCCCAAATATTCCTTTTTCGGTCCCAGATAAAATGAGATATAAGCAGGCACATGTCTCCTCAAACTCGCAAAAATCAGCACAGCGCTACATCGCTCAACAGACTTACACATCTTTCTACTCGATTTGGTTCAAATTTCATAACATCTCCAGCCTACCTTCATCATGAAGTTGACGTCTACCATCACCGCCACCTTGCTGGTCTTTGCCAATGCTGCAAGCGCTGGCCAGTGTACAGCTGGCTTGAAGTATTGCGGAAGTGTTTTGGTCGATGCCGGTGAGACACCCAGAAACAGTCCCTGGATTGGCCAACAAAGCTCATTTGATGCAGGATATCATGATATTATTTAACAGACTCTCCGGTCGTCGGGCAATGTTGTTCTTTCGAATTCCCCAGGCCTCTGGTGGGGAACTTACTGGCAGTGCAATCCTGGTGGCTCAATTACCTATCTGGGAGGTTGCGCTGGTGGCTGTTTCGACCGTGGAGTGGGCAACAGTGACTATTGCAGCGATGACGCGTCCAATTGGCTGTGAAACCGCAACTAGGGAAAGGCGCTGTTCTGCAAGAGTTTCATGGGGCTGAAGGATATTGTCTTACATCTTGGTCAGCTTTCAAGTGAATTCTTGTACAATGGCTGGTCGATATCCTGCTACGGATCAACAACTCATGTTTTGTTCTCAATCAACTCTGGCCAACTCACAGACTGTTTCGGGAGGGGAGGGGGGGATGGGGTTTCGGTCTCAGATGTATATCTGATTAGGCTCTACCGTGCATGGCGAATGTTATCTGGGCCTATAAACCGAGTGGATGCTGTTTCACTGAGTACATGATAATGTATCGAATCCACTACTGGCGCACACTCGTTCTGATAGGAGGTTTTCATGATTATGGGTACTTCCGTGTCTCTTCTCACTAGGAATATATTATCAACTCAATAAACACGTCATCCGTTTGCCTGAGTAGTTAGTCATGCCTAAATGACACATCACAGTGAGTACACTGTGCAAAGAGATCTTGAAGAATGGCTAAACATATATGCGGTCAATGCTTTCTTCCATCTGGTCTAACGATGGAGCTGAGGCACTCGCGTAAGAAGGGCCAGATTTTAGTATCCTGTTTTAGCGAGACTCTCGTCATCCTAGATGAAATCTGGGGGACTTTGGTTAGCGTAGAGCCGTCCGAGCAAAGCCCAAGCCAAGCAGCATTGGAGCTCTTCAACCCTCTCATAATACGCATACTAGGAAGAAAATATGGCACATCCCGCTTGCAACATTATTGCGCCAGAAAACGCCAGACGATATTGAATAGAATGCCATCATTTCTCTCGTATGACGAGGTTTTTCACCAACCAATCATATATCAACCTTGACACCTGTGTGAAAACCATATCATTTAATGTGGAGCTTTATGATCCTAGTCAAGGGGTTGGTTAGGAGCACCAGTGTGAGTGATAGGCTGGTAGATATATGTATATTTGAGTGACTCCAGACAATTTCCTATGTAAAACCTCCTTTTGTCGAAGAGGGCTAAACGTGGACGAAGAAAGGCCGTTACGGGGCTATCCATTGCGAGGTCTCGGCGATGACGTCTCGCCCTCCTTACCTCCTTTTCCTTTTTCCTTTCAATTTGCACATGATCCAAAAATATGGGGCACAACATCGGGGCATCCGACTCTCTGCGTGCAGGCGCGTACTAGGACTGGAGTTCCGTACTTGCACTCTCGGTGAAGGACCTGATTTGGCGCCCATGAAGAGAAGGCAACTAAGCTAATCATATCAAAGCGCCTGTTTTCCGCAACGCCGTTTAGCACCAGATATCGTACCGTCAACTTGCTGTCAGCTATGCTTCCCGATATCTATTCTCACCAGACCTTGCTCGCTGCACTGGTTGGTGGACGACACTATTGCAAGCACCAATGCTCAACTCACCTGGCTTTGGCCGTTGAGAGCCTTATGAAGGTGGAATAAAATCAAGGGGTAAAACGGTGATGGGAAGGATGTGTAATATAAGGCGAAGATCTGGGTCGGTATGCAAGAATCCAAGGCAACGAGAACGCGGGTCTCAGGAGCGTTAACTACGCCATGCCAGCCTGTTTATCTCGGACCGTGGATTCCCGGGAAGTGCTATATGTCTTTCATCTCCCAGACAGTGTCTACCACTCAGGAGGTGTAGTGAAAAGCAGGAAGTTGGTTCAGGCATCCCCGCGTAGCTGGACTGTTGGTAGTGCTTGATTGGCGCATATTATGTTCTCTCTCCTTAAATGATGATGCCTCATCACGACTTATGAGAAACAGACACATGACAGTTGTAGATTCTTGTTGGCAGTACTGTACACTCATCTAGCATGACGGCCATTGCACTGTATCACTCGTCCTGGAGTGCATCTTATCCAGCGGGGGAAAGGGACACTGTTTGTTCGTTGGGTATACCCTGCAATCTGTCTCGACAATATAGTTTGTTTTCCTGTGATGCTAGAGCCGGTAAATCGTATATGGCAATCAAGGATTATCACCAAAGTGGGGGGATGGCTGTTCTACCTTTAAAAGTTGCCATGAGACCTCGTGTTGATGGTGGAGCTTATTGCCGTGATTCCATAGGCGTGGTTATCTCCGACTATGTCTTGCACGTTTTCGTATTATACCTCGTTGGGGACACTCATAATCGTATTCGAAACCGAAAAAGAACCCAATAGATAAGTAAAGGGAAGAAGGGGATAGAAAAAAATGAAGAAGAGAAGTAGGGAAAGGGAGGTATAGGAGTGATAGTTGGCAAGGAGTGAGAACTGAACAAACTGGGAAGATGGGAAGATGGGAATCGCCATGGCTCCTGTGCCAGCATGGTAAGCATGGTCTAACACTGGGGTTAACCGCCTGGAGACCGCTAGAGCGAAAAATGACAATGACTGTGGTTGCACATCAAGACAACGGAGTACTATGCAGTTCTTAGTGAGGAAAACATAGGATATGACAGAGGACTCCAATAGAGGAATGATTTGTGCACTCAGTTATTGCTTTGTTCGGCTACTAACTTGGCAAGTAATCAAAACACGTTGGGCGCTCCATCCTATACAATTGGCCAGCCTGCTCGCTGGTCGCAAATTAGTTGGAGGCGCCATTTTTACCGGCTTCATTTCCACTTAATATACACCCTGGGCACGTGGCTGGGGGATAGGTCGGCAGCTAAAATGCACTTCTTTACTAGTCGTGGTACTAAGAAGCTGCAGCTCGGATACCCGACCGTTAATTTCAATTCCTCCTGCATCTTGGGATTTATGCCACACCCCACGCGGGAAAGACCCCATGCCGAGAGCATCCTAGCCGATAAGATACTTATATAAAGAAATAGTACCCCTCTGTGGATCACCTCGGTCAATCTCGCTATTATTCTCAAAGCAAGACCAACGTTTTTGATTGCCCGAGGCAACCCCTTCGAACAGAATCATCATGTCGGGTTCCCTGGGACAGACACTCTTTGCCTCGTTGCTTCTGGTGTGTATTAGTGGTGTCAACGCCCAGGTACTGGCTCCCACCAACGATATCCTATCGCCGTCTACTTCGACAAACCAAAACCCTCTTAAATATGCCGGGGGGAATAGTCCTTACTTCGCCGGTACGAGACCTCTCTTTGCATTCTGCGATGACGGTGGTCCTTAATTGTATGCTTAGGTCCCAATGTCTTTGGAATCGATAACAGCGTGCCTGAAAAGTGCTCGGTCCAGCAAGCCGCTTATGTCGTGAGACACGGCAGCCGGTAAGTGTTTCACCAAGTACTGCGTCCAGCTGCCTGGACGCTGAAATCGAATTGCAGCTTCCCAGATTCTGGCTCCTATGAATCATGGGTGGGTATCAAGGAGAAGGTCTGTCTTTCCCGCTCCTATTATACCCCTTTGGAACCGTCGTTGATGCAAATTCTCCCGCATTAGATCCAAGCTGCCGTCAATAGCACCGGATTTCAGGCCCGTGGATCCTTGGCCTTCATACCAGAATGGACTCCCGTTCTGACCAATCCAACCTTGCAAATGTCCCAAGAGTCAATGACGGGGTGGAAGGAGGTATTTGTCCTATCACCAGTAGCAAGAGGGTTTAAATGCTAAAGGTGATTAGGCGAATGATCTCGGCTACCAGCTGCGGGCCCGATGTACGAATGCAGCCCCAAGTTTATTATCCTTCACGGCTGATGACATACGACAGATCCCCATTTCTATGAAGATGGAAGCCCATTCTACGCGTGGGCGAATGCTTACCAGTATCCGCTAAACGAGTCGAGAGTCGTTCAAACTGCCCGTGCCTTTGTCAATGGATACCTTTACGAGTATGCTGACACCTACGGCACTGTGGTCAGCGTGAACTCGACCGGCTCCGTCAGTGCCATCGGCAACTCCCTGGGACCCTCCGATATGTGTCCGGCATTTTCTTCTATTTCAAGCGGAGGAAATAATGTTACTGATTGTGAGTCTCGGAGGCACCACGTCCGTGCGACCGGGCTAACTCCACGACAGTCGACGCTACCTGGACTCCCAAAGCGCTCGAACGCATCAACTCCCTCGTCAGTGGCAATCTCACATTTGATGAGAGCGATATCCTCTTCTTCCCGTATCTGTGCGGGTACGAAAGCCAAATTACCGGACGCCTGAGCCCCTGGTGTGGAGTGTTCACCGAGGATGAGCTACGCAACTACGCTTATTCGCAGGACTTGAGCTACTACTACAAGGTCGGCCCTGGTTCCGTTGGTCCGGCCAAGGTTCTATTCCTACCTTTCCTAAACAGTCTGCTGGACCTTCTAAGCAAGGGGCCTGGTCAGATTGGCACCAATGTGGACGGGGGAAGCTTCACCATTCCCAACCTAATCATGGCCTTCTTGAATGATAATCAGATCGCCGAGATGACCGCTGCCATGGGCATCTTCGATGACGAGCCCTCCCTGCCTACCAACCAGCTCCCCACCCACCATCTGTATAATGTTGCGAATTGGATCACCATGCGGGGGACGGTTGCCTTTGAGGTTTTGAACTGCGAGGTCGAGTCTCGACGCCAAACATTCAACAAAACCTATGTCCGCGTCCTGTTCAACGACGCCGTCTACCCCATCGCTCACTGCCAAGATGGACCTGGCCGGAGCTGTTTGTTGTCTGATTATATCTCCCTTCTTGAGAAGAAAAGCAAAGGTGCGGGTAGCTTCAACGAATATTGCAATGTGACGGTGGCAGATGCCCCCAGCCCGGTCGCGGGCGCCAGCTTCTTCACGGACCTGAGCCTCGACTTTTTGACGTTTGTCAAACCATGATTGTGCCATCGGAGTTACACTTTGGTGTTGGGAAGCATGTCTTCCATTACCACCGTACGAATTTTGTGACTTGGTCTATGTATTATATTCTACTTCGATAATGTCGGTGTTCACGGTGTCCTGCTCAAAGGTGACGCTGCCCCGATCGAAGGGAAAATTAAACGTCAATGCCAGGATGTACGTACTTCACCTGCTTTTTACGTCGGATAGGGACTTAGTGCATTTCTATTTACAACTATATACTAGCATGTTTTTCCCGCTTCCTCATTACTTGCTGTTGAAAAACTAAAAAAACATAAGGGGAAAAAAAAACAGGTTCTTGCGGTACCTCGTTCCAATAGCATCCCAAGGACAGACAGAAGCTATGTAGCCGGCACCAATAGCCAGTTTTGCCTGCATGGAGATCATCAGGTCACCGAGAGCAGCGGCCAGAATCTGCATCAGACCACACTCTTGTTTCATAAGACGGCGCATGGTCTGGCGAAAATGGACAAGCCGGATAGTCCGCGGCCACTTCCTGTGATCCAATGTTAATTGACGTGGGTGCAGTAGATTGACGGTCGGAGAAGATGCTGGCTGAATCTCCCCGGGAAGACCAGGTACTCCGTACGCTGCTTGCCTCCCCATCCCGGCGATCGCGTGTATTCGCTTTAGCACTAGCTGCCCTCGATATCGGTTCTTGATTTTCGTGAACTGCCTCAATCTCCATCTCAAATTCAGCGCCGTCCCCAACTCGCCACCGAGCAAACAGGTCATTTTGGATCCAGATGACTTTCCCCAGCGCCCGAACCAGCGCAACTCGGAAGGGGAGGGACATCTTCTCGCACCCCATGACTCCTTCGATGAGCACATCTTGAATGTAGCCAAGACAAGCACCGATATGTATATATTCCACGTCAAAGGAGATCATGCGGTCTTTGCCCCGGTGCATACGCCTAGCTCAGCTGTCAGTTGGAAAAATCCAGATTATCAGGCCCGGTCCGACATTACCCGACTTTATCGAGGTACGCCCAGAATTCAATCTTCGTTGGATCAGAACATATTCGAGTGATGTACCAGCGGAGGAACATTCGGCGGCATTGCATATAAGGGCTTTTGAACTCGGGATACTCATCAACATCCAGCTCCGATGTTGTGCTCCGTGTCTGGAATACGCGGGCTGTGATATCAGCCTCCAGCAGCTTGGAGTATACGCGATCGACAAGGGTGGGAGCTAGTGCTTTGATGTACTTGGATCCTCGGTTTAGTGCAATAACATCATCTAGAAAAATGTATTAGCGACAATGTTCGGCCTTTCCCGGTCGCGGAAAGATAGCGGGAACAAGGATACGGGGCGACTGACCGGCAGTGAAGCCAATAAACTGCTGTAAATAGCGAACGCGAGCTTCAAGATCTGTATAAAGGGCTTTTCGATCGACATGACGCGGTAGGGTGCCTGAACCGTTGTAGTCTCCCATGTTGTATACTAAAGTTATGGATTGGCTCTGGTATATTTAGAGTGACAACCTAACTCGTCGCCACATGGCAGTGCCTCCAGGGCCTTACTTATAGCCTCTTTTGAAGAACCCATGCAAGGGCGTCATTCAATGTTTCCGCTGATGGAATATGATGCATCCACCCTGGTTGCCGTCCATGCGCATTTAGGGTTCCGAGCTGCCTTGTCCGCGGTCGGGTCCGGCAATGACAAGCGAATCACGAGGTCTGCGAGAACTGGCATCCCGCTATGTGGCTTCTGCTGAAACTTTGCCACTGATAATACTATCATATCGCGTGGGTGACAGATCCGATGGACTGGCACACTGTTCGAGTTATTGCAGAAACTATGTATAGCTGCGGCAGGGGAGTTGCCGAACTATCGCTTAGCTCGGCCGGTCAATTCCAGCAGCATCATCTCTCGACTCCGATGGAGCGTCAACCCTCGTGTGTGATCTATACTGGAATGTTCTGATTAGTGTGAAGGGATCGCGCATTTTGACTCCTCGTTTGTATTACGACACGCCGAATGCGATCAGATTGTGTTCCGTCGAAGGTCCTCTGGGCATGGCGGTCTAGTCCAGGATCCGTGCGAGACGCGTAGATCCTGCGCGCTGAGTCTGTTCCCTGTCATTCGCGTGGCAGAGAACCGTCCACTTGCAGGTACGCTTCGTGTTTGAATGATGCTTTCCACTTTTCAAAATAAACTTTCTTTCCTTGCTGTGAGGAACGGCGCTGGTGATCTGAAGGATCCACCTTCTTGCCCAGTGCTTAACGATGAACATGATCAAGACATCAAGAACAGAAAACATACCCAATGCCCGCCACCACACCTTCTGGCCAGATTATTATCCACCTTCTTTAGGGTGGATGTAGAAGTTTGAGTTGTTCTCACCGCTATTCATCCTGGGTTATACGTTTCCGATGTTTTGACATGGCAAACGGATATGTAAATTTGATATGGAAGCCATGGTGCAACCAAATCGTTCGATGCATGGAAAAATCGCATTATGTAAATTTAACGACTTTATTCTCCTTCTATTGATGTGGCCTATGTGTCCGAGGACAATCTATTCGGATTGACACAAATGAAATTGCCATCCCTTCCCGATCGGCACACCCCTTGCAACCGGGCGCTCCAAAAAAATCATTACCTACTACAGCTCGCTAATTATCTCCGCGGTCCCTAAAAGGAATTATTCGAGCTATGTCTGATAATCGACTTGACGTCAGGATCAACCTTGCAAAAAGAAACGGTACCGGTCGGCAAATAATTACACTCTATATAAGGCGGATTCCAGTCTTTACTTTTGAGGATGGATTGCTGGTTGTGTTCTCTCCTCTTCGCCATCTCTCCTGGGGCCCGGTAGTATGTCCCCTTAATGAATCCCTTCGAAACATACACCATCAGTACTACCCCTGGCGACAGCTTTATAATCACTTCACACAGCCGATATTCAAATATGTGTGAAGAGCTAAGTAATTATACAGGGTGGGTAAACCATTAATGGTATGCGTACTCAACGCCAAAATAGATGAGAGCCACCAAGAAGCAATAGAACTGAATGGACGAGCTATGCCGGAGGGATCTGTGGAGGCATTATTCCCTACAAGGGAATACTAGCCTCGAGAGAACAATGTTCCGTGAAATACCATTCTTCAAAGTGTTAGCACAATCCAAATCTCATCCGTGCATAAATAGATCTACTTACCCAAGGCCGACATTGCGATGTTATCGGCATTTCGGTAAGGAGGCATCTCGTGGTTTTCTTCACACTTCGCCTCGTCTTTCTGCCAGTTATTTGCTAGAAGCCGGGCGTTCTTAATGTAGTTGGTCGTCTTCCAATCGTCTGTTCCATGCGCCGTGACGCCATCCTTACCACTGTGGAGAAGTCAGATTATCACCAACGAAGGCCACGGTAAACTCATTCCAGGACTTACGTGTATTCAGGTAAGCCAGCCTGCTTACCCACAGAATCGACGTGGGTCATCTCATGGAGGATGTGCTGAGCTGCCAATTCGTACCATTTGATATTCTTGTGGTCTTCGCACCAGTATTCCTTTTTAGGTCCTTTACGACTGGGGCGTTCCCCTTCCGGCGCACGCATGTGTCTCGAGTTCAAGTTGTTCTTCGATTCCGGGTTATCGCTCTTGAAGAAGATCGCTTTTGCATATTTCTCGTCCTCAGTCTTGCCATCGCCCTGTTTGCCGAAGTAGTTTGACCAACTATTGCGCTTTACAGTTTCAGCAATTAGTTCCCACCATCTGTGGCTGTATCTTTTGCTGTCAAGTTTACTTACGGGCGCTTGGAAGTATCTATGGTCTTTGCGAGCGTTACCAGAGTGTGCACATCCGCGAACGCTTGCTCGAGTTTCTGAACTTGAGAGGCATCACATCCAGCACAATTCTCAATGTACGATATCGAAGAAGTCCTGGCAGTAGGTGCAGCGCAGGCGCCGTTCGAGTAGGGCAAGAGAGCTGCCCCCGCGGAGAAAAGGTGATATAACGAGTACATAGTCTTTTGGTTAACGAGAGATTGATGAAATAGTAAAGAAACAATGCCGCTGGGGTAGAAAAGAGTGTGTGCGTGGTATGTACCCTGCAAGCGACTGGAAATCGCACAGGCTTTAAGGGGCCTCCGTGGTCTCCAAGAGCCATTCCCTATTGTCTTTCCTATCGTCCTATGTGTGCCATCTGGGCCGAGTTTCAAGTTGGATCGATCCTTCTGGGGGCCATGCTGATATCTTTGATAATAATAAATAAAAGAAGTCCTGCAGCTGTAGTCTTACAATCCGCCCGCACACTGTGAGACTAGAGCGTGGGTGGTTGGAAGGGTCTTGGGGGCCAGGGTCTTGGGGACCATATCCACCTGTGCAGGAAACCGAAAAGGGAGGCCGATCGTAAGGGTTTAAGGCTGAATGATGGTGACTTAGTAGTAGGCTTAATTCTTGAACTAGTTATTTTAGTTACTTTTCTGCTGGCCATGCTGACAAAGTGAAACCAACTTTCCCCCCACGAACTAGTACCTAACTGCCCCGTTGAATCAATTTACTCTCCTTAACTATCCCGCTTGTTACCATATCTTCTTGCTTCTCATCTCAACTGGCCTTGCTCTCTGTCTCTGTATCATAATGGCCTCGCCTACTGCGCATGATGGAGTGACAGTTGCCCTAACCGTGACCACAAATTCGCCGACATTGTCGCTTTCCTCTTCCCACTTTCTTGAGGTGTTTGTCCGCGCCCGCATCATTCATTCCACGCGCCCGGGCCGATCAGTCACCATCGCCGCCGACCGGTCGGTGTTTGCAGGGGAGGGTCTGGAAATTGGCGTCTTCGGCCCCGGTCTCACCTCCAAGCAGGATCCCTCGCGGACCATCAATTTCGGGGTTATTAGACCACGCTATCATGACCATTTTGAGGGGCCAAGTCTGGCCGAAAGAGGGTACCGCCTCCTCACCATCCCGGGAGACGGTTCAGACATTGTGGTTCCTTATCAAATACCACTTGGCCGTCTGTTCGAGCATTCTCCTCTCCGCCCAGAAGATATTACGCCTGGAGAGGAGTTCGAGATCAAAGTCAACCATAGCCGATGTGACGTCTTGTGGTGGTGCTGGGGTGATGTGGACGGCGATCTCAAGGGGAAGGACCTTCACACATGGTCGCAGGGAGGGAATTATTTGTGCCCGTTTGATGAACGACCCACTGAGGCGGAGATCGAGGAAGGGAACTATATCCTGGGAGGGGATGTGGATAAGTTTGAGGTAGAGGACCAGACAGGACCCATTGGCATCACGATAATCGCGTAGCCTCGGTAGCATCCAATCCGATCTCTATCATGTGCACATCCGCCATCATTGGTTGGAAATAGCTCTTGTGAAGACCCATTGGATCAGTAGATCAGGATGAGACATTATATGCGCTTCTGGAAGGGGCCATAAGCCAGAGCTAAGCGTTCATGACCCTGATCAGCACGGAGATTGCTCCTTGTAGGGACGCTGGGATGGGCCCGTAAGCTGACAGCATCAGGCAGCTACATTGTAGCACGGTTATTACCTTCATATCTCCGCCGGTGTTAGCCTGAATCATGGCAGTCCAAGTGCCAGTCTATCTGGATGAGAAAACTTCCGTGTGTCGGCTGTTGCGGGTTCTTGGGACGTTTCGCTCGATCTCCTTGGTGCCGATAGATGCTCCCTCAACGCACTGGGGTATTAGCAATCGAGGGGTGCCAGCGCTTGTCACTGAGGGCGGAAGTCAGATGGGCCCCACGACCACAAACATGAAGTTATGCCGAAATCCCGGGGTTTACTGCTCCTCGGGAGAACCATACCTGGGATTCTGAGATGTGTAAGAAAGGCAGTAGGCAGCGAAGAATACTCCAGTCACGGTCAAGGAGCGCAGATGGCAACCACCCTGCCGGAAAGAATATACAGAACAAGTACAAACGCTGATTTGCTTAAGACCACGGTCTATAATAAATCATACATGCAATCTCGCTCTCGCATGGTGAGTAGTGTACTCTTATGGGCATACTGAGAAAGGAAATTCATGTGGCCAGTCCATAGATACATTGGCTCAAACCAAGGTCAGAGTCGCAATCCCTCAGCTACACAGTCTACCACCTTCTCGCGAAAGTCCAGAGAAAGTTCTGGATCACTTCCTTTGCGGAAATCGCCACTAAGACAAGCCACGACCGCTGAGGCATAGGCGCTACCCATCTCCTTTGGTAGGTCACGCTGGGCCAGCGATATTAACGCAGCACGAACGTCACGAGCCTTGGGTAATTTGCGAGTACGCTGGCCCTCTTTGATGCGTGTTTCAAAGAGGCGAGACACTGTCTTCCACAGCCCAACCTCTAACAGTACCACCCCCAACGCGTACATATCATGGAGGCGGGAGAATTGTCGTGTCGGAACGCCCTGACGGTCGGGGTGGCGGTAAAGGTTGGGTTCTATTTCGAAATCACTGCGCATGTCGGTCGCTCCTTCGACCGGTCGGGCATAACCCCAGTCACCAAGGAATGCGAGAAGGTGCGGTTGTCGCTGTCCACCCTTGTTGAATGTTGCAAGTGTGGTCAGGGACAGTCTGGACAGAGGCTCGACGACATTGTCCTGACTCTGCTCGAATAACAGAATGCCTCGACTCCAGATGTTCTTGTGTAACCAGAGCGAGCCGTGTACGTTGAGAGTGGTTAGTGCGAGGCAGTGCGCAATGGCGAAGCGATCCTCCAGCGACGGCTTTGCGGGTCGTTTTGTCTGAGGATCTACCTGGTTGATCAAGCTGTGCAAAGTCGTCAGGCCGGTCTGCACTTCGGTTGATTTATCGTCGGTGTCATGAATTGGTAGTCGGTACGCAAAGACTGTTCGTTCCTTTTCTGTCTCATCCTTATATCCCAGGCACTGGAGGGAGTATATTGTTGGTTGGGACACCTCAGCATCCTTCTTGCCCGCCGAAAACGTGGAATTTTGAAGTAGCCAGGCTAGGTCCCGCAGCGGCGCCTTCAATTCTGCAATCTCCTCCTCGTCAAGGTCATCATAACGCAGGCGGCGATCATATGGGCGAAATTCCAGGACTACGGGAGTTGATCGGCCCTGGTGCGTCCACGAGCCCAAGTGAAACCCGTCCGATGCGTTGCCGGACTCGGCAATTTCACCCTCGAGCTCCTGAAAGTCAGCTGGAGCATGAAGGAATGCCAATTGCTGTCGTTTGACCACCTCTTCTAGTCCTGTTCCTTGCACATCGGTCGCGGTTGGTGGTGGTTTCGCTGCGGAGCCATCCGTCAGGGTGTACAAGGCCTCCTGGGAGAAGTGCTGCATCAAGTCCCGCAGACTGTCGGTCCACTCTTTGTACTCAGCCAAGACACCCAGGAGTTTCTTCTTATCGAAGAGTGCCCAGTCGTACCCCTTCAGCTTGATTGCTTTGGCTTTGGCCTTGGTCCGATCGAGGAATGACTGTTTCCATTTTTCTCCCTTCGGCAATGCATCGTCGCCGTGGTCAAAAGCTGCAGTTGAAGCATCCAGGATCTCATACTCTTTGACTAGAGCACGATATTCCACCAGCACGCGACCCATCTTCAGCAAGAGGTTGCATATCGTCTCAGCGACCCAGCCCGGGAGCTGCCCTGGGAGCAGTAGACCACGCTCCTTGTCCAAGAACCGACGCTGAAAGAATTCAAGAGATGTTAGCTGCAAGTCCAGTCGAAGCTGGATGGCGGCTCGGTCATCGTCATAAGCTCTGACGTCTGAAATGACTCCCTTGATGAAGATGGTCACTTGGATGACTTGCTGGACGGCAGTGACTGCGGTTCCATACACATCCATTTTCACGAGCCTCGTATGCTGTGTTAGCGTTTACCACCAGACACGACACTCTGAGCAACAAGAAACTAGCCAGTATTAATATTCGGGCTGCCGTCAGACCCACCACGCAGGGGCCCGAGACGAGTCATGTCTGCAGGTCTGACAGGTGTCCTAGCGCTGACGTGAGGAGCCCCTGCCTTTTAACTATGCTAAATACAGGTATACTCTAACTGGTAAAGGAATATGTTAGGTATATCATAAGTTCCCATTCTCGTATCCAGAAGCAGATAAAGGAAAGATTGAAACTATAATAGGTTTGAATCTTCAGATGATACGTTACTAGTACTTACTATTTCCGTTGCTGGCTGATATCGTGAAAATATATTAACTAAGTTTCGGTACCCTCATGTTTTCCCAACTATGGGTATTACACTGCCGGAAAGGTTGGCCGAGTTCAAGCCAAGTAAAGCACAACAATGATATTATAATGAAGTAATAAATTATTTTTCACATGATTCTCCGACAGCTTCATCAGAGGGTTGCTCGTTACTTTACGGCCAAAGGGTAGGCCGGGTGTGCCATTGCAGGTCGCGAACAATGTTTTCAATGCCTCTTATAAGTTGTGCACCTCTAACATCTACATATGATTTAACACCATTCATCCCTGCTTGTTCTGTAGAGCTGGTGGCGGGGTTAGTGGCTGGTGTTTGGTCTGCCAGCGTTTCCTCTTTGTTGTGATTAGTACCCGACCGAGAATGAAAGGGTCTATTCTATTGGTGCTGCTAAATGTCATTGGTTCTGGGATACTACTTTCTCCCGTCCCCCACCTTAGATGGCCTCATTAGCCTCGGATTAGGAAAGTGCAGCCCAAGCGATCAACAAGCAGCGAGTGTTATGTTGATCGACCTTGTTTGACCCGATAACTAACTACGTATTCACTGCTGCTGCTTCCCTTGTTGTTCCTGCATCCGTTCTGCCGCCAGTCCCCGCTTTCCCAGCGGCTTTTCACCCCATAATTAACACGATTTCACGTCCCTTGATCATCATTGATCATTATCGTTAAGCGTTAGTCGGGTGCTGCAACAGCTCGTATTTCCCTCCATCCTTTCTCGGCTGGTATCCACCCCACCGGTATTTTGACCATGGCCACAAACGAGAGACCCCAGATTCTTCTTCGCTCTCGCCTATCGCGACTACCTCGACGAAATCTATGCCAGCTTCTTGGACAGGATTCTGGAAGTGGCCACCCTCAGGCGCGTGAAGACCGCGTCCGCCGCGCTCAGAACCATTGCCGAGACGACCTTCAGCGCAATAATCATAACGGATGAAGGCCTTACCCACTCCAATCAACAGGCCCGAGAAGTGCTCGCCAAAATCAAAGCATATATTGAAAATGGCGGTCTTGTCATCGCCGGTCTGCACTTCCCCAACTTCTGGCCCAAGGACACGCTCAGGAGATTCTTCAGAAGCTTCGGTCTTCCCTGGAGTGATGGCGATTATCATCGCACAACATTCCAACTCAATCCGTCGGGTCTCTTGCCTGAAAGGATTGAGGCATCTTCATTGCCTGAACCGTATAGCATGAAGGTGCTTCATATTAAGGATGCCGGGTCGCAGGAAAAGCTCTATGTTCCGATTGAGGGCGCGCTAACGCAAAGCCATGTTTTCCCTCCAATGCGCGTGGATGAAACCCAAGCTGCTGTGGTAGGGGCCAGGCTCGGGCGGGGGTATCTTTATTACTGCGGAGACGTTAACTGGGAGGATGGATCGAACCAGCTAATGCTGTCGCATTGCGGCTTTTAAGGAGAATACGGTCTTCTGGAGAAAGATTACAATAGGTATTAGGTAGCGGAAGAAGTTGACGAGCAAACAATTGCGCTACAAATAAGAAAATCATCTCGACCCTAGCTCGTGACCCCGCGGCGAATGGCTTCAATCTGCTGCAGCCACCGCCTCGTATCAGTGGGGATAGTGTCAGCACTAGCGGTAGTGTGAGTGACGAGTGCGATGCGCACGGCAAGGAAGGGAAGTCCACATCCCGCCTTCATTAATGATTGACCCGGGCAACGGAAATGGTCCGATTGTGCGACACCGTCATCCTCTCTTGCACGATCATGGATTTACTCAACGATGACAGCGCGGCACTACTGCAGGAGGCCCTCGATACCCTTGATGAGGATCCGGTTGATGACTTGGACCCCCTTGATCTGGATTTGGACGACAGCGGAGCGAGCATTTCTCTCGACGACCTCTTGGACAACACGTCTGAGCCACCAGATCTCGACCCGCTCAGCTTGGTTGACGGCGAAGAAACCTATGATGGCCACAGCTCATCTTCGACAGACCTCTTGGAGGAGAAAGTGACGGCCATCCGAAATGGAGAGAATCCCCTAATGACCTCAGTGTCCGACTTCACCAGCATCCTCTCGCGAACCGGCATCCATGGACCTCGTCACCTGCAGACATACAACCTCAAGCGCCGCGCGGTCAAAATTGGCAGCGGGGGCCAATTTACAGTGTACAAGGAAACTCCAGGTCGATTTTTCGGCAACGAAGGGCTAGTGATCAAACGCGTCAAAGTGTTTCTGTCCCGCGAGGGCAGCGGCAGTTTTGCCTCCGGGTCCGACTATCGTAACCGACTACGATCTTTGGAGCTGGAAGTACTTGCTCTATCCAACCCATACCTCCGAAACCACCGCAATATTGCCAAACTCGTCGCCTGGGGCTACGATTACCCTTATCCTGATACCCCAGTTCCGGTCTTATTCGTGGAGGAGGCGCTCATGACTCTGACCGACCTTCTCAAAATTGACAACGAGAGGCTACTTGGGCCGCAACCATTAGATGTTAAGTATCAGCTGCTGCTGGATGCAGTCTCGGGACTCGAGGCGCTGCACCGGTTGCATATTGTTCATGGAGACGTCAAACCAGACAATATCTTGATCTACAAAGATACTGCAGGCAGTGATAATGTCCCGCTGTGTGCCAAGATCAGCGACTTTGGGGTTTGCGTCGATTTAGAGTCTTCGGAAGATAAGCTCACTATCGACAGCTATTATGGGACGGAGGATTGGCGGGCGCCTGAAGTTAGCGATTTGTCCCGGTGGGAGGGCGCTGCTTTTGACCCAGAAGTCATGTTTCGTTTCGACTCCTACAGCTTGGGATTGCTTATCTTATCAACCTTCATCAATCGTGGCGAACCAGTAAAATTGAAATCACCTGGGGAGGAGCCGATCGAGGTTGCTCTATTTATGTTGAGAGAAGATCCGTCCATCACTGGTCCACTTCGCATGCAAATCGGCAAAGCTCTGCGGCAGCTCCTGGCAACGGATCCTTGGAAACGCAGCCTGGCAAGTCCCGAACTGCTCAAGTTCGATAGTCCCGCATTTGCGTCCTGGTAATTTCAGATATTCTTCCCTATTTGATGTCCATCCTTGAAGGTCTGTAATGACTGACGCAATGCCAGGCTTGCAGTGGCACAGGATACTCGCAAGGTCACTGCTAATGTCGGCATCATTGATCCGGCGCACAACCAGGGCCCCAGGTTTTGGTATCGTCTGGATCCCTCCCTTCTTGCAGATCTTGAGCAGCAGTTTGCCGAGTCCCAGAGCGACCAATCCTTGCGGCATGCCGGTGACGTTCTGCTGGGTATGGCCCAGTGCATCACCGGAGCGAAGCCGTCGTATCTCGAACGCCTGCTCACCTACATCACCGAGGCTGCCCGGAGTGGCTATTCGCCCGCTCGAGCAGTATACGCGCAGGTCATGCACGCCCATGGCCAAATGCCGGCTTTCGATGAGCAGACACTAGATAAATGGTTGCTTCAGGCCGTATCTGAGGGGTACTTCTTTGAGAGGCCCTCGACTAGGGTCACGAAGGAGCAACTGCAAGCTGCAAGGCAAAGATATCGAGACGCAGGTGGCTTTTGTGCCGATCCCTTCACTCGAAAACCGACAATCCTAGCTATTGCCCAAGACAGGAGCAGAGCAGAAGAGTGGCTTACAGCAGATAAGAGGTTCGTTGATATTGATGGCAATACACTATTACATGCCGCAGCAGCACTGGGATCCATCGATGTTGTTCAATGGCTTGTTGGAAACTCCAAGATGCCAGTGGACGTGCCGAGTGACAATGGCGAAACACCGCTCTACAAGGCCTGTCAAGCTGGGCAGATAGACACGGTACACTATCTTCTGGACCAGGGCGCAGCTTCCTCCATCACGACTCGTAGAGAAAAGCTGACCCCCTTGCACTGGCTATTCATGTTTCCGGAGTCCTCTACAAGCGCGATTGCGACACGTTTCGTCAAGGAGGGAGGCGCCGACGTTAATGCTTTGATGGTTCCAGAGAGAACCGAGGAGGGTGCATACGCAGCGCGAAGAAACTTCATGGCCCATTAGTAAGTTTCTCAGTGGTTACCGTATGACCTTCATATGCCACTCGGTACTAACCAAAGCGTACAAGTCCTTTCGAACTACCGATGGGGACACCATTCCACTGGGCAGCCTTTGCTCGTAGTATCCCATCAATGGAGGTTCTGTTGGAGCTCGGCGCTGACATCAACGCCACGTATCATAATTCAGACACTGCGACAACTGCCCTGGGCCTTGCCAGTTGGTATGGAGATCTCGAGGTGGTACGATTCCTTCTATCCAAAGGAGCGAACGGCAAAGCAAAGGATGCACGTGGAAGGAACATGCTTCACCTGATGACCTTCCATCAGCCAGAGTATCATGGTCCTTTACGACAGGCATGGCATTACTGGATCCGACACGGTAGCTGGGATACTCATCTTCAACAGATGACAGATCTGGTCGCATCACTTACCCTGGCGGGCGCGAATATCGAGGACCGAGATGAGGTTTACCCTCGAACTACGGCAGTTGTAAGAGCGGCAGAAGATGGGGTCTGGAATGGAGGTGCTTTGTGCGCCTTAATAAACGCGGGTGCAGATGTTGATAGCCCTCGCGGCACTTCCAAGGATACTGGTGAGGAATTCACTTTTTGAAAGATAGCATCGCTTCTGAACTAACACCTATTTGGTTAAAGTTCTCCATCAATGGGCCAGGATCACAGGCCCGCGGCTTGCCTATACGGACTCATACCTCTACGTGCTGCAGGAAATAGTATCGGGGATGGCATGCCTGGACATCCGCAATGATTATGTTGAAGAGACCCCTCTTCACCTATTGGTCACGATCTACCATTCCGAGGAAGAGTTCAGGTCCGCTTGTGATATATTCTTTGCCCACGATCCCCCGCCTGATGTCAATCTGGGCGATCGGCAAGGGCTCACACCTTTACTGATCGCCGCAGATACAAACCAAGTAACGCAGGATCCTGAACAACGTGCAATTTATCTGATCTCCAAGGGAGCCGATCTCGAAGCCCGCACCAGAGAGAATAAGGATGTCTTCTGCCTTTTGGCCAATAACAAGACTTTGAGCGATCAGCAGAGTCACGATATCATTTGTCGCCTTTTAACGCATATGGCTACTCTCGAAGGGTGTAGTATCGCGCAGGTGTACAGAAAGCACTACCTCCCGCAGCGCGGTGCTCTCCTCACCCTCAGCACGGCGGCGATGGCGGGAAGAGTGAAAACCACCGCCCTCCTCCTTGATGTCGGTCTGGACGAGGTCATCAACAATGTGGTTAATCCAAAAGGCCCTGCTACAGTGCTAGACAATACTATTTCCTCAGCAGAACAAAGCCGACACATGCATCTCGATCTTCTGGCCGCATATAGTCCAGGGGCACCACGAGCCCGGGCCCTCGCCTCCCAGACGGTGTATGACCCGCGCCAGGGCCCGCCGGTGCGTGCTGCTGAGGCTTACTGGGGGCTACCAGACGTATTGCAACTCTTACGCGGCCGTGGTGCGAAACGAGCCTGTGAGCTAGTGCCATCCTCCCATCCTTCCCATGTGACCCTTGATCATCCAGACGTCTGGGATATCACCCATATGTACTGGGTTGGGTTCACCCCGGAGACACAGATAAACAGGGAACGCTGGGAAGTTGTTTATCAGCTTTCACGTTTTCCTTCGATAGGCTGGCGGGAGACGATCATTGACAGCCTGAGAGACATGTATGAGTCCGACACGTGGTGGCCAGATCTGGCCATGCTCGAAGCTAGCATTAACGTGATCAATAAGCATGAGAAAAACTTTGCTTCTGATCTGGTACCGACGTTGTCCACTGCTCCTTCCGACACACACACGGAAGTAATAGATGTCGAACTACTTAGGCAGATGCTTCGGATGCTCGTCACAGTAAGACATGGCGAAGATGATGTTCAGAAAACTGATGACATTGGAGACGCTTCCACAGCAATGAGTAGATGGATCAAGATCCGAGAGGGGCAAAAGTACGACCGCAGTCCCACGTCCTCGGAGGCGCTAATGATACCCGAAGTGAAACTCGTTTGGGAGGGCACTGAGGGAACCGGGTTCCGCCTGGGCCCGAAGCGAGTACGTCAGGTTGACTAGCAGCGGAAATTAAATATGCTTATGGACGAACATGCTCGAGTGTTATCAGGCCTTTGTAAGCCGCGTTGCAGAAGGAAATTCACGGGACACCCCAGTTGCAGTATGATACAAGGTCGGGTAGCTCATCTATATGCGCCAATATATACAGTCATAAATACCATAGTCATCGCTCAAGGCTTTGTCGAAGGAAAGTTCCCTGTGCCCAAAATATCTCCATCACTCTCCTGTCCGTTCATGGCGCGATGAATCCGGAATTGCGTCGTCTTGAACAGCCGAGGCATGGCTGTCTCTTCAAAGGGAATCTTCTCTACTACCATGCGCGCGAGCTCCTGTGCCGACCGCCAAATCACCGGCATGCCGTGGCCATTCAATCCAGCTAGGATGAACTGATCGTCCTTGCCGGGCACGGCTCCAATATGCGGGTTCGAGTCATACGAGTATCCCATGACACCCGTCCAAATCTGGTCAACCTTAGCCCCGCTATCCTCCCATCCACGGTACGTCCGTTGCATGTAATCATCGTAGTAGTCCTTGGCCGAGTCAATGAGAACGGTATCGTCAACATTGTTGTACCATTGCTCCTTGTGCGAACGGAACTTGGCGGCTGCTCCACCGACAACAATGCTACCATCGGGACGAGGAATCAAGTAGGATAGCGTGTTGTCTTCGGTGCGGTTGATGTAAGAATTGTTCAACAGTGGCGCAGTCTTCCCTTCGGGCACGGTGATCCGACAGCAGATTCCCTTGCAGGGCACAATATTTTTCTCGTATTCGGGAAGGAGGCCGGCCACGTAAGCATTACTGGCATGCACGACCGTTCCCGCGTGCATCGTGCCGCGGGATGTTTCAATAGTATAGCCACCCTCTGAGCCGGGGGTTATCGATGTAGCAGGGGTAAATGTTTGCAGATTCACCTTGCCCGTTGCGAGGACGGATTGGAGAATGTGTAGAATGAATTTGTATGGCCACATTGTGCCTGCTGTGAAGGAGGCGCAGGCTTTAGCCCCTTTGACGCCACAGATCTGTTTGGTCAGCATGCGCTAGTTTATTGATGTGACTATAATTGGTAGTACTCACTCCCTCCACGTTTTTCCCCGTGTAGAACACCACATCGTTCATATACTCCAGATCCAACGACTTCATGAGCTCATATGTGCCCTTTGCCTTCTGAGCCGCTTCTTCATTGCACCAGACATCGATGGACCGCGCCAGTGTGAAGTCACAGTCAATCTTCTCATCTTCAATGACCTTCTTCAGAGCATGCAGATTGGCAATCTCGAACTCGGCAATCTCTGCGCCAGCGCGAACACCTGCGCGGTCGACGTATGTTGGGATGTGGCCGTAGAAGTCCGGACGGAGATGCCCGCCATTACGTCCCGTGGCACCGGAGCAAGCTCCCCGGGCCTCTAAGATGGTAATGGACTTGACCTTCTCGCCGTGGTCACGCAGCAGATGGTATGCAGTGCTAGCTCCGGCGTACCCGGCGCCGATGATCACGATGTCCGCGTGATCAGGAAGCTGCTCAGTTGAGCGGTGATCGTGCAATTGGTGTGGCTCATTCTGCCAGAAACATTCGCCAGGATTGGGAACAGGGAAGCAGCCAGCTGTAGCCATGATGAGTGTGTGTACAGTCAGAAAAAAAAATGTGAAAAGCGGTTAAGAAAAGAAAGACTGGAACGCGACCGTGTTATTCTGGGCGGACGATAAGGGAGTCTTATCTGATGCTATCGCATCGCATCTGATTCCCACACCGGACCGGACTTGCCTATCGTGGCCTAGCGCCAATCTTATCGGTCGCGCCGGGGCTGTCCTGTTTGGGCAGTTGGGGCCGGTAGGGAGGAATGCACTGGGAGGGACAGTGACACGGTGAGGAGCAGGGCTTCACGATGGATCATCCCTGCGCTGGACCAACGGGATCATGCCGATTTGCAATGCGGGGGGTCGGGCATCAGGCATATACAAAGTCGCCCAATGCCAATCTCCAGATCGCATTCATAATTCTGGCCCAGGGTAGTTAATTCCTACACATCCCGGCCGCATCATGGACGGTTCCTTCAGTTCAGAGAAGAAGATCCCTCACCACTTGACCGATGAAGAGAATGGGGACCTTGAGGCCGTACCCGGCCACCTCGAAGAGGCCCAAGTCTTCCAGCAGGGCCTGCACCAGCGACATATTCAGATGATCGCCCTGGCAGGGACAATCGGCACAGGGCTGTTTCTAAGTTCAGGTCGCGCCATTGCTCATGCAGGACCACTGGGTGGTTTCCTGGCGTACAGCATCATGGGCCTGTTAGTGTCCAGCGTTGTGTTCGCGGTGGGCGAGATGGGTGCCTTGGTGCCGTTGGCCGGCGGCGTGATTCGCTACGCAGAGATCTTCGTCGACCCCGCCCTGGCCTTCGCCAACGGATGGAATCAAATATATTCCTACCTCGTTTCAATTCCGTCCGAAATTGTTGCTGCGGCGGTGGTGATTGAGTTCTGGACGACCATCAACAATGCCATCTGGATTACTGTTTTCGGATTGCTGATGTTGATCACGGCCCTGGTGTTTGTGCGTGTATATGGCGAGCTGGAATTTGGATTCTCCATCCTCAAAATCTTGCTTGTGATCGGCATCAACATCATGGCCCTCGTCATTACTTGTGGTGGCGCCCCAAACCATACCAGCATTGGCTTCCGCTACTGGCGCGATCCAGGTACGTTTGTGCAATATCTCGGCATCGGAGGCTCCTTGGGACGGTTCCTTGGATTCTGGACAGCCCTGAACAGCGCGCTCTACTCCTATTCCGGTATCGAAAACATCACGATTGCAGCCTCCGAAACGCGGAATCCACGCCGATCCATCCCCATGGCCGCTCGTCGCATCTTCGTCCGAATCCTCCTCTTCTACGTATTGACAATCTTCATGATTGGGCTGGTGGTGCCCTCCGACGACCCCAACCTGCTCGGCTCCTCCGGCACGGCCTCGGAATCTCCCTTTGTCATTGCGGCGCGCAATGCGGGCATTAAAGTGGTACCATCGATAATCAACGCGGTGGTGCTGACATCGGCTTGGTCATCAGGTAACTCGAACATGCTGGGCGGATCGCGCGTAATCTACGCCATGGCAGCGGAGGGCCACGCACCGGCATTCTTCATGCGCATGAACCGCTTCGGCATCCCATATGTAGCGGTGGCACTGCTGGGAATATTCATGGCGCTGGGATACATGACGTTGTCCAGCTCGGCCAGCACGGTTTTCACCTGGCTGCAAGACATTGTGTCCATCGCCACGCTGGTCAACTGGGGAATTATCTGCATTGTGTACCTCCGGTTCTACTACGCATGTCGCAAACAAGGGATTGATCGTCACAAGGAACTGCCGTGGGCAGCGCCGTTCCAGCCGTGGAGTACATGGATAACGCTGGTTCTGTTTTGCCTGTTGTTTCTGACAGGTGGATATGAGACGTTTATTCACGGCCAATGGGATACCGAGACCTTCATCTCGTCATACTTGAATGTTCCCATTATTTTTGTGCTTTACTTTGGGTATAAGTGGTGGATGAAATCAAAGATCATCCCGCTTGAGGATGTGCCAGTGCGGCCGTTCATCGAGCATTACCAGAAGAACCCGGAGCCGGAGCCAAGGCCGAAACGGGGATTGCGGCGATTGAATATTCTGTGGGAGTAATTGTACATATAGGTGATTTTATTACGTTCAATAGTATTCTGTATTTAGCCGGCATACATCATGATGTCTTTCCTCTTTCTCTGTTTTGGAACAATGGGACTATATATATTATTCACTATAACGCGACTTCCGCCACACGCATACAAAATACTGGATCTCCGAGTTGCATTCTAGCAGACAACCATTGAGGATCAAACTACGTAGTAAAATCCCATTGTACATGACTTGAGCTACTACGATCAATAATGGTTGGAAAGGGTTCTGAATCCAAAGGCTGCTATCAAAGTGTGGTGTCAGCACGATAACCAGGCCGGCTATCAACACGCCTTATCAACACGTTATCAAGTATCAGCTCCTGGTCGCATATCGTCAATTTCCCCTGACTTGACATGCGCTTAGACCTGCTCTAGTCTCCGTCTAGCGCCTGTCAGCTGTATCTCCAAATGCGACCGGCCCGGCCTACTAAACTGGGCCAAGTTGATGCCCAGATGCCCGGTATCGGCGCCCGTCCGCCACTTCACTATTTGATGCCACGACTTTCCCCGCGATAACGCGTCTACCCCTCAATAACCGCGATACCACAAACACACACGCACACACACACACACACCTCCTCAATTCCCTCTCCATCTCACACACACACAACACCAATATGCCCAACCACGTCGTATTCGACGTCGTCGGCACCTGCGTGTCCTTCGATGCCTTCTACGACACCATCGAGCGCACCCTGGGCCCGCAGCTCCAGGCGCACCACATCACCGCCCAAGCCCTCGGGTTCACATGGATGACCAACGCCGAGCTGCAATTCACCTTTCTGTCCATCTCCGAAAGCTACAAGCCATACAAGATCGTCATCACCGAACTCTTCTACCAAACCCTCGCCATGATCGGCATTTCCGACCCGCACAGCTTCGCCACCCCCGAGCAACGCGACGCCTGCGTAGCTGGATACGCCGCCCTCGAGCTGCGCCCCGGTGCCCGCGAATGCTTCGCCAAGCTCCGCGACGCCGGGTTCACGGTCTGGTGTTTGACGACGGGTGATACGCAGCGGGTCCGCGGATACTTTGAACGGGCGGGTGTGGACATGCCGTTGGAGAATTTCCTCAGCTGCGATACGGCGGGCGTGGCTAAGCCGGCGCTGGCGGCGTATCGGCCGGCGTGGGAGAAGTTGGGTAGTGAGGGTGGGCAGAAGTGGTTTGCTGCGGCGCATCTGTGGGATGTGACTGCTGCTACGAAGGTCGGGTTCCGGGGTGCTTATTGTACGGTTTATGAGAAGCAGGGGGCCTATAAGGTGTTTGATGCGCCGTTGGATGTGGTGTCGGAGACGCTTCCGGAGATGGCGGAGAAGATTATTGCTGCGTCTAAACAATGAAATAATGCGTTATGAAATAAGTATATTACAGGGTTATCGTAGTGTTTAGTGTAGTACAGTGTAAGTTATGGAAGATCAACATGAGTCCAGATCGGATCCAGGCTCGATCCGGCCAGGAACTCTTCCAGCACCTGCGTCTCGGTGCGAGTGGGCCAGGTTGCGGAGGGGGATAGATTGGCACCACCAAAGATGGAGAGATCCAGGGCGGGATCAAACGGGGGAAGCTGCTCCATCCCATCCAGCGGAACCGTCCATGGCTCGACCGTGTCCGGGTGCGGTGGGGCCGCCTCGGATGCAGGCTTTTTGCATGTTGTGCCCCAATTGCGAAAGGCTTCGTAGTCGGACACCAGTCCAGTCGATTCTGCCGCGGGTTCGGGTCGTTGTGCTACTGTATGAAGACGCGCCAGAGATCTTTCCAGTGCCTCGAGCAGAGATACTTCCGACCGTGCAGAATCACCTGCTGCTGACATCTCCCGGAGCAACACAAGTCCCTCGCGCATGGGCTGTCGCAAAGCATCCGATAGATTCTGCACGGAGAAAGCGATCAAAACCAGTAAGGCGGCCCGACACGCGCTATACTCCAGGTAGGACGCTCGTGCCAGTCCTGGCCCGTGATCGCGGAGCTGGCGACAGATATCCAGCGCCTCCTGGGCAGCCTGGATGCAGTCGCCGATGAGACTGTCGCGGTCGGAAGGCTGGAAGTACGTTTCCTCTGAAGATGATTGGGGATTTGCATTCGGGTGGCTAGGAGGCTCCTTGCGGAGGAGGAACGGGCGGCCGATAAACATGCGCAACAGACATGATTCCAGACACAGGTGCATGACGGCGCGATTCGGCTGGTGTCCCGGCTGAACTGAGTTGACAAGCGTGTCATATTGGCTTGCCCACCAGCGGTTCCAGGATTCCTTGCGGGCTATTAGCTGGCCTATGATGACGGGCAGTCCGGCGGGTTGAGCGTGCCTGAGACGGGAGCTGTACGATAGTCAGCATCGATGTCACTACGAAGAGGAAGGGTGTCTGACATGTCATGGAGGAATTCCTCCAGCCAGTCCAGCATCCGGATTGAGATGACTGCACATTGCGAACTCCAGGTGGACTGTGCCTGGCCCATGTCTCCGCGAGCATGAGGAAGGTCTGCATCCACATCTCCGCGATGCACAGACAGAGGTCGTCCGTGAAAGATCGAAATCAATCTAATTTTCATTAGCGAGCGTCACAGCAGTGGTCCAGATGGCATACCTTTCCAGGGAATACGCCGTCCACCAGACGCGGTTCCGCGTCTCCATCATCACCGCACTGAACGCATCCCGACGGCACTTGCGATGCATGCCGTTCTGCATAGCCAAGCGCACTGCCAAATTAACGTAGATGTAGCCAAGCCCAGAGGCATCGACCGGAAGGGCATAAAATCCAAGTAGCAGACATGCTTGTACACTCTCCAAGCAGGACAGCTCGATTATTTCCGGGAGTAGTCGGATGGACTGTTCGTAGAATCGCACCCCGACATCTTCTTCGGAGAAGGACGGCGTCTGATTTTTGGGATCTCGGTCGCTAGGAGACTCCAAATGGGCGTACTGAGTTCCGATGGCCAGCACAGAGAGAAGAATACTAGCGACCGCAGCAGCCGTATCCCCAAGGCTCGCGGGGTCGGTGTACAGTCGGTGCACGCGATCCAATAGCCAATCCTCTTCTACGAGAAACCAATGTGTCGCGGCATATTTGAGAAAAGTCTTGACAAGGAAGCCAGTTATTGGACGAGGAGGAAAACATGCCAGGGCAGCTGATAAATGCTCATTGGTCTTGAGGTGTTGAGCCCGCCAGTATCCTGAAACACGATCGGGGCTCTTGGTCCGCATGCGACTCTGGATGCGCTGCTTGATGCGCATGGAAAAGTTCCAGTAGGAGAATTCTCCGGAGAAGTCTACGATGGCTCAGTAATCATTCCAACATGGGTACGGCAAGAGCAAGACGCACGCGTAGTGGTGTCACCCACCGGGTCGATAGTACAATCCTCTTCTTCCAGAGCCAGTCCAGCCGGGCTGGTCACTTCTGGATGATCTGAGGTTTTGCCGGTAGTGAAGGAGTTTGCCAGACGGGCGAGGTTCTTGGTGTCTAGCGCGATGCCATCAATCGTGTGCTTCAAGATCTGTTCCATGTATCTGCATCGATCCAGCAACTCTTGTACCTCCGACTTGGCTGGCCGTGTTCTGCAGTGAAGGGTTAGTTTGCCGCTGTGCTCAGATGGCAAGGAGCACTCGCCTAGGGACGTAAACGCGAAAATCTCGGGCGCGCGACGCGAGGGCTTTGGATTCACAAGGACGCCGGAAGTGGGCACATCGACGACAGGGGATGCCTCCTTCGCATTTTTCCTTCAAGCGGCGGCATTCGTCGCATCTGGCAATATACTGAGTGAGCAAATTATCTGGGGCATAAATGTACATGTGGATGACTTACGCCCGAGCCGATCGACGACCTTCTGCCATGGGTGGTTGATAATATTCTTGACTGAACACTACTAAGACGGGGAATGAGGAGGCGAATGTGTCAAAGCACCAAGAGACAGGCTATATCAGGGACATATATTCTATGAGCTGGTCCGATGCTTCTCCGCACACGATAAGCTGCGATAGACAACCCCCGCAAGGGCCTTCCTGCTGACCGGCACTTCTTTCGCCGCGGTTGGTCTGTTATCGCCGCCAGTGGGTCGGCTTAACATGCAAGATAAGCGGTTCCCCACAAGCTGTGCTTCTCCTCGTCCTTCTAATATGATTATGTTTGTTGAGAACAGATGACTGGATATCCGGCTAATGCAACTAAAGTTCATTACTATATTCTAGTGTGTTCGAGATTATATAATTAACTTCTACTAACACGTGTAAGGGCATCGGAGCATCTTCTCTTCCTTATCGGTTGCTGCGGTCACTTATGCGGAGGATTCGCGCTATTATAAGCGACCGAGTCCCTCGGCCTCTCAAAAGCAGCAGTTTAGCATTCCGTGCCTACAGTAGTCGCCGTTGACAAAGGCGATGGTCTCCCAACATAAGGGGCCGTCTGACTCGTCATGGTGGAAGGCTTGTCGGTGTGACTGCTATTGACTCGCACAGTTTGAGTGAACACAATTTTGGACTGTTCTACCTCTGCCGATTCAGTTTGTGACGGTCGGGATAGCACGCGGTGCATTCTGACGCGCAGCCGTGTGAAGGCAAGAAACAATGGGCGCATATTCGAGAGACAAGAGGCTGTAATACCCACGGCGGGCTCAATGCAGGTCCACACACTGGCCGGTACTTGGTCATCTATATGAGGGTGCATGAATGGTCAGCTGGGCCCATAAAGCTGGTCGAGGCTTATCTTATTCTTACAGGTAATATCGTCGCCGGATTTTGAAAGCTCAATTAGTGTCACTAGGCGTACAATGTCAAAGGCAAGCGTCCTGGGGAAGGTATATCCATGTCAGCAACAGTAATGCGAACAGCCAGGAGCGAGGATGCTCACAAAGCACCGAGACAGAAGATGCCGGTGAGCATGATCTTCTGGGCACGCGGCACCTGAAGGTTCCAAACGTATTTCATTGGTAGCGCCAGGATGACGGCGTCAGTCACGATGTTTGGAATCTGGAGCCCGTAGTAGAACTTGGCCAGATCGATGCATCCGCCGGGGATAGTCGGGTTCCAGAGCTTCTCCAGCGGAATACAGACGACTCCCCCAATCAGACATACGCCAAAACACCACAGGATAACAGTCGCCCCGACGGCATTAGCCGCTAGTATCATTGGTCGGATGGAAAAGATTCGTTTGTATAACGCGAGGATGGAAAGCTTGGTGAATGCAATGCATAGTGTATAGAGAAAGCTGCCACTGGCTAGAGTCTTCGTGGAATGTCAGCTCAGTATCCCAAGGGCACAAGCTGAGTAAAATCGCCAACCTTTAAATACACTACCAAGTTCGATGGAGGAACGTAGACGATGTGAGTGCCCAGTCCGTTATACAACACTTCCATTTATCAGTTGGGAGGGCTCGAGTGTAGTTGTCAATCTATCTGGGAGGATTACGCACAGACAACTCCAGCCAGTGACACTGCGTATTCGAAAAGCTGCCGCCAGCATCCAGTGTCAGCTGTACTCGGACGAGGTTTGAGGAAGTTCGGTGAAACAGGACATACTAATGCCACGATAATCAAGTAATCGTCGAAGAAGACCTTGGTGCCTGTGATCTTGCGACAATAAAGACGCAGGCTAACCGACACCGTAGAAAGGATCAACGCGAAGCAGGTCGCAGTAATCACAACATGCCGCAAATTATCATGGTCGTATCCAAGATCGCCAGTCCCAGGTGCTGCCATCATGAGTGGAAGTCAGCTGTGACAGGACGATTCTATCACCTGTTAGCAGAGCATGGTTTGCCTTGGAGACCATGGGCAATCCCAGGCTAAAAGAATGTCAACCCATGTGTGTCAGGAGGTTCGATGAGACGTAGATCGGCATTGCCATCGCAAAGGTACTGATCGATGTCATCGGTGGTGATATAGAATGTCTGCTGCAGCGTATTATTGGCAGCCATGGTAATTGAGACAGCCACCCGCTGATCGGACCAGGTAGCATGTCAGAATTGACGGCGCCCTCGCCAAAAAGGGCAAATTCTGCATAGCCTGTCAGCTGTCGGTAGTTCCCACTCATCAGTTGGCCCCCTTGCAGGAAAGCCACGCTCAACAATTCCTGGTCAGTGGTTTGCGGACCTGTCACATTGCCTACCCAGTGGACTGGCTAGTATCATCAGCAGCCGAACACCTCACTCAAACTAAAGCTCTTTTATGGTACGTGAATCAAGGAAGTGGCAAAACATGATGGGAAAGGAAGCGCTTTGTACCAGGACAACCCTACAGTGCAAGTGAGGCTAGAGACATGTTGTCGGGAGCGAGTCTGACTCTGGCAACCTACTATACAACCCCACATTGCGCCTTGTTCTACCCAACGTCGATCTTCTTATTCCCCGCTTACTGCCAAGAACGGCAAGCAATTGGCTGTCATAAAGAGGTGCGTTATCTTACACAGTTCGTTTATCCCAGATGCCTGCGACATGACCCTTTGGCAGGTGGTGTATTGAGAAACCCAATAACCAAACCAAAATTTGATCATATATGACAGAGAACATGATAATTTTCAGGTTTGTATTGAATACCTTACCACTAACAGTTTTGGCCATTTCGCATTAGTAAACACATAGTATATATATAATCTTGGTCGCAAAGAAATGATCATATTGGTTCCATTGAGGAATAACAATATCAAGACCAACTAAAATAATACTAATCAAGTACCAGAGTGGCTTTACTTGACTATCGATCTTGCTATCTTGACTTGTTGTTGACATTCAAGTTAAAGGAGATAAGATATAATTATCAGGTTACGCCACACCGTACAGGGCTCTTACAATGCTATTTTCTTAGAGGGGTGGACTTGAATGGATATATGGTGTTATTGTCTTCATCTATTTATCTCCGAAGCAGAATTAGATAATCCAGGAATGCCCTTAACCCAAACAAACGACCTAAGCCAACCATTCCCCAACCCACTTTCTGAGCCACTCAGGCCGCACACCCTCCACCTCGCGTAACGTCTTACTCATCTTCGCCGTGTGTACCGACGCAAAGACAGTTCCTGGCTGAGTATGTTCCATCGTCAAACCCTCAAAGAAATCCAACAATTTGGCAGCCGGGTTCTGCTCCAACAATGCCTGCAGTTCCTTATCACCCAACCGCTTGCTATCCTTAGTATCAGCCGAGAAGCTGACGCTGGCTGCCTCGATATCCCGCCGGACACGCTGCACCCACTCGTGCAATGGGATGGTTTCAATCTTCTTTCCACTGTTTTCCTTGTCCTGGGCGAGAAGGGCGTCGGCGACGACGGGCCGTATCAAATCCCAGGATTGGGGGTGAAGGTTGACGGGATGGTAGACTTGGACCGCTGTGGGTGAATTGGTAGCAGAGGAGCAGCGATTGATCATGGTAGAGGCGGGAAAGTCGTCCGCACCAAGAAGAGCTAGCTCAACTAGTACTTCGGCTAGAAGATCGACTGGTACCCAGTCAATCCGGTCCACCGGACCCAGGGTATCGGGGAGAGCTTGGAGGTGTCGTGAGCTCTGAATAAGGCTAGGGAACCACTCGGCACGGTTCCAGAGACCGGAAGATCGCACGGCGCCTGCTACCTGACCTACCCGGGCGAAGGAGAAGGATGGGGCAGCTTGTGCTTGCTGGGTACGGTTTTGTTGCTCTTGCTGTTGCTGTGCAGCGTAATCAAGCAGATGCTCGGCAATGTATTTGCTGTTGGCGTAGCCATTCGGGGCGGAAGTGGTGGTAGTAAGGACGGTCTCTGGTATCAGGCCAGACTCGCCGTTATAATGGCCCATGACCGAGCTGATGGATGAGAGAAAGAATAGACGTGGGGATCGTGGGCTGTGGGTCACAAAGTTAATGAGGTTCACCACGCCCTGTATTTGGGGTTCGAAGGTTGCTAGGGGGACGTTGAAGTTCACGGTCCAGGCGTTGTGAATAACTAGCGTGGCGGTTTGCTGCAACTGGGTGAAAACGTCTGGTTGCAGACCCAAATCGCCCCCCTTGCTTAGGTCTGCAGTCCAGAAGCTTAGACGTGCCTCGTTGTCGGCTAGCGGGGTGAGGCCATAGGCTTTGATGCGGTTCTGTTGTTTCTCGCGAGCATCATCCCCACGGTTCAGGCAGTGGACGTGCGCTACAGAGGGATTTTTCAGCAGGGCATCAAGGATGTAAGTTCCTAGCTGGCCAGTGGAGCCGGTCAGGATGACAGTGTGTGTTCCGGGGGTTGGCCTGCTGGCAGTATGAACGGTATCAGGACTGGGTGGTTCGATTTGACTGTCAAGTGTCTGTAGCAGTTTGTCCCGCTCCTGAAGTAGACCTTGTTGTTGAAGTTCGGTAGACTTTTCACCCTGCTTGTCCAGCTGTTGAACTGCTTGGGTAAGCTCCGTTATCGAGGGATACAAATAGATCAAGTTAGGCATGAGAGTAGGTAAATGAAGACCTTGCTTGAGCACGCGTGTCATCGTTATTGTCTGCAACGAGTCCAGTCCCAGAGTATACCAATTTTCGGTGTCGGACAGCTTCTCCGCACTCCAACCAGTAATAGCCAACAGGGAAGCGCGGATGAACGCAGCAACCTGGACGGCATCGTCCACGGCCCCCGGCCCGGGTATTTCGCCACCGTCCTGCTGGGCCAGCTTCTCAGCGTCCGCGTAGAGGGCGTCGAGTTCGGACGCGTACATTGCCAAAGTACCTGCGCGTTGGACGGTGCCCTTTCCGGCACGGAGCATGGGCTTCTCCGGAGTGGTAAATAGAATGTGGCTCTTGGCGATACGGGCGTGAGCTGGACACTTCTCGTTTGCCTGCTGTATGCTAGGCCAGAGCTTCTCGATGACAGCAGCTCTGTCGCTCGCGCTTAGTGCTGGCACTGAGCGGTCCAGTTCCACGATCAGAGCGGCTTGAAAGCGTTGCGCGCCGGCAACGAGGGCCCCTGTCACCTCGGGATTAGAGGCAACCATATGCCCCTCCATTGAGACGGGGTTTGTCTTTTCGCCGTTGAGGAAGACAATCACATCATCCAGGCGTGCGGACGGCCGCCAGAGGTTTGACTTGGCGGGATCCGGGTGGCGCACCATCAGGTCGTTGGTATGATACTCCTGACGGTCGGGGAAGATTGAAAAGGGAAATTGGTGACCCTCGCGCTCAGGTGTGCGCACCAAGACCGCCTCATACTCGTCCCCTGATACATGCCGGAACTCCATACCCAGTTCCGGATGGAAATGGAGGTAGCGCCAGTCTTTAAGAGGATCCCAATTGCCCGTTTCGTGGATCACATTCAAGATACCCAGCTCGGAAGCGCCGTAGCCGTTCACAATCCTCAGCTTGCGGGCTACTATGTCCCCAACAGGCTGGGGCAGATCTCCGCCACAATACATCATGTACTCCAGATGGTTGCCGCAGTACTCCAGCAGATCAGTGGCTTGAGACAACTCCAGCACGATTGACGGAACAACAATTGCCCACTCAAACGGGGTCTGCTTCCTTGCCGCTACCAAACCAGTGGCGCTGGGAAGACCGGCAGCAGTAGGCATTATCAGGGTGACATCAACGGGCATGGTAATGAAAAGAATGTGCCCTAGTCCAGCGGCCTATAGTAGCAGTTAGCACTTGCAGTGAGCTACAATTGTGAAAAGCTTACATGGAAGGGAGGTAGAGACAGGTACATGCGCTTGCCGAAACCCCAACTGTCCTGGCCTTCGCAGCCGTCGGGTATATCGAGTCTTTGCATGTGCATGTGCTTGACGGCGCTATCATGGGTCCAGATGATAGGCTTGGGAATGCCCGTCGAGCCCGATGTGTGCAGAATGGCCAATCGATCATGTGCTGCTTCAGGGTATGTTTTGGCGTAAGGAAAAACCGGATACTCGGTCGCGAGTAGCTCCGCCACGCTGGGAACATCAACAACCTTCAGTGGGTGGGCGTCCAGAATTCCAGCGATAAATGGCGGCCGTGGTGAAGGAGCCAGCAGCGTCGTGCACTCAAGTTTGGTAAATAGTGACTGGTGGGCCACTGCACTGTTGCGCGGCGAGGTAAGAAACATCTGTTAATGCAACCATGTCAGCAAGGCTCCCTGAAAACCGCAATACATGAAAGGACCATCCTACACAGTATCCAGCCTTAACTGCTCCCAATACCAATGCCGGGTATCGCAGGTCATTCGGTCCAAGGTACGCCAAAGTCTCTCCTGTTCCCGGGCCCAAGGTCTTCGTCAGCCAGCCAGCAACGCCATTGATAGCGTTGGCGAAGGCTTTGTAGGTGATCGGCCTGTACCCTTTCTCGTAAGTCATGGGATCCACTGGGTATTCAGCATAGATGGCGTCTGGCTTGACCTGGGCATAGTGGTCAAAGATGTTCGGAAGTAGCTCCGAGCGCGGATCAAAGTCGGGGGAGGGAACCCAAGTAGTCATGATGAGCAAGCAAGTGGTGGTGAAGGCAATTGAAGCAACAAAGAATCTTGATGATAATGATAATGTTATTGCAGCTCACGCATGTCGTATCCTGCCTTTATAAGACCGAATGAGGAGGCGGGGGGGAGAAACAAAGTGAGAGCACGGAATTGACCGTGCCAGTGAAAGGCTTGCCGGGGGTAGGAGTGGACAGAAGACAGGAGGGGGAGTGGAGGCCGCTGAAATAAGGGCCTTGAGTGATCTGGCAAGGCTCGGGGTGTTGAATGTCCGTTTGCTGTCAACAGCCCTAGTATGTATAGCATTGATTTAGCCGAAAGACATGCAGCGGTCTCATTTGTTGTGGGCGAAAGTCTTTCCACTTTCGAGGTGGTCCGTCGGACTACGCGCTAGGCCAAGCATTAGTGCAGGCAGCCGCTGCAGTAAGATTTTCTGGCACATCATGTTAAGACCAATTAAATCAATTTCTAAATTAGCTCGCCTGGCCTATGCGGATGGACCATGACAACAGCTGCCTTTCACCGTTTCACATCCCCCTTTCCAGCTTCTCCCCAGCTTACTCCACATCCTGGTGGCCCCCCGTTGGCAAGCTCATCCAATTAAGACACAGTAAATCTATGATGTACAACAATGGAGCCCGCGGGAATATCGGAACGCTGTGACCCCAAAGTAACCAGACCCACATGGCCTTCATTATCCACCATCACATCGCCTTTAAGCGAATGGAAGTGCCCGGCTACTTTGCTGTCCTACAGGGTGCGCGAGTGGCGGGCTGCGGGGTCCGGAGCCTCTCGACTGACGCTTCCACCACTCTTTCCGGAGGCTGTCGCCGCTATGTATAGCATGCCTCCAATGGCTTTAACAAGTGGGCGATACATGGGAAACCAAGCGGCGATCTGATACGTCCCGGACTCAACGACGCACCAGAGTACGAAGTTGGCAGCCGTCCAAGGGCCGTCCGTCAAGATAGTGGCCAATCCGCTCCAGCGAAAAAAGGTGTTAGTGTCAACGCAGTGGCCCTCCTTAGTCCGGAAGTAGCTCAACGGCTAGCAGGGTAGGAAACCCGCTACGGTCGTACCAAACCAATTGCCAAGAATGATGGCTGGCACCACAAGGCAGGTTATGCGTAGGGGTTTGCTGGTGAAAATATTAAGGTAAAGGTGCACGATGGCCAGTTAGGTCGGCACCACGGCAGAGAAATAAATCAAGGTGATGATGATAATGTAGTGGCCCCAAACGACAACCATGCCGGGGTCTAGCTGGAGGATCCGCGCCTTATGAAGGCCAACGCCCCCGTGGTAAATATTATCTAATGATAGATTAGTCAGAGCTTGATAGGGCCGGCGTCACTAGAGGGACTAGGGGTTCGAAGTGAGTGGCGGAAGAGGGAGGAGAGGGCTGAGAGAGGAGAGGGGTGGTGGGGGGTGGTGGGGGAAAACGAGGCATGGTCCATATCACCTAGCGAGCAGGCATTCACAGTGTACTGCATGGTATGAAAAGCGGAAAACCAAGTTTCCCAAAATTTGCAGTCCCAGATACTACCATCATGGGTGGAACTCAGCTGTATAAGACTGAAGATCCTGGATTGCTTTAGAGATTACGAGCAACTCCTGGCTAAAAGACATGTCATATTCTTCAGGTCAGAGTCCCAACAGTACGTGCATCCGCATTCCGCTTGCAAAGGCGCCGATTGCCGTTATCAGCTGTGATACCAGAACGGCTGCAGAAGTGTGGTATTGGCAGCCATAACAAGTAAATAGTTCAGCCATCCACTGCTCTGGTCTAAAAGCAGCTCGAGATTGACAGTTTCTCACCTGACCATGGCAAGTTTTGCAAAATCTGTCAGCTGCTTGATTGTATATCCAACGTATCGGAAAGGCCCTCTTGCAGGACAGTCAATTCCATAGTGGCTTTTCGTTTCCATTTTAGTGTTGTTTAGTTTAGACCTATCAAATTGGCTGTTGAACTCGATCGCGACCAGACAGGACCCACAGTTGGCGGGTAGTTCCCTGGTCCATATGCAGATATAACCAGAGAAGCCGGAGGCGCTTGATGAAAAGGCCATATTCTGCCAGATACAGGGGTTCATGCAGGGGATGGTTACAAGAATAAGGTTGGCGATCCACTATGGAACCCCACATTGGCCATGCCTTGCTGGGACAGAACCCAGGCGCGTTCCCATGTGGAAGGTATGGATCATATCTCTCGACATGTCAGACTAAGGCAGAGGTTATGGCTACCGTATCAACAAATACGACACCTGTACAATTTCTTCACAATATGAATGTTTATCTCGGTACCAGCAATGTTTCACGTTGGAAGGGACACATGGTTGCTATAATCTAATCGTGTGACAGATCATTTTACGGGAGGCCGGTTCATTGCTTAGGGCAGTAGACGTGTCAAGGCTGGACCTGCTGCGTCAAAAGCACGCATAACAGCCCTGGTGCCTACCGGATACCGCATAATAACATTGCGCCTTGTTCTACCCACTATTAATCTTCTTATTTCCTGCCTATTATCTACAGTGGCGAGGACCTATCTAAAATAAAGAGATTTTATCTTAGATTAAGATATAGGAAATATATAGTTAACTAATCTGATCTCATGAGGATGGTTAGTCATTCGAAGATATAATATTTAGAGGCCAAATGATAAGAGAAAGGATAGCGAAAAATCACCTGATATCTTTATAATAACATTAATTATTTTAATATCCTATATGATATTTATAACATGGACCTTCAGCAGGTGGTGTATTTATAGGAACCCAATAACGAAATTTGACACGGCACAATCGGCCTCAGCCTTGCGCTGCGGGGTAAGATATCAGTTCCATAGGCTATGATAGTCATTATCGTGCTTGAGCCAAAGCAAGTCGCAAGCTTGAGAGCAAATGTCCCGTTCTACGAAGTCATCTTAAACAGCGGCTCGCTTCCCTTCGACCGGAGTCCTAGCCTCTGGAGTTCACGTCAACGACCCAGTGCTGCTTTTCAACACAGCTTTTCAGCCTTGTCGCTCAGGTGGAAGGTCCCACTGTATACTTCAGCACTAGGCTATTCGTACTGTATATTCGAGACAGTACATGTCTGGAGTTTGCAACAGGGGTGTTTGCCAGTTTTTGGCTCCCTGCGGCATCCTTTAACCTATGATTCGCTTTAGGTCGAGGTAGAATGAGACGCCAGCCTTGCGGACTCCAAGTAGGAGATCAGTGATAGGATGGTTTTCAGATACCCCTTGTCGGAGTGGTCATTGACCCCGCTTCTAGCTCAATGTCGGTGTTCTGGTACTACGCGTTGTACGCTAAATATAGGGGACGGCGGCTAGGCAGAGGATTTGATTGCTGCTCCAGGAGAATGTTCCCTGCGAGTGGTATCGTTGGGTGAAGGCCATGAGGTCTCATAGAATGGGTCCTACAAGGCTCACCCTCTTCTGCATGTCAGAGCTTTTCGGATACTTTCGTTGTTAAATTTATACTACGAACTTGCTTCGAGGGTAGAGCTGCACCAAACCAAATATGAACAGCACAGAAGCCAACACCACGTCGATGCACTCACAAACCCGACTGGTGGGCTGGACAACGGAGCCCTCCGGTCGGGGCACACTCAGCTTGATCACCAGCTGCCTGACGACCATCTTCTTGTGCACTTGGGTAGTGATCCACCCACGCGTGTATCAAAACCAAGTATACGCGACGCTACACAAATTCGCCCTCTTCCTCAAGGCCATCATTGCGCCCGAGTTCATAGCCGTTGAAGGCTTGCAGGAATGGGCACAATGCCGACGGATGCAAGTCGACTGTGCCAGGTTCACCAATGACGATTTCCAGGCTATTCACGCGTTCTACATCAGTATGCTCGCCCTACGATACCGCACTCCAAAGGGAGACCGTGTCATTTGGCCAAATCAGTACACATGGCTGCTGGAACAGAACCTAGTCGACTGGGAGGAACACGCCAGTTGGGGTCTTTTGGAGGACGATATCCGCGACAAAAGCAAAGCAGACAGTTTCGCCAAGTTGGCGGCCATGGTGCAGGTCACCTGGTTTGTCGCTCAATGCATCGCCAGAGGCATACACAGTCTCCCCCTTTCCCAGTTAGAAGCTATGACCCTAGGATACATCCCGCTGTTCATCGTCACATACTTCTTTTGGTGGGAAAAGCCGAAAGATATTCGTTTTCCGACTGTTGTGGAGTTGCCTGAAATGAGTACTGAACAAAGAGAAACATTCGAAAGCATGGCAGTGAGCAACAAATTCGACAACGAAAGTTCAAAGGTACAAATGACTTATTGGAATACCTGGTATCTGACACCACGTGTATTCGAGAAAGAGGAAGAGGACAGACAGAGGCAATATGCCCAGCAGCTGGCTAGCCGTACCGCTAGGGACGCCGAATCGTGCGATGACGAAGCGCCAAGTAGCCGCAAGATGCTCTTGGGCTCGAAGGACGAGCAAATACACATGAAGAATGAGGTAGTGGTGGCACACTGGGACCCACAATTGTATCGATCGAAGATATGGCCGCTGACCTGTCTCTTTGGAATCTCCTTCGGGGCGCTTCACTTGGCCTGCTGGGATACCGTATTTCCCACAGTGACTGAAGACTGGCTGTGGCGGGCGTCTGCGTTGGTCTCCATGTTATCGATGCTGGTGTTTATGCATTTCGAAAAGGTAGTCGTTCGGTGGGGTGGCCCGTTGACCTTGATCAGTCTCGCCTCTCCGGCCCTCTATATTGTCAGTCGCATTGTGATGCTGGGCGAGGTTTTCGCCGCGCTGAGAGCAGAGCAACCAGCCATCTATAAGACCTATGACCTCTCCGATGGCTGGGTTCACCTCTTTGAATCCTGAAATTGGTTGGATGAGGCTCGTGATGCGATACAGAGAGCTAGTGGATATGCTGGGGCGGGTAAGAGTGCGACTCAGGTTGGCAAGAGCAGATTCTTTACTGTGTCGTATACAGCATCGAATATGTTTTATGCGAGTAATAAATCCTGAAATCTAATATTTAGTTATCAAAGGTTGTCTCATGAATAGTACGGGCTGAATAAATGGCATGACATATAAATGACTTCACATGATACATATTGTATGGCGTCCATCCATCGTTTCGTCTTAGTTTCGGTGCAGCAGACCCGTGAACGCTGGGTCTGCCGATTCAAAGGCACGCATAACGGCCATGGTAACTACCGGATACCCCATAATAACATCATGCAAGCCAGTCTTCAGGATCTGCTCCCTGATGATGCCATTGTCAGTCTTCCATTCCATGACACTGCCAGCAGCGCCAAGGTCTACTTTGGTGTCTAGTTTCTTCAGCTCTAGCTCATCGTAGCTGATGCCTCCGGGGACAGATCCTCGGACTGCATGCCAAAAAACGGCTTGGCTGTGGTGGGACGGGATGTCATAGTCGTCTTCTGCGTGGATGATCGTAAGGTGGTATTCTTCCCCGTTCACTTCGTTGGCCCGCACGTACTCGGCAATGCGATCCTTGCTCAGCCACTTGTCCCGGATGAAGCCCTGCAGGGATTCGAAAAGCCATGGGAAGCGCGCAAGTGGGGACAGGATGGGAACGATTCCCGCCACACGGTAGGTCGAAACCAACGTGGCAACATCGACAAACGGGGCCACGAGCACGGTGCCAGCAAAGACCACAGGTGGAGATTGGACAGCAAGGTCGCGAGTGATGGCGAGGCTGACGGCAGTCCCCATGGACTGGCCGAAGATGAGAATGCGAGAAGGGGGGATGCCAGCGACCGTCATGGCCCAGTCGACCACCGCACGGGCGTCAGTGATCAGGCCCGCCTCCGAGGGTTGACCAGTACTCCGTCCAAACCCCCGATAATCAAAGGTTAGCACATGGATCTTCTCCGGCTGGCCAGCGGACAGCGCCCGGTAGTTAGGAACGCGATAGCCCGAGCCCACGGTGCCCCCGGCACCATGCATGTGCAAGATCAAGCGAGCGTCGGGGTCGTCGCGCAGAAGCTGAAAGGAGAGCCGGGAGGTGATGTCGGAGACCAATCCCGCAGGCTCCGCAACCAGGGATTGCTCGTGTTGGCGGTACAGTTCCACGGGCAGGATATGCCAGGCGTAAAGCTGCTCCCCATCGGGAGTCCGGATCGTGAAAGGGGTGACCTGATTGCGTAGAAAGCCAAAGGCCTCAGGGACATTGAGGTCCTTGAACCATGTCATTTCGATGGCATGCAGATACACCACGTGGGATTGGAATGTTTGCGTTGTCAGTAGGCCCAGCAGCGTCGCGTATAAGCCGACCGCGATGGCGGCCGAAAAAGAGGCATACTTGAGCAGAGAGGCCATAAGGTCAGTGGCCGCCATGATGAAGCTGTTATTCGTTTCAGCGCCCGGATGACAGATAAATGAATCGTAGGATGGGTGCAAAGATCTGGGGCTAAGGGGAAAGAAAGAGGGGTTTTTTGGAGGGATCATAAATAGTAACAACAAGCTGCCTTGCGCTGCCCGGCGGCTATTGCGACCGTCTGGTTGGCTGCGGTGCGATCCCCTTGTGCCATCCGGAAATCCCCATCGCGGCTGGACTTAAGGTGAAGTTGGGACTTTGCTTCCCAAATCTGTCCTGAATGTCCTCAAGTGGAGAGCAGCCTGAGCCAATACTAGTAACACTTTATCTTCTTCTTCGTCCGGTGAGGGATTGGAGTCCACGAAGGGCAAGAAAGAGTTACTGAACAAATAAATGACTGGCAGCGGGCAGAGGCGTTGTTGATGCCTGAGGCATAAGAAGGTGCGCCCCAAGAAACTCAGTTCGGGGGTGGTTCAATCCCTGCCAACAGAGTTTGTAGACGTAGGCCTACAGTATGCTTGCTACTAGTATTGAGCTGTCAAACGAAGATCTGTGTCAATTCTTCACTGGATTGGGGAGTACTAGTAGCAGGAAGCAGTAGTAGTAGCGGCCAGCTAGTAGTAGTAGTAGTAGTAACGAACGTTATATACTATTTACTACTAGTACTGGTAATTAGTAGTTACTTCTTGTCGTCCCCGTCGCAACTGGCCTTAGTTTATTGGTACTATGTTCGGAGACATTTCCACTTTCTTATTCTCTTTATCTTGTTCATGTTTCGCTATAATTCAGATTGTTAACCGGTTTTATCTCGTAGTATATTCCATCCGTCTAGCCTTCTCGGGCCCCCAATGAAACCGAAAGCCGAAGACCGAACACATGAACAGCCCCTCCAGTTCTCAAGCACTATGATATAAATGCTGACTGCTGAGCATGTGACCGTCAGCATTATCTTACTCTTCGCATGTTCGGATACTTACCAGTGTAGGCCTCATTCCGACTCTCTCCAGTGCAACTTGTCACCATGTCTCGTCAGACTGTTGTTGTCATCGGCGCCACGGGCTCGCAGGTTCGTTGCATGTTCAGTTCTTGATAACCAGTGCAGTACGCTTCGTCTGGCCGCTGATACGTATTCAGGGCAGACCGGTCGCTAGGGATCTCTTGAAAAACCCGCATCTGTACCACGTCAGGGCTTTGACGCGCGATCCGACTAAGCCAGCAGCGCAAGAGCTGGCAAGGCTTGGGGCAGAAGTTCAGGCGTTTGATCTCAATGCAGGCATTGAAAGCCTTCTTCGAGCATTTACGGGCGCCGATGCCGTCTTTGCTATGACAGACTTTTGGGCAACACGATCAGCACAGAAGGAGACTATCCAGGGACGAAGCATTGTAGATGCTGCAGCTCGAACCTCAACCATTCAGCATTTCATTTGGAGCTCGCTCCCCGATCCCGAGAAGGTTTCCGGGGGCATACTGAGAAACATTCATCACTGGAAGAGCAAGAGTGTAGTTGCAGACTACATACAGCAGCAGTACCCACAGTTGTGGGGCAAGACTACTGTTGTGCTCTTCCCTAATTATTTCGAGAACTGCCTGTCTCATCCCGAACGCTACCTCTCACAACCTGTTGGTCCACTTGTTTATCTGATCTACCGCATACATGGCTCTTCGGATCAAAAGCTTACGAGATGATACTAGGATGCGCAGGGCGTGTATCATATGTACTTGCCGCATAGCCCGTCCACTGTCATGCCGAACGGATCAATTCGCGATACAGGCAAGCTTGTTCGAGTGATCCTGGAAGCCGGGGCTACTTACTTTACAAAGACCGTGGCCTTCTATAGTGAAGCCATCTCGGAGGCAGAGAAGCAAGCTATGATTGGGAAAAGTAACTATAACTATCCAAATCATATATTTGGCTTAGTAGTATGAACTATATGGCTTACGCTGCATATCTCAGAATACGGCTTACAGACAATGTACCATGTGATAAGCCCCGATGAACATCGAAAGAAGCTGGAGAGTCAAGGTCTATCTCCTGAGATTGCCTTGGATTATACCGAGCAGCTTCTGATGTTCGAAAAATTCGGAAACGTGTGTGAGGCATCAGAATTCATCCAGGCCAGAGAGGTGCGTAAAGCCTGTGATGCATTGACGTTTCTCATGACTAACTGATCAATATAATGCAGATTCCGGGGCTTCACCTTCAGTCGTGGGCTGAGTTCCTCGAAGAAAATGACATTCTGGGATCTATGAGAGCTTCCTGATGGCTCTCATAGCACTTACTGCGATCTATTTTTGTTTTCCAGACATGCAGAGCTTTGGGATGGACCTTCTCGTCAGACTATCGATATCGATCGCCCCTTGTTGAGCGTTGTAGATTCATACCCAGTATATCCTCCGCCTTCTTGACTTCATTTGGGTAACTGATGCCTCAGGCAATAAGGGAGAAATAATAATCCGAGGCACATGATCGGGCGTTGTTTTGGTATCCATTTCATTCATTTACTCAAGAGGGTCTCTATAGAACAGCCATGTGTCTTCCCTTCAAGTGTATCTCAGTAGCAACAGCAGTAGACTACTCTATATTTTTAGTTCGACTTAGTACCAGTCTAGAACGCAGTGTATGATTCACGGGCATGCAGAGGATCAGCAGAAGATCCACCAGGGGATGAACTGACTGGTTACTCTTAGTCTTGTACAGACATGCAAGTAGCCCAAAGGTAGACCAGCGGTTGCACAATGCATGGCAATGGGCATTCAGGGATTTCTTCTGATTTGAGACGATCACAAGTAACCTTTTGTTCGGTACCACCTGTATCCCCAATACTTGGATTCCCCGATCAGTTTCTGCATTCCATTCCTTCCCTTCTTCTGCAGTGTAACTGGTTCCCCGTGAAATCGCATCGTCATGGTCTTCTTCACCTTTCACCATCCGCTTTCCTCTTCCAGAGGGTCGCATTGTTATTTACTTTGGTCATTCCCCATCGATGCATCATGGCCCGCTCGTTTGCGCTTAGTGACCTGCCGTTCCGAACACGAGAACAACAAACAAGCCTGTGGGTAAGCAGACAATGGAATACTACTGGTATCTCACCATGATCCTGGGGTGGATCCATTCACTGACGCCCGGAGCATTGCTTACGCTTGCGCGCCTATCATTCGTCCCTTCGTATGCTCCTGTGGGGGAGGGAACCACAGCCACCAGCAATCAATGCTACAACTGGAACAGGTCAGCGAAGGAGGGCAGTGCCCGATGCCATCTGACCAGCATTTCAGTACCCTATAAAACCACCCCGAGCCACATGGTACTTCGGACGCTTCCCAGATAACACCCATTTGCTCATCATCCAGCCATGGCCACCTTCAAACCGCTCTTTCCACCCCAAATCGTCCCGCGCGACCGTGGCGATGGCCCGACTCCCTTCCCGGAGACAACGAGCTCCATCTCCCCCATGATCCGGGACAATCTCACCCTCTCCTCCTGGCTCCTGCTCGGTGGGCTGATGCAAGGGGGTGCGTGTCTACTGTTGGGCCCCCTCTCCCTGCTTCCGACCGCGGCCATCCTGCTGTACCGGTTCATCGACCATCTGTTGATGGCCTGCCACATAACCCCCAACCGGTACATGACCGGATCCATCCCTATCAAGCGCAGTGCCCAGTATCCCCGGCCCGATGGCACCTTTGGCAGTGAACCGGCGGGCGAGTCAATCGTGGTCTTCCATCTGGGGGCGCGCTGCCACCATCCACTCGGGATGCTCGCCCCAGGCATGAAGGAGTTGGGCGACAGTGCCGACAAGATGAGTCGAAACATGCGCGCCAACCCCGTCAAGTACGGTCTCCTGGGCACCTCGCACTGGCTGAAGACCGACAGTCCAGCGGGTAACGAGACCATGACCGTCTTCTACCTGCGCGATTACGCTGCTCTTCATCAATTCGCTCACGATGACATCCACATGGAAGGGGTGCGATGGTGGTCTCGCATCGCCAAGGACCATCCGCACCTGGCCATTTACCACGAGACCTACCTGGTGCCCCGCGGGCAGTGGGAGAATATCTACATTAACGGGTTCCCGACCGGCATCGCCGATACCTGGTTTCCCGTGCAGGCCGGAAATGACACCAAAGAGAAAAATTTCGGAGTGGTTGAGAAATGGGTGCGACCGTTGGTTGACGCGCGTGACGGCGTCTTGCGGTCGGCCAGCAAGCGGCTGCAGTTGACACGCTTGGAGGGTCGCGAGAAGGAGCACGACGATATGTATAACCAGCCTGACGGCCTGTGATCGGCAGGTACGGGATTATCGGTGCAGAGAAAGTCTTAAAATTCATGCATCTCTCCTCTCCACTTTCCATGACTCTTTTGAGTTAGTCCGTCTTCTTTCGTAAATGTAAGATGTGCACTCCAGCCGTTTTCCCACTGCTTCTCCTGAGTCCCCTCAACGCCCGATGAAGAGACTAGACGGGGACTAGCCCTCCTTCGAGCCTGCTGGGATGCATTAGTGGCCGCACTAATTCGCAGCTGCCCGAAGGTCAGGGAATCACAATCCAGACACATTGCCGTCCGACCAGACCCGCCAGTCATTCTGCTGCCGCTTATTTTAGTCTTTCTGGGTGTCACTCGCCTTTTGGCTTTTCTCGGGCATGGCCAGGATTCAGAAACGACAACCCACCATTGTGCCTCCCCCTATGGATAGTATGAACCAGTTCTCCACGCCGGTACCACATCGTCTGGGGTCGATGAGCCGTCGATCCGCCGGCAAACGATCGAGAACGGGATGTCGCACTTGTCGGTAGGTGCAAGAACGATCCAAGTGCACATCTGTCGCTACTGACTTGGAACAGAGCTCGTCGTGTGAAATGTGACGAAACCCCTGGCGCGTGCCGGAGATGTACCTCCGCGGGTCGTGTTTGCGATGGGTACGAGGTGCAGAGACTGCCCTTGATGAGGGATTCATGGACCAAGATCAGCCCTGAGTTAAGGAGTGGCTTTCAATGGGTTATTACCTCCGACGAGAGCCGTTGTTTCTCCTACTTCCAGCACCACACGGTGCCCACCTTCCGCGAAATGTTTGACTCCTCGCTCTGGCAGCATCTCGTCCTGCAGATAGGTCAGTCGGAGCCAGCGGTGTATCATGCGACCGTGGCCCTCAGCGCGATCCACCAGGACGCGGAGAGCAGAGGAATGCCCCTGGCTGCGAACTTCCCCGGAAAGAGTCAAGGCCCCTGGCTGCGCTTTGCGCAAGAGCAGCTGGGCCGCGCTTTTCAGAGCCTCACCCGGCGCCGTGCCTCTTCGGATCCCTGGTTGCGCAATGTGACCCTCCTCTGCTGTTTGTTGTTCGTTCTCTCCGACCTGCTGCAGGGCGACTACGACGATGCCTTTACCCATCTCCAGAGTGGCCTGCGCATCCTCTGCGACCTCCAGGCAGCGCGAGAATTGGTGGCGCCTACGCCCCGCCAAGAACTGGTGGAACGTTGTCTGGTGGCTGCTTTTGCCCAGCTGGACATGAGTACCGCCCACTATGGCCTCGGGGGGCCTCTGCTGTGCATCGACTCTCTGCCCACCCAGTGGCAGTCGCAGCCGACATCAGCGGTCGCCTTTGCCAATCTGGAGGAAGCTCGCGCTGCCTTCAACCTGGTCACCAGTGCTGGGTATCGCTTTATGATCTCGGGTGAGGAAATGTTGCTGGGAGACATCGAGTGCAACTACGCTACTATCCAGTCGACCCAGCTGCGGGTCCGCTCCCTGGCCTCCCGATTTTGGCGATCCTTCGAGCCCTTCTACCACCACTCTTACCATCTTCTCAATCGCAAAGAGCAGCGAAGTGTCGAACTGATTCATCTCCAATACCTCGGCTTGATGGTGTCGCTGGAAACAATCCCCCTGGCGGACAACCCAGCTGCCCTGGCTGCTTTCACGCCTGCCATCGAGAAAATTGTTTCTTTGGCTGAGTCAATCATGACCCGGTTCCCTGAGCGTCCCACCATCAGTCTTGACGTGGGTATCCTTCCGCCATTGTACAATGGGGCCTTGGTGTGTCAGGATTATCGCGTTCGGTGGCGGGCCATTAAGCTGCTGCGTGCTTGGCCGCATCGAGAGGGGCCTTTTGACTCCAATTGGATCCTCGCCCTGGCGGAGGAGGCACTGCGTCTGGATCTGCTGGCCGATCCCGCTGTCAGCCTGGATCGAGATACCGCGCCTAGTCCATCCGATGACGATGAATTCGCACCTGGTCGCATGCTGCAGGACCTCAACGATCGACGGTCGCGTTTTAAGAAATCATTGGCAAAGACGGGGGAGGGGTTGGACGATGGAGTTTCTCCGGCAGACTATCTGGGCGCGGTCAAATGTGTGTCTGGGTGGTCATGTATGCGCGCTTTTAAAGCGAGGTTTCCAGACTGCTGAATCTTGGCTCCGATCTAGTGTGAAGACTATTGTGACTAAAGCGTCTCGGCATACATGATCTAACACGTGGGATACCTACTCCATATTCCAAAATATCTACCGTATATCCATAAAGTAATCATGACAAAGCTCGCTTCAATGTCAAGCTCGGATCCTTCATTCCTTCAAGCCGAAAAAGGACTGACTCATTAATCAGGAAGCTCTCATGCAGAAGCTAAACTGGCTTAGGCTCTTCTAGTCTTGATTTAGCCTGCCGTGGCTGATTAGTAGCAAGAAGAAAATCATGATGGGTGGATATGAGGCTAAAGTCTAGGGTCCTTGGCTCCTCCACTTCGGCGTCCTTGCATCCAACTCCGTTGTGATGACGCGTCACAGGATCGTTAGCCCAGACCTAGCATTATCACGGAGGTCCAAAGCTGCGGAAGAAGAATTGCCCACCTGAGTGAGCTACTGGCCTGCCAGTTGAACAATCGCCTATATAAACAGATCGCAACCCGCGACATTCCTTATCAACGCTTACTCAGATATACCGTTAGCAACAATGAAGGCACCACTCACCACTACTATTCTCTCCGCCCTAGCTGCCATCGGCAGTGTGGCTGCCAACCCTCTCCGTCCACTGGGAGATCTGGTCAAGCGCAGTCCGGATGGCAACTTCACCCTCTACGCCTATGGACTTGCCTCTGAACCCGTCAAGTTGTTCTACGCTGATGGTAAGTCTTCCTATGTTAGATAATTCTTCTCATCACTAACCACAATACTGCTAGGACTGGCCTACTTCGGCACCGCCTCTGACTGGACCTATGGCTCTGTTGTAACTGACATCACCAGTTAGTGTACCCCTCCCCCCTCCCAAGACCTGTGTCAGCACTAACTCCATGCAGTGACCTACAGCGACGATGAAGTCTTCGCCGAAGCTCTCACCGAGGGAATCACTCTCCCTGATGACACTCTGCTATATATCCGCCCGAATGCCGACGAAGTCACGGAGGTTGGCTTGACGGGCGATGACACTCCGTCGGATGCAGTGACCGACAGGTGGATCTGGTATGGGGCCTGGATCATGTATGAATCTGACTCCGGAGAGTTGTTCGATACGTTCTACGTCAAGGACACCAATGTCTCGACGGTGTGGCAGCTGTATTGGGTGCCGGAGGGGGTGTCGAGTAGTGGGTATACGTTTGCGAATGTGCGGGATGTTGCTTAGACACTGCATTGGCGATGATGCTGTTTTATGTATACTGACAGTGGGTATGATTGCGTGATGGAATGTCAAGTCATGATTGATAGTACAGTTGAAGGGAGCATTGGGTCATGTCAGATCCGGATGTAACTTGTTCCTTCGCATACAATCAACGATAATCACTGACTCAGTATATTATGAACGATTGCCTTTACTTCAGAGTACTACTCACTGCCACATCGTGTATACTTTTCACTATAGCAGGCAAGCAATATAGCAGTAATCAGTGACATTCTATTATCCAGAACTCCGTACCCAAAGCCAATCTATAAACACAGAACAATCTAGACACATGTCCAAGAAAACCAGCTATTCGCTCCTCAACTCAGTCAGTCTCTTGCCAAAGTACCTCTCCGTCTTCTGGGTCTGTCTATCAGCACTGCCCACCATCCCTCGCATCCTCTCCTTAATAGCACTATACCCCTGTCCCGACACAATCATGCCCAGCGCCTCCAAAATCAACTTCTCAACATCCTGAATCCTCTCCTTGGGGATACACTCCGTATCATGCTCCAGCCGCATCAGAATAGTCCGATCAGAAATCGCACAAAACTCCACCAACAGCGCAAACTTCGACCCCTTGGTATACGTAACCAGCGGATCGAGTCCTTCGACCGGCAATTTCGGCGACGAGCGATCATCATGGAAAGTAACCATGACATCCAACAAGGGATGATTAGGGAAATCAGCCATCTCGGCAGCACCCACCGCCTCGAGCAGCTGGTTCCATGGAATGGCATGCGCAATGGCCGACTGGCTGGACCGTTGCACGGCACGAACAAAAGACTTGGTGGATGCCGCGGTCGGGTCCCGCGATGCCGAGAACTGAATACGAATGGGGATGGGTTCTAGAAACAATCCGACCGTGTCGAGATCGTCCTGTCCTCTGTTGAAGTACGGTCCACCCAGGACGAGATCCGTGTCGTCGCGATGAGCTTGCAAGGCTAGCGCCACAGAGGCCAGTGCTAGCTGGTGCAACGTGACGCTGTTCGTCTCGGTGTATTGAATGGCCTGTGTGGCGAGACTCTGGTTCAGTCGGACGAGGTGCGTCTGGCCGCCGTAGCTGGAACGGTGGGTCAGGTTGGGGATGCTGTATAGGCCGTCCCTTTGGTTGGTGGTGTTGCCCAGATACTGCACCCACCAGTCGCTCTCGTTGGCAGTGGCCTGGGAACTCCACTGCGTTGTTTCATGGTAGTTCCGCTTCACGGGGCCGAGGCCATCACCACGGTACAGACGGACCACTTCACCCAGGATCACCTGCAGGGTGGTGAGGTCAGCGATGAGATGGCTCATGGCCACCAACATCATAGACTTAGAGACAATCACTCGGATCGGGTGCTGGCGGTCAGGGTGGAAGGGTCTGTTGGCTTCGCGCCAGAGGTTGAAGCCGTGGACGCGCATCACCTGCGGGCAGTAGCGAGCATAGGTGCGTCGGGGGCCCTTACCGCGATAGTCGAGGTGGGAGCGACTGCGGAAGATGTCGTGGCGGGCGAGAACAGCGTTCCAGCAGGCGATGAGATGCTCGCTATCTACCTTGGTGCTGTCGATCTTGCAGGCAAAAGTGACGTTGAAAGCAGACGTGCCGAGCTGAAGCTGGTACTTCTCCAGCCATTCTCTTTCAATGGGAGACACGCGGTTGCGACCGAGGGGCTTAATGGTCGGTACATCCGGGGATGAGATCTGGGCGACAAGGCCGTCCACCGTCTGAGCCAGTTCGGAGAGGTTCGCGGCTTGGATGATGCGCGGAACAGGCACCTTGACCCCAAAGGTCTGGGAGACCTTGCTGGCAAGACGCAGCTGCATGACCGAGTGGCCGCCCAGCTCGACAAAGTTGGATTCCGGGGTGAGGGCTTCGCTGTCTGCGCCCAGCGAGAGCAGGTCCTTCCACAGTTCGGCAAGGGAGTGCTCAGTCTTGCTGGAGAGGGTGCGTTTGGCTGCGGGTTGAGCCACCACCGTGCACTGGTTCGCAATCTCCTTGTAGTCGAGCTTGCCGGCCGGTGTCATGGGGAACTTGTCCACGACCATGATGCGACGGGGCATGGCGTGCACCGGCAGCACCTGCGACATGCGCTGGCGGACATCAGTGACAGTGAGCGTCTCGGGCTGGATCATGGCAACGAGGTAATCGTCCTTGGGGCAGATAGCGACGGCGGTGGACTCAGGAATAGCATTGGCGACGCGGATCTCCAGGTCGTTCAAGTCTGTGCGGTAACCACGCAGCTTGATCTGACGATCGTTGCGACCGAGACACTCGACCTGGCCGAGGCGGTTGAAGTAGCCGCGGTCTCCGGTGCGGTACATCTTCTCGCCTGGGCGTGCAACAATGTTGTCGGAGAGGAACCGCTCCGCGTTCAACTCAGGACGACCAATATAGCCGTTAGCTACCTGCACACCGGCGCAGTAGATCTCGCCGATCACCCCGGGAGGGAGAAGCTGCCCGTTCTGGCCGAGGATGTAGATGCGCGTAGTGGCATTAGGTCCACCAATGGTGACGGGCTGTCCAGGGAGCAGCCGTTGGATGGTGGCACCGCAGGTGGCTTCGGTTGGGCCGTACATGTTGTAGAGAGTGGTGGCGCTGGACCAGACGTCGTTGACGTACTGTGGCACGGGTTCACCGACCAGGTAGACGGTACGCAGCTCAGGAAATTGCTCGGGCAGGAGGATCTTGGCCACGGAGGGGGTCAGGATGGCGGCGTTGCTCTTCTTCAGATGGGCAAATGTGTCAGCGCCATCGGCCAGCACCAGGGTAGCGCCGTAGCAGAGAGCCGAGAAGATTTCGTGGATACTGCCATCAAAGGCAGGCGACATGAGCTGCGAGATGCGCTGGCCGGGGGCGGCGAAGAGTCGAACCTCGAGATCTTTCTGGAAGGCCACGAGACCGGCGTGGTGGCACATCACTCCCTTGGGCTTGCCAGTCGAGCCGGAGGTGAAGCACAGATAGGCGTTGTCTTCGGGTTGAGGAGCGGAGCGGTGGCTAGGCGTGAAGTCGTCAGGGATAGTAGCGATCAGTTCCTCTACAGAAAAGCACAGGTTGCAGGCCTCGGGGGCAAGATGCTTCTGGGAGGTGACCGGAGTCAAATACAGCTTCCCACCGGCAGTCTGGAAGTTGGTGTTGCGGATGTGGTCGGGCAGACCAGGGTCCTGGGCCGAGTAGACACCGCCAGCCTTGAGGATACCATAGATGGAGACGATCCAGTTGATGGATCGGTCGGCCAAGACGCAGACGACCTCGCCGGGCTGGATCTGCAGGTTTTCAGCAAGGATGCTGGCCTGTCGATCCATCTCGGCGTAAGTCAGTTGGATGCCGGCCTTTTCCACGGCGATTCCGTTGGGAGTCTCGCGGACAGCGCGTTCGAAGAGCGTGACGAGGTCGTCGTGAATGGAGCACAGGGACGTCGAGTCGGTCTGACAGTTGCCCATCTGCATGAGGGTGTTCTTGCAGTTGTCGGTCAGGATGTTCTTCATGCATCCCTCCATGGTCTGCTCGGACAGGAGCAGATTCAGGGCATGGCGGAAGTGGTCGGCAAGCATCTGAATGTCCTCGCGATGGAACTGCTGAGGCCGAAAGCAGAGGCGCAGAGTGCCACTGTATGTCGTGTAGATGGACAGGGGAATGTCGGGCACTACGCGGAACCAGGACTGCTGTACGGGTCGGACTGCATGGCTGTCAGATGCCTCCATTTCGAACTCCATAGCCAGCGCCGAGGTAAAGTTGCGGGTGTACCCGTCGTCGGGAACTGAGCTCTGGACTGACGCCAACTGGACTGAATGGGCAAACACCGCGCGGAGATACTCCGCAGTCGATAATTTGCGGTCGATGGACACATGGAAGGGCAGGACGTTGATCAGTGGGCCAATAGTATCCTCAATTCCAGGGATGGGCAGGTTACGACCGGACAGGACGGTGCCAAACACAACAGAGTCAGAGTCGGTATACAGAGAGAGTGCCATGGCCCAGGCAGCATGATACCAGGCGGACAGGGAGACACCTATCTGACGAGCACGGACTGAGATCTCTTCCAAGGGGACATTGAAAGTGACATTATCGATACCCGCAGGCATCTCTTCACGGACTGGGGGAAGAACGAGTTCCGCAGCAGGCTGCGGGTGCTTCTCTCGCTGCTGCGCCCAGAATTTTTGGTGGTTCTGGCGATGTTCCTGTTGGAAGTCACGGAGTCGGTTGGCCACATCGCTGAATGGCGCACCGGCGGTGATAGCACGACCGTTGATGACATCGCGAACTTTGCCGTAGACAAGCTGACCTGACATTCCGTCGACAAAGGCATGGTGGACACGCCAGATGACCGTGCTGATGCCTGCAGAAGGCAATGTCACAACCTCAAAGGCGCACTGAATGGTGTCCGGGTAAACGTCCCGGGCGAGGGCAGCGTCGTACGCTTTTTGGGAGTCCACCACTGTTTCCGTCCATGTGAAAGGAGCCGACGATGCTTCATGGCAGGCATCTGAATCGAAGGACATGCGGAAGATGGGCTCGGTCTGAATGACAGTCTGCCAAGCAGAACTGACAACTGGAAGATGGGCCGTCTGGTATGTCTCAAAGAAGTTGATCATGTTGGAACCCGGGGTCGTTTCGTGGCTGTGCAGGAATGACATTTGCATTTCGGTCAGGGCCGACGCTCCATTGCTGCGAGAAACATCCTTCTGAGCAAGGGCTGACTGTGTCTGGGGTGTTGCAGATTGGTGGATGACAGGCACATGGGTCGTTACGGGACCCTCGATAACGGCGGAAGCCACGAGCTCGGCCATACTGCTGCTCAAGAGAATCGACTCCATGGTCAAGGCAACGCCGTCGCGCTTGCATGCGGAGGCCAGCCCCAATGCAAGCAATGAATGGCCGCCCAGGTTGACAAAGCTGGACTCCAGGTCCACACTCTCAAGGGGAAGTTGAAGAAGCCGGGCGGCATGGGAGACGATGATCTTCTGGGACTGCATGATGCTGAACGAATGCTAAACGATGAAATATGCTAATGATAAAACAAGTCCTCAAGTGGTGTGTAATCTTGGGTGATTCTAGACGATTGAGGGGAAAGACTGTGATGTGTTCGCTGCGTTGCTGCGCTGATGATGATAGAGTTGATGCCACGAGGAGACCCCTCTGCTTTTATGGCCGTCCATTTCGTATAGCTTCACCTCCAAGCCTCTCCAAGTTACTCATTTCGCTAGACGCCTTAGACTCTCCTCCGATGACGCCTTTCGCTTGGACGACAAATCCGGCAGGATCCCTCCCATCTCCGAAAACGTGGCCGCCAGGATCATGCAGGAATCACGATGTGAGTCGAAGTGTGAGTCGAGATGCGAGCTGAGATGTGCCTGCGGAATTGAGACCCGCTAGTTTCAGAACACGAACGGTTGATTTTGGCCCCCAAGCCCGCGATCGAGAATCATACTGGGATTTCAACTCGTGTCAGAGTAAGCATTTAGGGCATCGCCCCAGTTGCTGCAGAATTTCGGATCCGCTGTCGGATCCGGCAAGCCTTATGCTTCAATCTGACAAGTCGTTCTGTCTTCCATGTCATCGAAGTCGTCTAGAATCACCTTATTTGCCTATAAATAACACACTTTGCACGTCCTAACCGATTACTTTCCCAACTACATCCACATCCATCCATCTTCTCCAACTTCATCTCCATCTCAGACACATCGGCCTTCATAATGACTCCTCCTAAGATTGCAATCATCGGTGGTGAGTCTATTCCTTTGCCAATGTGATAGTTCAGGGCTGACTTTTACTAGCGGGCCCTGCCGGTCTTACTTTGGCCCGTCTGCTGCAACACAACGGCATCCCCTGCATCGTCTACGAGGCAGAGGAGAACCGCCATGCTCGCACACAGGGTGGCTGCTTGGACATCCACGAGGGGTCTGCACAGGTAGCTCTGCGCGAGTGTGGTCTTTTCGAAGAGTTCCTGGCTGTTGCCCGCACGGAGGGTGAGGTGTTGAAGATCTACCAGCCCGACGGCGCACTGCTGCTCGACGAAGGTTCCGACTACGGCGAGAAGCGCCCAGACTCATTCAATGGACGCCCAGAAGTCGACCGGGTGAAGCTCCGCAGCATGCTGATTGACTCTCTCGAATGGGGCAGTCTTCGCTGGGGCCACAAACTCAAGAAGGTCACCACTGAAGCCACGGGCACTCGCCTGCAATACGACCTGCACTTCCACGACCACACAGAGACCGGGTTCGACTTGGTGGTGGGCGCCGACGGGGCCTGGAGCAAGGTACGCCATTTGCTTACGGACACCCGGCCCATCTTCTCGGGGATCTCTGGCGTGGATTTCAAGTACAGCGCCATCGACGAGGCGGACCCGGCTCTGGCCCAGCGTGTCGGCAAGGGCATGTGTCTGACCCTGGGCAGCCACACGACTGTGCTGTCGCAGCGAAACGGTGACGGCTGCGTCCGGACCTACGGGTTCATGCGGCTGCCGGAGGACTGGCACACGACGTGCGGCATCGACTGGACGCAGCCGCAGCAGGCCAAGCGGGAGTTCGTCGATCGTTACTATGAAGGGTTCAACGATGACTCCAAGAACCTTATGCTCGACGCCGACGACGATTTGGTGCCTCGCCCCATGTACATGCTTCCTATTGGTCACAAGTGGCAGCACCGTGCCGGGTAAGTTTTCCGTCTGTGCTTTTATTCCTGTTCCTTATCTGACATGTTGGATCTGAGCTAATTTTGGTCTCAGTTTGACTCTTATTGGCGATGCTGCCCACTTGATGACACCATTTGCGGGAGTTGGCGTGAATGTGGGGATGGAGGACGCTCTGGAGCTGGCACGGGCCATCATCGCGCGCAAGAGCAGCTGGGAAGATGGCCAGCCCTTCGCAGGTGCGAATAGTCTCTCCGCCGCAGTGGGGCAATACGAACAGGCCATGTTCCCTCGTGCTGAGGGCTACGCCCGCGAGACGTGGATGTATCTCAACTTGTTCTTCAATGAGCGGGGTGGTCATGCCATGTGTGAGCACTTTGCTAAAGCGAAGGAGCAGGCCAAGGTGGAGGCTGCGGTGGAGAAGAAGCCTGAAGAAGCGGAGAAAACTGCGGAGATGAAGCAGACGGTGGTGGTGTAGCAGGCCATTCCTGTAGAGTAAATCTGTTATTTCATGTTTGTTTCTAGAGCTATACCCAATTTAAACTTTCTCTTCACACAATTGTCTCCATATTAGATCTTGGCGATTGGATCCGATGTAACATAGTTGTGTGGCTGTGGACCTGCTCGCGATTACTTTCCTTGCCAAGATCTTGGATTCTGCAGTGTTGGAGAATTGGAGGAGCGCCTGCAAAGGATTTAACCTGCAGAATCCAACACTCCAGGCAGTGAAAGGCGATTGGGGGCCAGCCAGCCGTTGCCTGAAGGTTATCAGTAGACCCTGACTGTCGATCACCATAGCCGATGTTTCAGATGTCAACTCTAATCACGGGTTATTTTTCCTTCAACTCTGCCTTGCCAGCTGTCATGAACCTTGTCACATAATCCCAGACCACATACTTCAATAGTCCTCGAAGTATTGACTGGGTTATCCACTGATATCAGCCTTGTGTAACCCAGTGATAAGCTTAAAGGAGGGGTCTAAACTAAAAATAATGAGGGCCGGAGAGTAGGGAAAGAGGCGCACATAAGCTTCTCGTATTGCCCGCACAGCCGATAATCGACAACACAGGCAATGCTGCTGACTGTCTCTGTGTCAGAGTTATTCCAATGATGAGTCAACAGCATTGCCAAGTGGGCGTTTATTAATCATGTGAAAGTCCCGAGGATAACCGATTTACTTGGCAGAGCATCTTTTTAAACTTAGAAGAATATTCAATGCTGTTTTAACTCCAAACTATGGAAACTATCCGGTTTAATCCGGCAAATCAACGGGAGAGCAGAGTGGTCCTTCCACACTGCCCTTCGTAAACATAAACACAAAGCATTCTAGCCCCAAACAAACTAAATCTCCAAATTTTGCCAACTAGTAAGAGTGAGGTCCGTTCATCTCTCCCGTCATCTTTCCTTCCGCCTTCAAGATGGCTGTGATGTTGTTCATGGCGCTCTCGTGGAATCCCGCAAAGTCTGTCCAACATTAGTAAATCAACCAGTACTTGTCGGAAGCAACAAGACGTACCGTAAGCAGACGAGAAACAGGCATGGATGTTCCACAGCATATAGGTCTCCTTCTTGCCAATGGCGTGCACATCCATCCACTCCCAGGTGCCACCAAGCTGGCCCGCGGGTCCAGAAGTGGTGTTGTAGTAGAAGGGCACGTCAGCTAGCCCGAAGGTGAGCTGGTAGCCCTTGTTACGCGGCAGCCACTTGAACGTTCTCAACTGATGACACAGTTAGCCGTGTTCCAGATCCTTGCCTTCAAAGTATCTTGCTCACCTCTTCGGTCATCGGATACACGCCTGCGTTGGGAAGTTCTCCATACAGAACACGCTCAGCTCCCGGAGTGTAGGGCTCGCCATGAGTCTCACTGGGGCTGGTACCGAACCAGGCCGTTTCAAAGACTACTCCAGTCAGCCACTGCAGAAGAGATAAGCATGAGGGTTTCACAAACAGTTGGCAGTAATGTCCGAGATATCCTTCGCGGGGACTGGCCAGGTCGCCCAGCTGGTGGAGTTTTGCAAGAAGGTGCCCGTAGGACACGAGCAAGGACGAGGAGTCGCGTCGCAAGCAGGGAGGGCCTTGTGGTTGCCTCCGGTTGGCAGGGCCAGGGCCGAGAAGACGAAGGTTGCAAAGGCAAGAGGGAAGTACATGGTGGCTGATGGAGATGGAGATGAGATTGTAGAGATTGAGATCGACAGAAGATCGCTGGGAGTTTGGTTTCTTGAGGTGATTGCTGTGATTGAAGTGTTGAGATTGTTCATGGAGTTCATCAACTACCAGTCTGGTTCCTTATATACTTCTTCAACGCTCTCATTTCAGTCCTGACCATTGTAACTTCCTTGGTCTCGCCCCCACTGGTTTGAATCCTGTCTACATCTGCCTCTTGGTATGAATCCTGATCCGGTCCGGCGTAGCGAAGGTGTACCAGTTCTGGCATTGTGGTCGCAACAGAAGGATGTATCGAGGAGCATAGCCCCCTCCCCCGCCCAAGATTACGAACTTCATCCTTCGTATCCTTTGTTCTGGAAGGCTAGGCATGACATAACATTGAAGTCAGTTTATCTCGTTGATGATTGGATACTGATGGGATGGTTCCGCACGGATGAGATCCATGGTTTCAGCTTGAGGATTTGCATACCCGATCAGCACTAACATCTCACCTCGTCGCATGGCATGGCGATGAGCCTCCTGCAACTCGTATACTACCCGAATGTCGTTAGCGAGATCTATACACCACGTCGGATCGCCACGTGGGGGCCAGGCAGGTGCATCTATGCCTGTCAGAATCCTGCAGGCGGACATGTCGGAGACTGCACCGGTTCGGATCCGATCGGACCAGCAAGCATGCAGCTGCCGTTCAGGCCGAACAGCATTGAGATCCTTTATGTTGTGGAAGAATTGCAAGAAGAATGGTATGATAGACTCTATTATGTGGGAGCTTCTGTCTCTGTTGTCCCAGTACTAGTGACCATGGCTGGATCCATCGCCCTCAACACGCGAGACACTATCATTGAAATCCGGGTGCGCCAACCCGACGCTCTCCCGCCACCTACCAGCACTACTACTTCTACTACTCCGCGCATTGAGGAGGTGGAGGAAGAGTCGATTGAACCGCATCAAGTTCCTGGGGAATGGCCCGATGTTCCCGTTCCTGTTGCCAGACCCCGGGAAGGACTGGAACGCAACGCCAGCCGACGCAGCCGTACCAGGCGGCTCAGCCAGCGTCTCAGTGTCTCCAGCGATATCTTCCACGATGCAATTGAGGCCCAGGGCTATGGCGCAGCAGGCGCAGGATCCAAGCGTCTGAGTGGGATATACCGTCACTCCATCATTGAGGACTCGGTTGAAGCCCTGGGTCTTACAGAACCGACCGAGCAACTGAAGGTCGAAGAGCAGGAGGAACCACCCACCAAGACCAAATACGGACCCCGAATCTGGGCCATCATGGTGGCACTGTGTGTGACGAATCTGCTGGTTGCGTTGGAAGGAACAGTCATCTCGACGGCGCTGCCGACCATTGTGGAGGACCTGGGCGGCGGCGAAGCGTATGTCTGGGCTTCGACTGGATATTTCCTCACCAAGTAAGTTGCACAACTATGTTACTGTCGTTGTGGATGCTAATAGCTTATAGTACTGTCTTCCAACCGCTGTATGGGCAGATGGCCGACATCTTTGGCCGGCGATGGCTGATCATCTTCGCGGTAGCCATGTTTGTGCTGGGCAGCGGCATCAGCGGCGGCGCACCGAGCATGAACGCCCTCATTGCCGGTCGCGTCATCCAGGGCATCGGAGGTGGTGGTATTACACTATTGGTGAACTTGATTGTGTGTGATCTGGTACCCTTGCGCGAACGTGGTCGTCTTATGGCCATTGTCTTCGCGGCCGTCTCCGTTGGCACCTCGCTGGGACCCATCGTCGGTGGACTGATCGTGCAACAAACCACCTGGCGTTGGGTCTTCTATCTCAACCTGCCGGTCGGAGGTATTTCCATGGTACTGCTATTTGTCTTCCTGCAAGTTGGTCATCGCAGCGAAGAAACCTCTATCAAGCGCCGCCTGAAGCAAATCGACTATGGCGGCAACCTCATCTTCATCTTGGCCATTTCATTCATTCTGGTCGCTCTGGCGTATGGTGGCACACTGTGGCCGTGGAAGTCATACTCGACTATTATCTCGCTGGTCTTTGGTTTCTATGGAGTCGTTGTGTTTATCTTCTATGAACAGAGCAACTTCTGTCGACAGCCCACGCTGCCCATGCGTCTCTTCACGCGCCGCACCTCAGCCACCGCCTTCACCATCACCTTCATCCAGTCCATGCTCACCCTGCTCGTCATCTACTTTCTTCCGGTTTACTTCCAGGCCGTGCTTCTGGCCTCTCCCATTCGGTCAGGTGTGATGATGCTCCCAACAGTACTGGTGTTGGTACCAGCCTCGGTAGTCAGCGGTGCCCTGCTGTCCAAATTTGGTCGCTACAAGCCCTTCCACTTTATCGGGTTCGCGCTCTTCACCCTGGGCTTTGGCTGTTTTATCACGCTGGATGAAAACTCACCAGATGTTGCCTGGATCATGGTGCAGATCGTTGTGGCCCTGGGATCAGGCTCATCTCTGAGTACACTTCTACCCGCTGTGCAAGCCGAGTTTTCGGACCAGGACACCGCGGCTGCTACAGCGGCATGGGCCTTTGTGCGCCAGTTTGGTGTGGTCTGGGGTGTATCGGTGCCGTCGGCAATTTTTAATGCGCAGGTGCAACACGATCTGTCGCGGGTCAGCAGTGAGAGTGTCCAGAAGACGCTCAGTGGTGGAGCAGCCTACGAGCATGGTACTAAAGACTACGTCAACTCGCTTAGTGGGGATGTGCGAAAGCAGGTCATTGGATTGTACGCAGACAGCTTACAGATCGTGTGGATTTTCGCGACGGTAATCGCAGGAGTTGGATTTTTGTTGGTGTTCTTGGAACGGTAAGTCGATCTTGTGGCAGTGTACATTCGGATGGATGCTAATGGCTACAGTGAAATTACGCTGCGGACGAAGCTGGACACGAAGTATGGATTGAAGGAGGAGAAAGCGGCGGACTCATCTAATGCATAATGGTGTATAATTTGAAAGTTTTGGCTTTGTACATGGCGGTGGTGTTGTTACTGTTAGATAGTTTATGAATATTATGAATTATGCATCCAATTCTCTGCGTATCTACATCCTGTAATAAGTCTAATAAACAAGTATCAGAACTCGCATAAGCCCAACGCTGCTATGACTGATCGCCTGCACCTCTCGCTTCTACTCTCCATGCTTAGTACTGCCTCAGCTCACCACACGAGATTGCGCCATCTCACGACTTACTGCTCGGCTCTGAGTGGCTCCATCGCTAATCGCTAATCCGATCGCTCCTATGGGGCGTTGGTGGAGAGCCACGCGAAAAGAGGATCTTTCTTTAAGCGGACCGTGCAGGATCTGACCGATCCACTCTGACTGCATCCCGTATTGCATGTTTCAGCCTGCGGGTGAGCATATCCGGCCTCGGATCCGATTTCCTGCTCCGTGGCCCCCATGAGGCTATCCGCATCGGTCGCAGCATCACCACTTGAAGTATATAGACGGCCATGTCTTTACTCAGACTCCAAATAGCATTCATCAGCAAAGCACCTGCATTCACCATGAATACGACCATTCTCCTCGCGGGCCAGGCGGTCCTCATCGTGGTCATCCTGGTGGCCGTCAAATTCCGCACCCCCATAACAAACACGATCAATCGTTTGATCTCTGCTATTCTTCGAGTAAGCGAGTTCCTGAGACACATCATGACTTCAGCTCACATCTCAGGTTCATCTTGCACGTCGCTTTCCCGTACATCATGTCGATGACAATAGTCCGCTGCCCACCCTGCCGTACCAGTGGCCCGATGGACAGGGCGACGGGGCCAAGTTCTTGCAAGGTCAGAGCAACTCGGAGCGCTGGGAGCGTCAATTCGGAGCCATCTACCGTCTCTGGTCCGGCATGAACCCAGAAGTGTTTGTCTAACTCCTCTTGCAGCTTAACGACAACTACTAACAGTTTTAGCGTCCTCACCCGTCCCGAACACATCCAAGCCGTCTTCAAGGACTCGCACACCCACCTCAAGGCCAAGAACAACAACTCGGGATACCTGCTCGGAGAGCTTCTGGGTCAGTGTGTTGGACTCGTCAGCCAAGATCAATGGCAGCGCGTACGTGCCATCATGGAGAAGCCCTTCCACCGCAACGCCTCGACGACGTACATCCCGCTCGTCAAGCGCCGTACAGAGCAATTTTTTCAGGAATTGTGGGATACCCGCGACCTGTCCCGAGGTCTGCTCGACCCAGCAGATGACCTCAAACTGCTCCCCTTCCTGGTAGTCGCCGAAGTCGTCTACGGTCGCCTCGCCCCGGATGTCGAGGCAGAGCTGCGTCGCCTGGCCCCGCAACGCGAGAACCTGATGAAGCATATCATCAAGGGGGGATTGACTCGTTTCGCCTGGTCGCGTTTCCTGCCCACGCAAGCCAACCGCGAACTGGCCGCTTTCCAGCAACGCTGGCTGGCCTTCAACGAGCTGGCACACCGTCGCGCCGTTGAGCAGAAACTCAATGCCCCTATCATCGACTTCTTCGCCGCCCGGGATGCCGGTCAAATCAGCACCCAGGAATTCCTGCACACACTGGATGAGATGCTATACGCCAACCTGGACGTGACGATCGGCGGCGTCAGCTGGAACGTGGTCTTCCTTGCCGCATACCGCGACATCGCCAAGCGTCTCCGCGAGGAAGTCGAACAGCAGCGGGCCATCTCCGTGGACGGCGAAGTAGACGCCTACCTCCTTGACAACAGCACCCTGCTCGCTGCCTGCGTGGAAGAATCCGCGCGTCTCCGTCCCCTTGCCGCATTCTCCGTGCCACAAGCTATTCCCACCGCCAGGACAGTAGGTGGGTACCACTTCCCCGCCGGGACCAACTTCGTGGTGGATTCGTACGCGCTCAACATCCGGAACCCGTACTGGGGCGAAGAGCGCCACTTGTACCAGCCCGATCGGTTCCTGGCGAGGAGCTTAACCCAGGCACGGTACCACTTCTGGCGTTTTGGGTTCGGGCCGCGGCAATGCATGGGCAAGTTTGTGGCGAGTGTGGTGATCCGGGCGATCTTGGTGCATTTGGTGGAGGGGTATGACTTGCGCATGGTCAAGCCGGAGGCAATGGAGGAGTGGGGGAGGAATAAGGAGATTTGGATTAATCATCCGGACATGAAGGTGGTGTGTGAGAAGAGGGCCTAGATAGTACTGTTGGCTATGTGGATGGATGGATGAAAAGATGATAGATCTGTGTGTATCTACGTGATTTTAGCGATTATGAACTTGTCCAGATGTTTGATGTTGCTTGTGCGGGTTCCTTGGTAACTTCAACGGGAACGGGAAGTAACCGTGGATGGGAGGGGCAATTTACATGGCCCCTTGCTTTGTTCTATTTGTAATGCCCCTGAAGGAATCTCATCAGTATTTCGTGGGTGGAGTCATCTGGAATGGAAGCAAGGGATGTGTGGCGATCCGGAAGATGCCGAGTGGAGTCGGCGATCTGGGACTATTTGGATCTAGATAGATGATCTGGTGATAAATGGAGTGGGGAATACATTTGTGTATTATAGATGGGTACTACGATAATTCATTTGGTATTCTTGAACATTCATTTATTTTCATCATCCATTCATCAACTCAGTTGCACCGCACTCTCTGTGCTGAGGGATATACTGTAGGGCACTACCAGAGCGGAATATATATCTTCACTGCGGCGACATTGCATCACCATCTACACTCATAGCACTTACATCATTGGGATAAATATAATTAGATCTTCACCAAACATCCCTGCTTCTTTCTAGAATGAACCTCAACAAAGAACGAATCCCTGGACCACGCGACCACACCCACGGTTGAACCGGGTTCAACCCCCTGGGGGAACCCCTGACCCGGAGATAACCCCCAAATCAGCCAGGAAAAGCCCGCCCCGGGCTCTGATCAAGGAATGATCCTTCACACGGCTTCCCTACCACTCAGATCGGCCCCGCTACAAGTGTCGGATCAAAAAATGATCTGCATGCTTACCATATGGTCTTCTCCGTCCGGACGAGTCGATACCTGTCCGGTCGGATCCGAGTGCTGGTCCGGACAGAGCCTCGCAGCCGGCAGGGTATATAGGCCCTCTGGCGCCATCAGCAATGAACTTCTCTCCATCAGCTACAACTGCAATCTGATTACAGTACACAAAACGAGCACGGAAATTAACCAGAAAAAACAACAGACGATTCCCTCCAGATCCTTTCCTCTCCATACCACTCAACAAACCCCTGCAATTCACAACATATCACCATGCGCGTTCTCGTGATTGGCGGAAGTGGACGGTGTGGCAAGCTGGTCATCGATGACCTGCTGAGTCGTGGTAAGTGTCTCTCGCATCAACCTGCATGTCATTGGTTGTATCGGCTAAATTGCTAACAATGAGATCCAGGCCACCAGGTTACGACGTTGGCCCGCAAGCCCGAATCTCTCGGTGGAGCTCGTGCCGGGCTGAAGGTAGTCCAAGGTGAGTCTTAGTCGTAGTCTTAGTGCCTCTTAGTCCTCGCAGTCCCTCTGGATATGCGCGAAGGAATATCGACTCCAGATTGACTAACAGAAATCCATCAGGAACCCCCACCGAACTCGAGGACGTCCGCGCCGCGTTCCAAGCCGACATTCCCGATGTGGTAATTGTGACACTTAACGCCCCACGGGCCAGCGACAGCCCCTTTGCGGCGCCCATCTCACCCCCTCGGCTCATGACTGACTGCAACTCCAACGTGCTGGCGGCGATGAAGGAGTTTGGGGTACGCAAAACGGTCATCCTGCAGGCGTTTGGGGTTGGGGAATCGTGGGACAACATGCACTGCGTGCTGCGGCTGCTGATGAAGAAGTCCAACATGTCGTATCAGTATGACGATCACAACGCGACGGCCAAGGCGGTGCAGGCGAGTGGACTGGACTATGTGATGGTGCGACCGTCGCGGCTGGTGGAGACGCCCGATGCCAACCAGCCGGTCAAAGTGTGGCCGGATCATGGCAAGGGCGTGCCCATGATGGCCAGCACCAGTCGCATTACGGTGGCCCGCTGGTTGGTGGACGCCGCGGAGAGCAACAAATGGGATAACACGGCACCCGTGATCACCAACTAGAATCTTCCTCGATCTGTTCTACTACTGGGCACATCTCTTGCATCTCACGAGGGCCGATCCGGGGCGGAGCGGGTGGGAAGCGGAGAATTTTGAGGAGACGAACCGAGAGAAAGAACGACGATCCATCGGATCGACAGGGCAAATGATTGATGGACGGTTAATGTTTCTTTTTTTACATTTTTTTTCTTCTGTCTATGGTTTCATCTTTTTCTGGGCATTTACACCTGGCATGGCGTGAACTTTGAATGTATGTTATCAGATGTCTTGGCCTCGTATTAATTGTGGCTTTTTTCTTCAGCAAAATGCGATAAACTTTTTTCCTTCCTTCAGCCGATGATTTTCAGGGTCCCCCATCTTGGCTTGGCCTGCTCAGGCAGCATTATACGAGCCAAACGCGATTCGATACGAGGCTGAGGTAAGCAGATCCGCTGCAGCCTGGTGGCTTACTGAAAGGAGTAGGCGGTGAACGGGTAAACAAAGAGAACCTGCACTAATGGTCTGTGTGGTCACCTGAAGAATACCTCCAGTGGGGGAAAAGTGGAGAGAGACACAGTCTCGCTGTCAGGTTGTTGTGGTTCAAGATCCACCAGTCGAACCAGAAAGTAGACTAACAGCTGGAGAGGACGAGACAAGCAAAGCAGTGCTGGGGTGGATTGTCAGACTTGGCTGTAACTTGCGGATTCGTCCCATCGCCAATAATCTCCCCGTCTTACTTTCCTGCATCCACTTCGACAGCCCCTGCTGCTCCTGCTGCTTGCTGCTCCTGCTGCTACTGCTGCTACCGCTGCACTGCATTCGCCTTGCGCGCCTGTCAGCTTAGCCATAGTGTTGATGTGACCGTGGCCCAGTCACACTCACGAAACCTGCTGGTCTTTATTATTGTCTCCCCCTCACACGCCAACCTTAACCCCCATTCTCTCCTTGGACTGGTTCCCCTTGTGCGACTTTGTTTCCCCCATCGCCGACGCGAGCAACTCTTTGAACTTCTCTTTGCCAGCAATGAGTCCCGTGTCTGGCCAGATCTCCCCGCCCACCGAGCTGGCCGGGGACGCTTCCCTGACCCGCAAACGTCCCCGGCCCGTGGTCTCGTGCTTGCGCTGTCGCAAGAAGAAGCTCAAGTGCGACCGGGTCATGCCCTGCGAGAACTGCTCCAAAGCTGGTTGTGCCCCCGACTGTGTCTTCCATCCCAGTCCCGATGGCGTGGATAATGTGCCGGACCAGCCCAGTGCGAAGCGCATGCATCTGCCACCTGACTTCCCGTTCCCCTCCGATCCTCGGGGCGATCCGGCCAGTGCCAGGCTGCCTCCGCCGCCCGCGGCCATCGGCCTGCTGGAGGATCTCCAGCAACGATTGCAGCGTGTCGAGGAGGTGCTCTCTCTGAAGCCGTTGACTCGCTCGTACGCCGGCTCTCTTAAGGATGTGGTGGCTCGCGATGCCAGTCCATCTGTCCGCCAGACCACCCCGTCGACCCATGCTCCCCCGTATCCCGGCACTTTGGTTGTCAAAGGAAAGGGCACACGATCACGTTACCATGGCCAGAACAACCGAACCACTCTCTTGCATCAGGTAAGTCCACCTTCTAGATTTGTCGGTGGAATGCGTATCTGACCATGTGCAGTTCTCCGAAGCGCGAGAATTCATCGAACGCTGCACCAAGGATTCCGCCATTTTGGGGCTGGCCAAGGAAGTGCAATTTCTACAGAGCAAATCCAAGATGCCCATGAGCTCCCCCGAATCCATGCCCGATCTCGACTACTCTCCCGAGTTGCTGCAAATGCAGAGCTCCTTGCCGTCTAAAGCGGTCTGTGACCGACTCGTGAACCTGTACACTACCAACTTTGAACGCACCCTGCGCATGTTGCATGTCCCGTCTTTTCTCCGCCAGTATGCCGACTTCTGGAACGCTCCGGGCCCGGACGCGGAACGCTCCGCCACCTTCTTGCCGCAACTGACGGCCGTCCTGGCCGCCGCGCTGCCCCTGGAAGACCCCAGCTTCCGACTCGAGTATTCCTCCGTCTGGGAATACCTGCAGACGCCCGCGGTCAACCTCGTCCGCGTGTGGCTGCAGAAACTGGGGCGCAAGCAGCGCACGGAGCTGGTCTCGTTGCAGATCGAGGCACTCGTGTTGTTGGCGCGACGACTGCGGCTCGCCTCGCAGGAAGAGCTGTGGCGCGCCACCGGCACGCTGGTGCGGTCGGCCATGGTGGTGGGCCTGCATCTGGATCTGTCCGGGAATAAGCAGCTGTCACCGTTTCAGATCGAAGTGCGGCGCCGCTTGTGGATTACCATCGTGGAGATGGACCTGCAGACCTCCATCGCCTCGGGTATGCCCGTGACCATCCCGGATCTGGACTTTGATCCGCTTATCCCGACCAATCTGAATGACACCGATTTCGACGAATCCACCACGGAGCTGCCGCCGGCGAAACCTCTGCACGAGTGGACGGATACCCTCGCGCAGGTCACGTTGGCCTCCTCGTTACCCCACCGCATCCGAGCCATGTCAATGGTGCGCACCTCGAGCCCGGGAATGGATCTGCGTGACATTGTCAAGCAGGGTCGGCGCCTGGAAGAATGCCTGCGCCAGATCCCTCCTCCGCTCAAGCTGGACCCGTCCCCGATCCATGGGGAGACTCCCGGGCCAGCCCTGCTGCTGAACCGGGTGCTGCTGGACGTATACATGCGCCGGCCGTTGCTGTGCCTCTACCGGCCGATCGTCATGGGCGAGAGCCGTGAGGATCAGCTCTTCCTGGAGATCGAGCAAGCATGTCTGGAGTCTTCGCTAGTGGTGTTGTCCTACCAGGATTACTTTGACCCGAACGTGGCGGACCTGGACGTCTTCAAATCGACCGCCTACTGGGACGTATTCCAGCTTTTCTGCAAAAACGACATCCCGTGGGCTGCGCTGAGCGTGTGCGGCTATATGAAACTGTCCAACCAGCAACACTCGGGTGCCCCGACACCAATGGCACCCGCTCCCGCCTACTCGCCCAGTCAGCCGACGACTACCCATACCAAGGCCAGCCTTACACGCATTGTCGAGAACACCCTCGACGGGCTGACCCGCACGATCGGCGAAACCGGCAGCAACATCAAGGATGTGATGCTGCTGGCAGTGGTACTGCAATCGGTGCGGGCACGGGGGTCCGCCGAGCTCAAGGAACGGTGGATGCAGCAGGGGGCTGTGAAGGCGTTGTCGGCCTGTCGGCAGCATCTGTTGCCGTCTGTAGCGCAGCAATCGTTTGCGTTTAATCTGACGGATTTTGCACAGATGGTATGTCGTCCCCATTCTTTTCACATTATTCTTCTAGGAAGTGCCATCGATTATGCTAATCTACTCTAGCTCCAAACCACACAGCCTATCTTCCCCACTACCACAGACCCAGGCTACACGCCGTCCACGCAGCCACAGCTGCCTGACTTCTTAGCGGAATCTTCTGCTTTAGCAACAGAGTTCAACAATTTTCGCGGCGATCCATTTGCGTTTGAAGATGGATCGTTTGCATGGAATATGTAAATCCAGTGCCTGTATTATCATCAGTTTGTGGATAATGCGGCCTACGACGAATGACGCAGCGATAAGCATTGCTTTGCAGTCACAGTCAGTTATGAGTATTTGGTTACAATCAGTCAATCGCTGATTTGGTTTTGAGCAAAAAGTCGGATGGTGTTTGGTGCTCCATAGATGATGCGGGATGGGTGGAATGTACATAGCGCCCTCCTTTCACTGTATTCAGTTGTTGACGAGACTTCTCGGTGTATTAATTCAAATGTGTATTTACTTGATATCTTAGTGTACTTATGTGTGAATGGATACCCCGGTGCAAATTGTTTGCATATGAAAGAGCTGTGCTGTAGTACATCCCCACCATAGACTATGTCTTCACAACCAATTACCCTGCATCAACACCACACTACCCTGTCTATATTCAACAAGATAACTATCATCTGTATATACATCAGGCATGAACCGGCAATCTCCTCGGACAATTCCAAAGGGGTAACCCATCTCCAATACCCCGACGCTTATCGGATCCGGGCTCGGATCCGGACCGACCAGCTCAGCTCGTCTCAGCCTTCCGCCCGACGTCGATCATTCCATAGTAACTGACACTACAATCAGTCAGCCAACACTGTCACTGTCCGTGTAACACTTCCCCTATACTCCATTATGTGCTGGCATCGGACAGCTGGGTAATCCCGAGATGAGTCGGGCCACGGGGTTAAGGGGCGGAAACTTCGAAACTGGACGCCTTGTGAATGACGGCGAGAAATGTGGTATATAAGGAACCAAGTCCCGCTGTAGTCTTCGGTTCATCAGACTCAGCACAGCACAGCATCATAACATCACAGCATAGCAATCACTTCTCCTACACACATATCTACAGCATATATAACATTACAGCACATTTCTATACAGTTTCCGCCTAATTATCTCCTGCAACCACCATGTCCACCCACGTCGCCATCATCGGCGCCGGCCTCTCCGGCCTGGCCCTAGCCCTCTCCCTGCACCAACAATCCATCCCCTGCACTCTCTACGAGGCCCGCTCCGCTCCACTGAACATCGGCGGAGCCATCATGCTCTCCCCCAACGCCCTCCGCATCCTCGACACCCTAGGCGTCTACTCCCGAATCCGCTCGGAAGCCTACGACTTCGACCACCTCTACTTCCGCTCTCCCGCCGACACTCCCCTGGACACATACGAGTTCGGCGGCGCCGCCAAATACGGCTACAGCGGGATGCGCATCTACCGGCACGTCCTGATCCGGGAACTCTCCGCCATGGTAGCGGAAGCCGGTGTGCCCATCCACTACCACAAGAAATTCAGCCGGGTGATCACGGAGACCGAATCATCCATCACCTGGGAATTCGAAGACGGGACCACCGAAACAGCTACCTGTCTCGTCGGCGCCGACGGCATCCACTCCAAGGTGCGGAAGTACCTGTACCCTGAGCTTGAACCGAAGTTCATGAACGCCATGGCCGTCACGGCCGCCGTGCCGACGGCTCAACTCGCCGTTCCGGAGGGGTACAACATGCCCGTGACGATCATGAACAAGACGTACGGCGCGTTCGTGATCGCGCCGCAGCTACGGGATGGATCCGAGGTGTTGATTGGACGACAGAAGCGGTCCGCGCAGCTCGACCGCGAGGGATGGAATAAGCTGATGAACGACAAGGACTGGTGTGTGGATTTCCTGCGCGAGGGAGCGGACGAGTTCCCTGAGATTGTGCAGCGGGCTGTGTCGAATATCTCGGCGGAGAAGATCAACCTGTGGCCGTTTTATATGGTTCCGAAGTTGGACAAGTGGAGTTCGGAGCACTCGAGGGTGGTGATTCTGGGTGATGCGGCGCATGCGATTCCGCCGTCTGCTGGGCAGGGGATTAATCAGGCGTTTGAGGATGTGTATACTTATGCGTTGATTCTGGCCAAGTGTGAGAAGGCTGGGTTGCAGCGGGCGCTGAAGGTCTGGCAGCAGGGGAGACAGGAGAGGGTGGATAAGGTGTTGGCGTTGAATGCGCGGATTGATAAGCGGAGGATGCCGAAGCCTGCTGGAGGTGAGGAGAAGGAGGCTGAGGATGAGAAGCCGTTTGAGTTGGGGTGGTTGTATAAGCCGGACTTTGGGGCTATGGTGGAGGAGTGGTTGGCGAGGGAATGACTGCATGGTTGTGGGACTGGCAGTTGGAAGTATTGGGTGAAATTGGGTGCTATTTCGGGGGTTTTGGGCTTGTTGATGATGAAATTGAGAGCGTGATTGTGTTATTGTTCGCTTTAAAGATACTTAGTGCTTGAAAAGTGTTTGGATGGTAATATAGGGTTTTAATGGCATTTGCTTGTTCTACTACGATTTACATCGCTTGTCTATCAGACAAACGGGTAATTGCTCTCCCCTCTTGGTACCCTTCCAACTATCAGTAACGGACCATCTTACTCCGAGATACGATATATCAGCGTATAGTATGAGATGGAGCAACATGACATCACTACTATATCACAACTTAGCAACGCAGTTCGCTTCCTCGGTTTGCCGTGGGTCCGAGACCGAAGCTGACAAATTCGCACCATCACGACCCGCTTGTCGACGACAATCACTATATATGGAGAGAGACAATCTAATAGTCACTCATCATAGCGACAATGGCTCCTGTTATCGTCTTTGGTCCGACTGGCGCGGTCGGCTCGGCCGCCGCGCGCACCGCCCAGCAACTAGGAACCACAGTGTATCTCGCCATGCGAGACCCCACGAAATCCATTCCTGGCCTCAGTGTGGAGAAGGAACGCGAGGGAGGGTTCGAACGTGTTCAGGCCGACTTCTCGCAACCAGATACCATCTCCACTGCGGTAGCACAGAGCAAAGCAAAACATGCCTTCATCTACACCGATCTGACCTCATCTGACCACATGCGAGCGAGTTTCAAGGCCCTCAAGCAGGCTGGAATCGAATCGGTTGTTCTGCTGAGCAGTTTTGGTATTCAGGAAGATGTTCGCGATGTGCCACCTGAGGATCACCTCGCCTATGTGCACGCGCAGGCTGAGGTCTCTCTGCAAGAGGTCTTTGGAGTGAATGGGTATGTAGCGGTTCGGCCGGCCTTTTACGCGAGCAACACGCTTTGGTGGAAGGCTTCGATCCAAATCGGACAGGTGAAGCTCGCTTGGCCAACTGCAGTTTTTGACTGGATCTCTCCGGAGGACATTGGAGGCGTTTGTGGCATGATCCTTGCCCGCAGGGCCCAAGGAATCGATCTGTCATTGACCGAGTCGTACGTCAATCTGGTTGGCGCGGAACAAATGGGCGTTGGGGATGCCATCAAGACCATCGGAAAAGTCCTGGGCAAGGAGGTCAACGTCACGGAGGTGGAATACAATGTAGCCTTGGACAGTCTAGTGAATGAGTCCGGGCTGCCCGAGCCCATCGCGCGATCGGTGCTTGAATTTTGCCAGAGCGCTGCGAACGGCCAGTCCTTTATTGACAGTCCCCGATATGGTCCTGCTGTTGGCAATATTGAAAAGTACCTTGGCCGGCCAGCGACAAGGTTGCATGAATGGGTAGAGGTGAACCAAGAGAAGTTCAATGCTTGAGGTCTGCTCTGCTAGCTTTCTGTACACGCTTTCTACAAAATATCTCTTAGTAGAATAGCCGCGTAACAGTGTCAATAATTTCAATAGCAATCTTCATATTTCCCAAGAGATTCACCGTTTGGCTCATATCTTTTTGGTGTTCGCTCTTGTTAAGCTGGAAGCTTGGAATGCACATTGTGTCGGTCGCATTCTGCCAAGGTCATACAATCTTTCTTGAAAGTGAGTCGCAGCATGCTCATGCTCGAAAAGGGTTCGGGGTCTTCGAAAAAGTGAACGTAGTAGACTCCAGGCCAGGAATTATAAACGCTGCCGTGAAACAATGGCCAATCACCATTCAGGGGCAGATCCCCGTCGAACTACTAAGTAGTAGGTACTCACTGACCTCGTCCCCCTTTCGCCCCGACATTAAAGTATTGTTGCCCCCTCTCATGATCCATGAAGGTAGAACAGAGTGATCATGTGTCAACCGTGAGGAGACAAACACTAAAGGAAGGACGGGGTCCGGAGGAACTTCATCCCCGCATCGTGACTGTCAACTCTTTCCCCTCGTCTATCTGCAGACTGCTATAGAAAAATCGACCTGGTTCTCGGTTGAATGCGCCCTGATTAGTGCGTGGTCGAGGTGGGTTTGTGGCACGACAAATATCACTCGTCAAACCCGCAAGATCCACTGTCTCCACAGATGAGGACACAACATGGGTTGGAGGTAGAATAATGTACCCTGAATGTCATTAGAGTTACTCTGCTGAACTCTATCCCCTTGGAATTCATAGGCCTAAATGTACAGTCGTGATGGGTCTGGATCGATCACCTCCTCCGAGGTGAAACTGCAATGGCCATAGCTACCATCCTGGCCTGTCGACTCACTGCTCAGGGGCGAGTAACCACCAATTTCAGGCTCTCCCCTGTCTTCAAGATCATGGTCACTGATGGTTTCATCCGTGTCGGCTCCACCTTTCGGCTGGACTGCCGCCATCGAAGTCGCCCCCCATATGATAGGCTTCAGAGCATGCTCTTCACCCCCTGATGGATGACATGCAGCACTAATTGCCGCACTGCAGCTGCCTGCAATGGGCATATGAGACGCAAAACGCCTCATACCCAGACCCACGACAGTACACGTCATCACACCTCCTAGGATAAGCGCGAACACAATGGCGATCGGCCCATATCCGCAGGCAATAAGCTGAGCTGCATACCCAGTGTCTCCCATTGTATCAATGGCATTTATTTGGACATAAAACAAACTCGCAGACACCAGCCAATGCAGGAGCATCGAAGCAACCATAAGCGGAATGCTGTAGCGATACGGAAGACTGAGATAGTAAGACGATCGTTGAGATCCCTGGGGCCAGGACACGCGGAGCGGCTTCCGCTGGCTCGCGTAGTCGTCATATTCTGCAGCCAAAAGCATGTGCGTCAGGAGGTTGTTGTACAGGAAGTAACCGACCGAGATAATAATCTGGGGGGTGTTGGCAAGTAGTGACACGGAGATGACGGTCGACGAATTAGGGGTAAAGGCAATTGTATAAGGCGTGGCCGAGCCAAACCCCAGCTGCCACAGCGCACGCAAGGTCCAGGGGTGTTCTTCGTTCTGCAGGCCATAGATGGCCTGCGACAGGTAATAGCCACCAACACCCAGGAGGGCAAGACACCTGTATGCGTCAGTGATAGTGGACACAAGCGCAAAGAATCCTCAACGCATACACGCCAATGGTTACTATCCACTGACTCGGATGCAAGGCTCGCATCCATCGCTGGCGAGGCGGAAGAGTCGCCCATGCCTGGGGTCGCGAGGCATCCTTTACCGCGACTTGTAAATAACCCCTCCAAATTGATCGCCAGGGCTGTGGTCCTTGGAAGAGATTCGATCGGGATACCAGGCCCATCCGCTCGGTGGAAGGATCAGGATGAGTCAGAAACGACGCCACAGCATCTCCGACAGTCAGGAAGATGTCTGTCCGATCCCTCCGGGCCGTTAGTAACATACACAGAACCTTGATCATATTGCAGAGAATCACCACCAGGCAGATCGCCGGGCTGAACTGCAGCTCACATTGTTCGGTGAGCTTCCGACTCAAGCAATATTCGACTGGGTACTCTGGCCCCTCGTCCTGACCGCTACGGATATCAGGAGCACATGCTACCTCGTCCGCGGCCGGTACGAGACTTACAGCCTGAGCCCACGTACTGTTCAGCCAATTGGTGGAATTATCCAGGTACTGTTGCAAGACATGCTTCGGTGGGAATCTTTCGAGCTCCACTGCAAGGGTTTGGAGATCCCTCGTCAAATTTGGACATCGGTCATCGGTGTCTGGCACTAGAACGAATGTATCTTTCCCGTTGAGGGTAGTTGAATAATTGGGAAGTTCGACGGTAGCATTGATTACTGGACCCGCCCAGGGCACAAGGGGCGAGGCGGCCCATTGATCGAGAACACTTAGGAGCTCCGATGGGGTGCAGGAGGATGAAAGCGCGCTAAATTGATCGCAGAGCCAGTCATAGCTGGATTTTATGAGTCCCTCATAATCGACCGAGCTTCCCAAACCAACCCACTGCAGATGGTCGTTGGCAGCGGTGAGGTTGCTGGTCACCAAGATCAGGGTGCCCAGGTCCGTCGGAAAATCCATCGCGTACCTGCGAATACATTCCTCTCTGGTCAAATTGTCGAAGCTAGGAAGATCCGCATAGAAAGTGGACATGCTCATCGCCGTATTAGACTCAAAACACTCCTCAAACGAGGAGTTATAATGGACCGGTGGGCGATCGAAATCGAAATTCGCGGATGCCAGCACGACTTCGTACTCCCTTGTGCCCAAGGCAAAAAACACAGCGGAGTTGTATCTAATGTTCCGTCGTTAGGGCCAACTCTCTCGAGAATGGATATTGGCATACATCAAGTGAATGGGTAAAGAGGTTACAAGAAGTACCAGCCACAAGGTCCGTCGAGGCCAATCCGCCCATGCCAGATTCCGCACGCTGGCGACCCCGATGTCCAGCCACACACGCTGCCCATGGGCGCGGTCGACATCGACACGAGAGGGCGAAGTTAAGCACTGCATACAGTAACTACTGGCTCCGAGGACGATGGTGCTGAGGACGTTGATCAGCAGATGCAGACCCGTCGTCCACGACTTTGTTCGGTCGCAACTGCCCTTGTAGATGGTGGCCGAGCTCATCGTCCGCTGGTCATGGCGCGCGACCGCCACGGCGGCCGCCACGATGGTCAGGATGACATTCACCAGTAGAATGCCAAAGGCGGCATAAGTACATATCAGTACCCCCCGTACCCATCTTCTCCGACTGTCTTGGTGTGTCGAGAGTTTTAAGGACGAAAGGGAAGGGTGTGGTCGTGCGATATGTTCGCGGTCATGGGTGATTTCACTAGTGCTGGCATGGTGTACAGGTACCAGTTCAATGCCTTCCGCCGTCCGCAAGCTGTTGCGGAGGTGTCGATAGGTTCTCGTCTGGAGTGACAGCCAACGCCACAAACGCGTTCCGCCCGGCGACAAATCCCTCATCGTGCTCGGATGAAAAAGTCGGAAAGGTCACACACGTAGCTGGCAAGGAGGTGCCGGTTTTCAGAAGTCTGGAATTCTCACAACGAAGACTCGATCAATGTACTGCTTATAGCCCGATTCGATGCGGCTGAGCCTTTCCCAAATCATATATTCGACCGATGCAACTGCACGGTGCCCGAAGCTATGGCGACCGTATCTCCGTGCGATCGGCTAGAACGTAAAGCGCGGGGCTTAGACAGATAATTTGAGACCATGCTTGGACAATTTGACTTCGGCAGCCTTGCCAGCCTTGCCAGCCTCGCCAGCCTCGCTTATGTTTGGACGCTGCTAGCAGAAGCTCGGGTGTCTCGGGGGTGAGGTTCCAGCCCGCTGCCATTGGTCTAGAGCCCCGTGCTATTTGTATTGTCCAAAGCTTAGATCTCGCGATCGAGACGTTTCCCCTAGCTCCGGTTGAGTGATGCGAGTCTGCAACAAGGCACATTGTCTGAAACATCAGAATCCTTATCTCCTGGTTAGGGTGTCGGACACTCAGCCGCAAGATCTCATTCGATCTCCATAAAAGTAAAGTACCTCATTACGCTGCCCGCACGCACGAAGCAGGTATTCCCAAGTCTTATTCTGGAAATATGACGCCTGCATCAGGAGTCAGTGGGGAGATAACATAACAAGAAATAAGTGAAACAAGAACTGGGTGTGCTTTGAGAGAGGGAACAGTGGCCTGCTTGTTTCCATAGCTACTTGATTGACACTTATCAGAGCTATACAGGCCACCATTCAACTTTACAGCTTATTGTGTCTATGTCGCTTTTATGATGCATGGGGTGACAAGGGGTAAAAAATGTGTGTAAGGATAGAAAATGAGTGGATGCTTAGCAATAGAGGAATGTCTGACAATCCGCACATGTAGTTCTACCGTGCTAGAAGACAACGCCATTCACTCTCAATCGAGTCACCAGCAGGCCTCAGCGACGCAGTATATAGACGATTCCCCTTCACTTGATCCGTTCCAGGGTAAAATACAAACGGTCTTCGTCCTGGCTAGATTTGTCATGATCAAGGCTTTCCATCACCCCAATGACTGTATTCTCATCAACATAGCGAAAATGGTCAATAACAGGTCGTTGATTATAGACCATTGCAGCGGACACAGTGTCGTTATATTTAATTTCGCGAATCTTGACAATCAGCCTCTGATAATACAAGGGAAATAAAGGACAACGTACCCGCGCACCACCCCAATTGGGGTTACAAAAGCGACAGCCATTGTCGTCAAGGCACACCATGGGCTCAACCTGGTCGACTCCATAGAAATTCTTCCCAGCCCATTTGACACTGTGAAGGACCTCCACGAGCTTGTTGCCCGTCAGGACAGCAAGGCCTTGCCATTCACCTAGCATGAAGCTCGGGCGAACAGGTGGTCTCTCGTCGAAAGAATCCTTGACCTCAGTGGGGCTGATGGCCTCTCTTGCGCGGACGCGTTCGATAACACTGCATGGCACGGAAATTAGTGCTGAGGTACAGATGAGTAACACGCTGTATAGAATTACCTAGACATGATGTCTGATTGTTGGAAACAAAGGAAGAATACCTTTGTAGCGTGGTTAATGAGGAACCTTGCAAGTTTAGAGAAGGTCTGGGTGGGTTATTTGTACGTCCAGTCCTCGTAGGTAATATGATAGATTATCCCGGCTACTCCTTTTGATCTTGGTGTGTGTAACATACAAGCGATCAGAAACTGTTGCGAGCTTAATTTGGATGATGAATCTCGCATATCTCGCAAATCATGGAAGAAAGTGATCTGTTTCCACGATGCGTGTGACGCACCAAGGATAGAATGGTTCGGGCTATGAATACTATCATCAAGAATATCCCTTACCGGTGTCTGTCAGCTGGGACAGCCCTTGCTTCGCTGCAATGGACGGCATGCGCGCAACATGCAGAGAACTGTATAAGGCGGGATCACCATGGGACTCTAACGGCCACGCGCAGTCTGTGGATGTCCAAATGTCGTTCAGTCCGTCCATGACATTATGCCGAGATAGCTCGAGCCTTTTAAGGTATGAGCAGTAAATAACTCCCTGGACGATATGCAGAGCTAGAGAATTAGCAGCGTAAAACACAAAGAAAGGTCAGTTATTCTCCCCCAGCAGAATGCAGTAGTGCGGAAGAGCAACACAAGGCTTGCTGATTAAGCTGTATCGTCGCGCTAATATGGAATCTTTTAGCCTCAAGCGTGCTCGGAGTGACTATCGCCTTAAAGACTTAATCCAGTGTCAGTTACAAGTATGGCGTGAAACTGACTTTCAGAACAAAGAAATAAAAGGGTCGAGATATAGCCGAGATGCAGCCTCCGACAGGGATGTCCATCCTGGGCCATCTCCCGGATTGACTAAATTAGAATAGCTTCTCATCCAACCTGTCAAATTTCAGCTGGACTGGACGATCACATACGCTACTGCCTGGCCATCACAGACTAAAAGCTCCCCAAAGAGTTCAGACTCTGCCCCGGCCTGTCAATCGGGCGCATATAAAGCCAGCCCACCGTGGGTTACTCCCGCTGTGATTAAAGCAAAACTCGTATGAGCTTGAGCCACCATGGCGCCCCTTCGGACTGTCTTGATCACCGGCTGCTCCGCCAACGGCATCGGATCGGCCCTGGCCGTCGCGCTCGCCAATCAAGGCCACCACGTCTTCGCCACTGCGCGCTCACCATCCAAGATTCCGTCGTCTCTCACCACTTTGTCCAATGTCACCCCTCTCCAGCTCGACGTCACATCATCAGAGTCTGTGGCTGCTGCCGTTCAGGCAGTCGAGCAGCATGGAACAGGCCTAGATATTCTCATTAACAATGCGGGCTCCGGTTACACCATGCCGCTGCTGGACGTCGACCTCACCCAAGCCCAGCAGGTCTACGAGACCAACATCTGGGGTCCGCTGCGTCTTGTTCAAGCACTAGCGCCATTGCTAATATCCCGCGGTGGACGCGTCGTCAACATAAGCAGCGTGGGTGCAGTAGTCCCCACGCCATGGATCGGTACATCAGTCCTCTTCCTCCCGGTCGGCATGCAGTGTCACATTAACAACGTGATACAGGCATCTACTCATCATCGAAATCCGCCTTGAGCAATCTCTCCGAGACCCTCCGTCTCGAAGTAGCACCACTGGGAGTATCCGTGGCCACGCTCATGATCGGCACCGTCACGACGCCGTTTCATGCAAACGAGCCCAGATTCACCCTCCCACCAAGCTCGCGATATGCGGCTATCGCAGAGACCATCTCCCGCTGGGCGTCAGGTGAGGCGAGTCCCAAGGGATGCTCGGCCCAAGAGCTGGCGGATTTGATCCTGCCTGATGTACTAGGTACGACAGGACATGGCATGTTCTGGCGCGGACCGAATAGTGGTGCGGTGAAGTTTGTGTCTCAATGGGTGCCTGGATGGTTAGCTGTGAGTTTGTCCTCACCTACCGAGGGTATTATTGCTAATGTTGGAATAGGATCGCATGATGAGCACTGGTCAGGGATTGGATGAGCTCGCGGCGAGTCAGTCAAAGTAAATGGTGGCCAAGTCCGCCTAATTGTTTGGCTATATGTAGAGTTATAGAAAAGTAATTGCAGACCATTGGTACTCGCTATTTAGCCAGCTACATACATCCTTTTAAGGGGCCCCTCGGCCAAGCTGTGACCCATGTAAAGTGCCTAAGGTGTCTCGTATGAATTCCGACCGTCAAGCATCAACTGCCTTGGGAGGATATATAGAGGTAGAGAGTATTCATTACTGGACCTCACCAACTGCAAGAAAACATCAGTCATATTTATGAACAATCAGCTGTCATTATAACAAAGCCTTCCAAAAGCAGCGCTGGAGAGTACTGTCCGTAGACTACAAATTCATAGTGGGATGGTGGCAGGCACCGACCATTTCTGCCACCTCGCCATGAGGGCGGTCAAAAATCATACAGAATCCGCAAAGAGTTCTCTGGGACTTGTATGTTCTTAAATCCGCTTAAATCCGTGGTTTTTTCGGCGAGGTCGACTAGGTTCTGCCGCTTGGAGCGGTGTAGTGAGCGGTCAGGGATACGTTTTCTGCCAGTATGTTGATGCGGGCGGTCACAGTTCGTACAGTTTCCAGGGTGAGTTCTCTGGAAACTGTATGTTCTTAAGTCCGCTTAAATCCGAGGTTTTTCGAGCGAGGTTCGCTAGTTTCTGCCGCTTAGGGCGGTCAACGAAGCGGTAGATCCTCTGATGGCAGAATGAGCTCTTTTTGCAGCTGCGGTTCCGGCGCGTGCTTTTATTAGGCACGTGATGAGTACACGATCTTGCTTTTTGGCTTACTAGTTGTACTGACAGTTTGCACCAATTGTTACACAGATTCTGAAATAATTTCAGCGAGTATAATGAAAGAGGTCGCATGTTCAGAATATGTGTTCTAGGACTGTCTACTAGCTAAAGAGTTCCCTCAAACTAGTAAGTTCAGTTCGGATCATCTGGACAACTGCAAATATATATTCCCGCTTGGGAGAAACAACAACTACTACTACTAGGACAAGTTGAACATGAGAGTTCATGACAACTAAGGGCGCGATTACTAGTATTCTTGATCCGAAATTCAACTTTTACGTTCTAACGCTATCCCAGAGTCAATCTGCTGTGCCTACTACCCCTCCTTTTTCCTTGGGCCATCCGCAGCCAAACCAGACGAATGAGCCAGATGTTGTTGGAATGGCGCGGTCGGTGCTAGTGCTAGTGTTATCGGCACTACGAATCCAATCGCGGCGGTCTTCGTCGGAACAACATATCCGGAAAAACAAAACACCCTGGAAGACGGAGCAGGGATATTGACAAGGATATTGTTCAGGGTTACCTAAAGACAACTACCATTGACCTGGAAGTGTATAAGATTTGGTGATACTCTGGTATTGATGTCTAAAGCTATTCCCAAGTTCGGTGAGCTGCAGTAGTCGATGACGACGGAGTGCAGCCCGTGTTAAGCCACTGATGCCCCTCCGTGCTCCTGAAGGCGGATGCTAGCTTGTGATCGTCGACTGCCACGTTGCAGCGTACCCCTCATAGAGTGCTATCTACTCGTACTGACCTTGAAAACTACGCATGCATACCATGTATGCAATGGATCGCGAAGATATGTTTGTGTGTTGTTCATTGTGGTATATTTCTATTTCATGTCATACACACTACCGTACATCATAAACAGATAGGTGCGTCCAACTCATATTCCAATCGCTTAGAAGCCGAACTGGCTCTCCTCGGTAGCTTCAATGTGCTCGGCGGCCCTCTCCTTGGCGAGTCTGCGCTTCTCCTGCCAGTCATCAATCTTGTCAAGACCCTTGGTCTCGAACTCACGGTCGATGAAGGCACCGGCGAGACCAGCGAGGATCTCCTTGGCCTGGGCGTGGTTGGCGGGCTTGCCTGAGGGGAGATTAGTATACTGGATTCACAAGAAGAGATAAGAGGTGGGACGAACCGTTCTCCTCCTGGTGCTTCTCGTAGGCCTTCATGGCCTCGTAGGCAGCGGCACCGCCAATGAGCTCGTGGCTGAAACTGGCCTTGTGCTCCTCAACAGGGGTGTTGTTGTAGGCGGTAGCCTGTTCCTCGCGAGACTCTGGACATCCGTTAGCTTGACGGACTCACGTATACTACCAAAGAGGAATACTCAGGGTCACTCACCGAACCAACCCATGTTTGCTGAAGTGTATTGAAGATGTGTAGAGTGATAGAAAGAGTATGTTTGTGGATGATGAAGGGAAAGAGACGACAGGGGGGAAACGGAGGGGTAGAAATAGGTTGAGCTCGCTCTCCCCCTGGGTCCCTCTCTTCCCCTGATGGAGGGGTAAATGATATCATCGTCATGGCCGACTGAGATCTCGGTCTGGTTGGAGCTGTGAGGGGCTTGTTGGGGGCACCCAAAGAGGCAATGGAGGGGCAGCGCGTGGTATACTGAGGATTCAGTGGGTGGATGATGGTGGGGACACCGACTGGGGTGGACCGGGTTTCTTGTCAAGGAATGATTGGGCGCAACGCGGAAGCTAAGTCGCAACAAGCTCCAGTGGGATTCCTTCTGAGCCTTGGGCGGCCGCCAGTGTTCTGGTTGCCCGGTGATGGTGGGTTTCGGCAGCCATTCGTGTTGCCAATACGCGAGAATCCCACTCGACTATCATCGCCTACTGAAGTCCACTAGTTGATATAGTGCTACTATATCGGGTCTGGGCGAGATGACGGGACCTCTGAATGGCCGCTGCCCCACCGCATCAGCCACTTGATTCATTGCATTTACTGTCCTCTGTCGGCGTGAGGCGCTGTTCTCAGACAAAGGAAGCGAGCATCACCCCAATAGTCTCGCCCAGTAACTCCGTAGTTTCTCGCCGTCTGACACTTGTCTTTCCCACTGAACCGAGACTAGAAATTTGCACACGATCACCTCACCTGCGTGATTGCCCGCTCCATAACGTAAAACTCGCCTGGAGGATTCGAAGCTCTGTCTGTCGAACGTTAAAAGAGCAGCCTGTATCTAGGTGCTGCCTCAATGTAGCGAGAGTACAAAGTGGCAGTGGCACAGCCACACCATCTGCTGACGGTTCGAAACTGAAAGGAGCTATCTAGCGCCAGATAGCTGATGACAATCGGATCCACCCAAGCGACTCAGGGGTAGATTTTGCCCTTTGACTTCAGACCCTCACCGCAAAGGTGCGATGCTATTTCCCTCATGGGCGCAGTGGGGGCCTCGCCCCAATTGCGAGCAATGATGCCATTACCTCAGGCCGTTTGGCGTGGCTTCGTACGTGGGTGGTGCCATAATTTCTCTCAATGGTCTCAAATAGACAAGCGGTCGCCTCCGCTAGGATGTCTTATCACATCCATATGGTAGGACTGATATGAAACGGGCGAAGGCAGAGGGGAGGATCGGCACTGAATAGGGCGTTGAGACTCTAGAGAGATCTGCAGCAGCAACATAGGCGAATTAAATCGCCGGACAACGGCCGTTTTGGAACCGCTGAGCCAATCCAATTGGTTGAGGTTGGCTAAATATTGGGTACTGAGCACAAAGTTCCGATGGTCTCCATCCCAAATCGCTCGAATGCAGACTCTCTCCAACTCCGCACCTTATCCACCAGACGGAAAATAATGGGAGCGGTGTACCAATCAGGAGGCTGTGGCTGGTGAAAGTCCCGAGATCCGGCAAAGCTGCTCTGGCCCCAAGCCCCCAACATCTTACACCGCCACTCTCTCAGCCGTCATCGCATATCCTATCGTAGGTTGTAAGGGCAGCAAAATCATACGGCGAGGAAGTGCGTGAACGGCTATTGCAAGACGCCGTACCAATTTGGAACTTTATCATGACATAGAATTGGAGGGAATTGAACACTGTTGTGCGGGATTCACCCGAACCATGACAGAGTGGCGATTCCAACCAGACAGCCCCATTTGTTCCGATCCCCACAGCCATCGGGGGATCATCGCCAGCTTGTTCCTCTTTGATGAGGGGTGAGATAGCATGTGCATTAAGAGTGGGTTGAGTCCATTCTGTCTCATATAAGTGTCAGACTGCGCGGGCAGCGGCCTGGGCCAATACTCGTAAACATCCCGTCCGTCGACGAAGTGCTCTGAGCTAGAGTTGGATAGTCACGACCTCTTCTTGCTTACTCCGGAAGCATTGAGATCGATCAAGCTCTATCGAGGCATCTTAAACAAGAAGGTATACTACGTAGTAAGGAGTAGGTTCCTTTGTATTCATGCCGGATTCTTTGCTGTTATCTCTCTATGTTATATGGAGGACGTCCAAGTGTCATTAGGCTTAGATGCGGCATGATGTGGAGCGGGATGCGCCTTGCAGATTTTCAGGTGGCCATCCATAATCGGGGTGGAGTAGTCGGTCCTGCTTGCGACATAGAAGAAGTAGATAGAAGCGAGAAGCTGCATCAGCTTGAAAGAAATTCTGCAGCAGTGTATGCATGTAGATGAATGTCACCTACTCGCAGCAGTCATCATGCAGATCCTGAGGAGGAAGGTGTCCGACCGGCGGAACGGTCGGTACTGCTAATTATGTAGTCATCTTCCTGAGTTTCTCCTTGGGCACTCTGCATTGGACGGTTGAGAATATGAAGATACTTATGGGGAGATGAGGAAATAATGACCGTTGAAACAATATCTTCGGTCAACAATGTCCTGTTGTTGTTGTTGTTGGATGTAGACAACCGACTGTGTGTCTTGATTAATACTTAGTATTCACCAAGCCGGTCAGCTGATCTTTGTTTCTTTTTGGCCTCCCACAAGATCTAGAGTTCTGTCACCTCACTCTTCCAGAAAGCTTCTCAACTCTGATTACACAGACTTTCAGGACAAATTAGGGGCTTGGACCTGCAAGCATCCTGCATTATATGCCCCAAATACAAAGGCTGGCCTACTAATGATAATGATGCATGCACACCAGTCGCATTGGACCGTATTGAAGACAGATCACCGCCCGGCGGCAGTATCCGGCGAACGAAATTTGGTAGCTGCCTAAGGCTCCTATTACATTCTGTGCCTCAGGAGCGTGGACTAAGAACTGACACTTTCTAGAACCTATCTATCCTGACTTAAAAGAGATTTATGTTAAGCGGCTGGCCAAAGGGTTACGGACGAGTCTTTGACATGCCATTGATAAGGCAGGTCTGTCAACCCTACGTGTCTCGAAATGTTCTCGGGCCTCGATTACGTGTGGCAATTTTCTTACTTGCTAATCTAAACCTGATGACTATTTAAAGAACGCCATACCAACATCCTGGTTGCCACAATGCTCGATGCTTCATGCTCATTAAAGTTGTATCCCCATTGTGGTGGTTGGCAAGCGGCTAGGTGTTGTGATGGGCCTATGCACTGGCTCAGAACGAACAATCACAAACGGCTAGTTATATCAACTAGCCCGACAGGTGCGACTTGGTGTTACTTGAATACACATTGAAAGGGCATTATCTCAATGGAGGTGTGAGCGGGTTCGCTTCATTCTTTGTAAACGACTACAAAAGCTTGGAGATTTGCGGGGTCTTCCTAGCAGCATAGAGTTCAACTAGCGAATGTGCTGTGAATCGGGCGCTTAGCTGTAAGATGTGGCATCAGGAATAGGAGATATAAGGACACGCTATTTTGAACTTGGTCGATTGGCCAATAGCCTCTGCTATGTTTTCATCGTCGCTTATTGAGATGATCTCCTTCCAACAGGGATAATGGCCGGTTACCCCGCTACTCAGCCGCGCGCTATCTCGGCGCGTAGTGAGGCTGCGCAGCCCAAGGCTCACCCTTACGCATGCCTTTAAATACACGAGTCCGGAATCTTCAAATTGACTGGACCGCGGACTACTTACAAAACCACAGTAAGCTCATGTCAAACCAACTCCGAACTCGAAAACACCAACATGAAACGCTACTCCAAGAGAATTTGGCGGAAATTCAAGGGCGGAGAAGACGGTAAACCTTCATCCGCGGTCTCTTCCGTGGTCCTCGATGAGACCTATGGCGCCCAAAGAGCTGGAAATAACCCCGCCACAACGCAGCAAATTGTGGAAGTGAAAGGGACCGACTTGTGGCAGATCGCTTACGAGGATCTAAGTCCAGCCGACAAAGGGGTGCTTGCAGACACTCAGCAAGTTGGACGACCGTCTCTTCACCGTAGCAAGACTTTGGAGGTAGTGGATGACGTTATCGAGGCGACGAAGAAGCAGTATGAAGAGTATCAGAAAAGGGGCTTGAAGATCAGGAAGGGAGCAGATAAAGATTCCATCAACGTTCGTGATATTGCACACAAAATCTTGAATGCTACACTATCATTCAGAGGAATCGCAAACGTGCTCGTGGGTGGCGATCAGACCGGCACTGCATCCATTGCTTGGGGAATTGTGTTGCTCGGGTTGACCGTATGTGTCTTGCCGGAAGCCCACAGATTTCTAATGCTAATTGAATCCATCAATAGATCACATATAACCATCATCAGATACGCAAGGCTCAGTTTCAATCGGCTGAGTTCTTGACAGACGTCCTAACACGTTGTGCTTTCATTGAGAAGGAGCACTATCACGATAGCCGATATGAAACGCAGGACAAGGTTGAAGTTGCTATTGTCCAAGTCTACAAAGGTATCCTGAGCTATACAGCGCAAGTATACAGGATGCAACGGGCTAATGTGGGGGAGAGATTATTGGAAAGTCTTTTGCCAGTGACAAACCACCCACTCAAAGAAATTGAGACACAGATCAGGAGCGACGAGGCAAGATTGCGCCAATGGGTCAGACATGACGAGCATTTACAAAGCCAAGCGAAAGCTGAAGAGCTGCTTGGGCGGATAGATGAATTCATCGTGTTACTGAAAAACTTACACCGGAAGTTCGATCTCTATAATCTCCCAGCTGCCGAAGGTGCTTCATATGACTCATATCAAAATCAACATCAGGAGGCGTGCCTTGATGGCACGAGAGAGGACCTTCTTCAACAAGCCAGTGACTGGGGAAGTTGCTCGCAAGGCGCGTGTCTCTTCTGGTTGAACGGCATGGCCGGCACAGGAAAGTCGACAATTGCACGATCACTCGCCAGGACATTTGAAGAAAAGGGTCAACTTGGAGCGACCTACTTCTTCAAAAGGGGTGAAGGTGACCGCGGGCATGCGAAGAGGTTTGTCTCGACAATCACAAGACAACTTATTGCGGTAATCCCCAATCTAGCAGTTGGCGTCTCGAAGGCCATCGAAGATGATCCAGATATTTCAAGACGTGGTTTTAGAATACAATTTGAAAAGCTGCTTCTCGAACCCTTGAGTGAGCTGGAGGATGGCCAAAACCTGACCAGATTCGTGATCGTGGTCGACGCACTGGATGAATGCGAAGAGGAGCAGGATATAAGGCTCCTATTGCAGCTCTTCCCCCGCATCCAGGAGTCAAAATCTGTCCAGCTACGGGCCTTCATAACCAGCCGACCGGAACTACCGATACAGCTCGGCTTTCAGCAGGATACAGTCAAAACTAATCACCAGGATCTCGTTCTTCATCAAATCCCTAAGCCAGTGATTGAGCACGATATATCTCTATATCTGAGACACAAGTTAAAGATAATCCGGGAGACTCGGTCACTACCTCCGGACTGGCCTGGTGATAACATCTTTCAGGAACTGGTCAAGATGTCAGTCCCCTTATTCATTTTTGCGGCCACCGTGTGCCGTGTGTTTGAAGACTATGACCTGGACCCTGTACAGACCCTCTCTGAGATCCTCGAGTACCAGAATGAAGAATCCAAGTTGGATGGAACGTATCTTCCAGTACTGCAAAGGCTCTCGACCCATAGCGGCAAGCGGCATAAGATGATTATCGAGGAATTCCAGGAGGTGGTCGGCACAATCATAATCCTCGAGTCGCCACTCTCAGTCTGCTCCTTGTCCGAGATCCTTGGTATCCGAAACAGCACTATAAATACACGTTTGAGCCGACTCCATGCGGTGCTTGATATTCCAGATGATGAGACAAAGCCCGTAGGGCTTTTCCACTTGTCGTTTCGAGACTTTCTGCTCGATCCAGAGACACGAGAGAAGACGGAGTTCTGGATAGACGGTGGGCTAACGCATCACAAGCTCGCTGTCAAGTGCCTTGAAATTATGAGAAGCAGGCTAAAGAGGAATATGTGCAATCTCCCATATGAGGGGTTTGAGCGAACTGAAATCAACGCAGACACTGTCGGGAAACCCCTAGAACATTTCATACCATCTGAACTAGAATATTGCTGCCGTTACTGGATACGCCATATAGCACAGTGCAAAGACCCAGTAGAGCTAGGAGATGAAATATACGCGTTTCTCCAGGAGCATTTCCTTCACTGGGCAGAAGCCATGTGCTTGTTAGGTTATGCATCCGAGGTTGTTGGAGGTATCGAGACCCTTCAGTCACTGATAAAGGTACGTCCATTGAAGCCAATTTCTCGAACGGATACTAAGATACACAGAATCAGGAAGAGTCTGAAGCAGCCAGATTTCTATATGATGCAAAACGGTTCATGCTCAAGTGTCGACGTATAGCTCATGTTGCGCCACTCCAAGTGTATTGCTCTGGGTTAATATTCGCCCCAACCAAGTCACTTATTGGAAGCACACGTGAATTACCCAGATGGGCCCAGAGGTTGCCAGAAGTTGAAGAGTATTGGAGTGCGAATCTGGAGAGCATTGATGGCCATAGTGGCCTGGCGGTTCGATCGGTGGCCTTTTCACCAGACGGGCGATGGTTGGCTTCAGGGTCCGACGATAAAACCATTAAGCTGTGGGATGCGGCGACCAGGACGCTGCTCCAGAGCCTTGAAGGCCATAACAGATCAGTGGTATCTATAGCCTTTTCACCAGATGGACGCTCTCTGGCATCGGGGTCTCACGACAATACTGTCAAGCTCTGGGACCTGGCGACCGGTTCACACCAGACCGTGGGAAGCCACGAGGAGAAGGTTTGGTCCGTAGCCTTCTCAGCTAATGGCCAGGTGATAGCATCTGGTTCTGAAGATCGTACAGTCAAACTTTGGGACTTAACGAGCGGCTCACATCGGACATTGAGAGGCCATTATAGTCGTGTTTGGTCTATAGCCTTTTCAGCCGATGGAAAATGGCTAGCATCTGGCTCCGATGATAAAAGCATAAAACTGTGGGATCCCATTACAGGCGATCTGAAAGATACACTAGAGAACCCTAGCTGGTTTGTCGAGGCAGTAGCCTTCTCCCCGGATGGACGCTTGGCGTCTGGAGCGGGTGCTGCTCAGATTTGGGACCCGGAGACTGGTACCGTGCGACAAACGCTAGGGAACGTGACAGATAGAGTCTGGGCAGTGGCCGTCTCCTCCGATGGACAGTTTTTGGCATCCAGCCAGCTACACGATAGGTCGATCAGGCTATGGGATTTGACCACTGGTACGGTGCAGCAGACGTTAGTAGGCCATCCTTCTAGTGCTCAAAGTGTTGCTTTCTCCCCAGATGGGCGACTGCTGGCATCGTGTTCTGCGAACAACATCATCAAGCTCTGGGACTTGAACATCACTTTCAGAGACGGGGAATCTGGAGGCCTACAATCCAGCTCTGAAGACTTCTCGGCACTTGCCTTCTCGACAGATGGACACTGGCTCGTATGCGGTATTTTTGACGGTACCATAGAGATTTGGGACTTGGCTCTGACGCTCCAAGGCGACCCAGCGACCAAGGCCGTGCGGATGATCCTTGAGGGACATAAGCGTGGTATTTCATCCCTGACCTTCTCTGCGAATGGCAAATGGCTGGCATCCGGCTCATTTGACAAAACGATCAAGATCTGGAATTGCAGCACCTTCCGCAGCGGTGCAGCGAGTGATGCTCTGCATCGAGAACTTGAGGGACATGGTGGCGGGGTTCTTAAAGTACTGTTCGCACCAGACGGACAGTGGCTTGCATCCATCGCTGATGATAGGACAATTAAGCTCTGGGACCCTGTTACTGGTACCCTTCAGCATACTATGCAGGGCCACCAGTACATGGCTAGGTTTCTGGCTTTTTCACCAGATGGACGGTGGCTTGCATCTGCTGACAATGTGATCAAGGTCTGGGACACGAACACTGGTGCTCTATTGCATAGTATCGACATCCCTGGATTTTTAGGGGAGCTCTCATTTACCAAAGACGGGCTTCATCTGGACACGACTTTCGGGGTGTACAGTATTCCGACAGCCGATCCCACAATTCCAGCTGACATTCTGCCCAAACCGGAACTTTGTCTTGTGAGAGAGCAATGGATCACTCTGAATGGTAAAAAAGTCCTTTGGATACCGCCCGACTATCGCGGCCATGTTGCCACTCGTGATAGAGTGTTCGCTCTAGGAATCAAGCCTTTGGGGCGGCGAGCGAGGTCACTTGCGCTGTTCGAGTTTTGATGATGATATTTGTCGCGTCGCCATGTAGCTGAGTAGTATCTCGAAATTTGTGGGAGCAGCAAGCAGGAGCCATGGGTAATTTAATTCAATCTATTTTGATATGATCCTGCCACCAATCATGGGTTCTGTGCGGCCACGAGGGCGTCGGCCGAATCTCCACCAGCCTGGAATGTGCCAATTAGGGCGCACGGGGATGAGGGTGGCTCTATCCGCCAGACTCCGGCGGGAAACCGGCCAGCCGCCCTAAAATGTCTATTATAAACATCTTGGTCCACCGCGACCAAACGTGCCTCTCAAAACTCACAATGGCTTGGTAAGTGCGGAGCGATGTGTAAGCGCGACCGCTTCATTGGAGCGCTGATGCTGGCCTAAGATCTCACCCCTGCATCGAAGTGGTCCACAAAGAGTCCTCCCCGTCGGAGACACGCGACGATGGCATGATTTGAGGCAGATACAATAGCATGCTTTTCATTGTGCACCAAGAAGAAAATTACCCGATCCTCAGCGGTTGCAGTCACAGAAGATCGACAAAAAGGCACAATTGCAGAAGTTGACCTCTTAATCAGACAAGTTCGCCGCACCGCGGGGCCGGCATGGTGTTGGGGCTGACAGCCTCGGATGGAGACACGAGCTGAGGCCAAGACGATCCATCGATCCAGTGGTTCCCACGAGGACCCAATGCAGTGTAACCATGCACAACAATGGCCCCTCTCTTCTGGTCAATGCATTCCAGACCCCTCCCATCTGTCTTCTGCCTCCTGCTCATGGAATGGCCACCAACACCGGGCGCAAGACTAAACCAACGCGATAACGAACGGCTGCGACCTGGCCGTTTTTGCAACCGGTCTAGATAGACCATGTGCGCTATCCTCAACACTAAAACAGACTTTATGCCGGCTGACACCCCCACTGCTAGGCAAAACTTAGTGCAATCCAATTGTCACAGTGGCTTCAGAAAAACCGAGGCCATCGTTATAGGCCACGTCTCCTGAGAGGCGGAGACTGACAAGAATCTAGCCTGGGGCAGAAGATATATATTCCGGCTACTTCCCCCCGTCGGCTTTTCACTCAACATCCCTACACATACATACCCAGCATACCACTACCCACACACCACAATGGGCGACGCTGCAGGACTCCCCGACTACGTTCTGGACCCCAATGCGGTCCTCAACGACACGGACGCCGCCTGGCGTCACGGAGGCCCCCCGGACTACAGCAAGACCCGGGCCTACTACGAAGAGAGTACGCCTCCTACCGCATCCAAGCAACCACCCCAGATCAGTACTAACAATGAATACAAACAGCCAAGAAAATGACCCACGAAGCCGGCAGCCTTCCCTTCCTCGTCGAGAACCTGGTCAAGAACTGGGAAATCGAAGCCTCCTTCAAGACCAACCTCGCGGACTGGCGCACCATTGACCACGAGACATACCATTTCACATTGAACGGCGGGCCCCCGTTGAGCGGCGAGCACATGCTGAAAGTCGGCACGTATAATGCGCTCCTCACGCCGAGTGCGTACTACGATCCTGCCAATAATGATTTCGAAGCGAGCCACAAGTCGTTTAAGCGCATGATGCCTACGTTTGCGTGGGAGGTGCTGGAGGTATATAGTGGGCCGCCGGTCGTGGTATTTAAGTGGAGGCACTGGGGTGTTATGGCGAGGGATTATGTTGGATTTAACGAGTATGTTTGATATCTCTCCCTTTATTGATCTTGGTGTGGATATGGGCTAATAATGGTATAGTAAGGGAGAAAAGGTCAAGATCGCCGCGCACGGCGGACCCATTGATATCCAAGGTATCGTGATCGCCAAGGTCAATGACGCGCTGAAGCTGCAGCGCATTGATGTGTGGTTCGATCCGCTGGAGATGTTCCGCCAGATTGCCAAGGATCACGAGCAGACCAAGGTGGAGGGCGAGGAGAAGAATGCGTCGGGGTGTCCGTTTGCGGGGGCAAAGGAGTAGATGGGATGTATGATGTAAAACTGAGGATATGTTAGGATACGAATTTCTTTACATGTTGATCCTGGTCATCAGTCTGATAATACGCAATACTTCGTAGGGTAGTCGCTTTTATTTAACTTGGATACTTGCTGGCTTGTTGCCATCCTCGTGGGTTCACTGATTATCTATTACGGGCAGTGCTTGTTACGTATAATCGGAGACTGTATGATGCCAGACTTAGGCAATCATTCCTTCAATCGCTTATTGTATACTCGTTCATAACATTATACATTGAGGACATTCCATCCCATACTCAAATGTTTCATCGGATCACATGAAGTACGCTCCCTACCGTCTCCACACTACACATACCACGCACGTATGTCCTGCGCACGGCGGCCATCCACCTACAACGTCGCCGGGTTGACCTTGCAATAATCCAAATTATGAATATCGGTATTGGGATTCCCCGCCCAAGTCCTATCTCGTCATTAGCATCCCACACTCTCTCAAAGCTCAGGAGAGAAAGATAACTCACGGGAACGCATGCTCAGTCCCACTCCCTCCAAATACCGCAAACGTAAGAATGAACACACAAATTTGCGTGCCACCATCCAACGCAGCCGAGACAATATAATTATACTTGTTGAACAGCTGCGGATGATACCGTCTCAACCAGAATTGCGCCGCAAATCCCAATAGGAAGTACGACATGATCGAGGCGTTAATACCCACGAACAACCAGCCCATGTACCAGAGGATAATGGAGGTGTTGAGGTACGAGAAGATCGGATGGGGGTAGAAGCGGTTGGCGAGCCAGAAGGGCACCGGCACGATGAAGCCGACGAGGTATGCTATGGTTACCCATTCGTAGCGGCCGCCGATGGAGAACATGTCGTTGGCAATACTCCAGGCAATGGCGAGACTGTTGAATTGGTTTGGGGGTGTTAGTTTTGGTGTTGAGGAGATGGGATGAGAGGAGCAAGGGGGGACTTATTTGAACGTTAGCGCCACTCCAGATGTTGGTGCCGTCGATGGAGATGAGGACGTCGGCTTGGTTTCGGACGATGCTTGATTCATAGTCAGTGGGATTATTTCTGATATGGGGAGGGTAACGGAGCATACATCAGCATCATCACGTAGTTGAAGAGAGCTCCGATGATGCAGCCCATGACTTGCACGAAGAAGGTGCATTTCGGCGATAGATGCACTTGCTGCGCCAGTCGTAGGTCCTTGGCCAATACCTGTCCCTGTTGCAGCGAGTTGTAGGTGAAGCAGGTGAAGTAGAGGTCTATTGCGTTAGCTAGGTCAGAAAGTCGATAGAGATCTCACGTACTGGCCAATGGCTTCCCCGGAAACATGTAGCCTGCCAACATTTGACAGATGGGCTGAACGTTAAACTGAAACCCAGTTAACCCATACTGGGCACCAAAGAAGAGCATAAACACCAGCGTGAGGATGTTGCCGACGATGAATCCCCACCACGGTAGCGTAGACTTCATCGCATACAAACAGCCCAATCCGACAGCAAAGCTGGCAATCAGTACAGCGCCCCACCACCATAGCGGAGTATCCTGATAGAGGTTGCGCAGCATGAGACGATAGTGCGGATCGAGGGTATCGTCGTTGACGCGTCGCGCGAGACGTTCCTCAGGGGTCTCCTGATTAGCCCAGAACTTGTAGGTCTCGGGCTTCAGCCATTTCTTGAGCTTGCTAGGGGCAGCCCACGCCCAACCGACCTTGATATCGTCAAAATCCCACAACAGCATATGGGTCAGTGTGGCAGTCACTCCCATGTTGGAGGTAATGAGGTAGACCACATATGTTCCGGTCAGCCAGGGCAGACCCTGCTCCTTGAGGGCCGCAGGATCGACAATGTATTCGGAGTTGAGAATCAGGGTTTGATTGTACTCGTGGTAGTACGTGGAGTTGGAGTCGCCGTAGTAGAGCAGTTGAGAGAGGAATGGAAAGTCCTGGGACCGCCAAATATTGGCGTAGTAGATGGCCATGAAAAGGATGATGCAGCCCAAGTACCCGATGAAATTGTTAGTCATAGCGTACAGTGGATACCACAGCGGTGATCCCAACGAGGCAATGTAGTTCCAATCAAAAGAGAGGGAGAGGAACCCGAGTCCCTCGTTTCCGGAGGCACCGCCAAACAGGTTTGTGAAGACCAAGCTGTGCTGATCGGCCAAGCAGAAGATCGAGAAACCTTCAAGGAGGGGAAATATGTACTCAGGAATTATAGTCCAGAAGAAGAGGATGAAGAAGAAGATGTAGAAGATCTTCATCCGCGCCTTGGACTGTGCCTTATCCTTGTGCAATGACTCAAGCAGACTGCTGATGGGCAAGGTCATGGGCCAGATCATCTTGGTTGGCCGCACGATGACATCCCGTAGTAGTCCGGCAATGCCGAAGCCGATCAGCTGAGAGGACAGCACGATGAACACAGCAGCAGCATGGTTGGGGTAGCCACCGTAGAAGAGCTGTTGGGCTGACAGGGCCTCGGTGGCCAGCGCGGACTGTGTCGCGGCGGAGGACATGAGGGAGATGGCCGCATGTTCTTTGGCGTTGAAGGGACCCGGATTCAGCAACTTTCCGATGACGCCGCGACGGGGGATGGCATATGCCATGAATTCTCCCAGGATGTAGGCAATCACTGTGAGGAAGACCTGCGAGACGTAGATGGTTTGCGGCTTGAAGTAGAAGATCTCCTGGAGCACACCACCGAAGATGGATAGACCGGCTCCTACTGGAGATTAGTAGGGAGACCATGTTGTAGTTGGAGAGGTAGTCATACCCAGGAAGACCATGCGAAAGCTCCATGGGTTCAGCGATGGATCATCCTCGACCTTGATGATATGGGTAACGAGATCTTGCGCCGTGCTCACCACCTGGTCGCTATCATAGTCGTCGTCCTCACCAATGCGCACCGTCTGACCCTTTTCGAGCACCTGAGGCTCTATCGCAGGAGAATTCTGGCTCGACCTCTTCTCATCGTAGCTAGGCACCTCTTGTCCCAGGGACACATCGGCCGACTTGCTCTCCATGATATTGCTGAACGAGGTCTGACTGGACGCTTTTTCCTCCGAGGAAGCAAGGAGGGACCGCCTGCATTAAATACGAGGCCACCCTCCCAGAGGAGCATTACTGGCAGCAGAAACACATGGTGGTTGCCACATGGGACTCTCACGATAAGAGCTGCAGAGCGGAGTGGCTCTCTCCCTCACAGGGACCAAGCACTCAACCCTGCATGCTAAGCATTTTTAGCCTAGGACCCGATAAGCCAGGACCTGAACAGGCTGAAATAGTGTGTAAAACTGATTGCATTTGACTGTCTGCAGATGCAATCCAAGCGAGCTTATTGGACTGGATAAGAGCATGATAGTTCGGTTGGCATCGCTTCACGCCTCGTTGGAGAATGAACCACTGGAAAGGTGGCATCCCCAGAACCCTGGCCCACTATTATACGAGACTTATCTGTCATTTGTGGAATTGATTTCTGTGAGACATGCAGATGCCGATAAGGCTCTCGTCTAGCCTTTGCACGGTCGGGGCTTTCGCTGAGAGATATTGTGTCTGTACCGATGCGAACCGATGGATCACCATGGAGTGGTGGCATTGGCTGTACGAGAGATAAAAACATGAGCTCGATGCCTCAATTAATATAACTACACACCATAAGCAATAATGACTGGAGCCTCATACACACACTGCCCATCCTCTTTCCCACCTTGACACTGCTCTCCCCTCCTGCTGCTCTCTCTCTGCCCTCTTTCTGCGTTCTGTGTCGGCGCTAACCCCGAATGGGGCGGGTATCGGCAGTCCGACGGATCTCCGGGGGCCGCACGTCCAGCGCCGATCGTTACTCAACCGAGCAGAGGGGAGGGAGCAGTGAGCAGTGGTGTCACCGACCATAAAAATGCTTGCTTCTGCCCATCCAGCCATCAGTTGTCCAGTCTGCTCCATTGTGTGCCAGTCTCGCCCCCAAGGCCGCGCATCTGAAACCAACCGGTTGGATGAAATCAGCCGTCGGGTGGCACCCGAGCGGCCACTGGCTGGGATCATCGCCCGCAACGCGTCAACAGCAATCAAACGAAGGATGCGAGATTATTCAGCGGGCGGTTCCTTTCCCATTTTCCCCCTTCCTGTCAGCATGTCTACTCTATCATACTGTAACATTATTATATTGTGATTATTTTTATTCTGGGTGATGTGTCCACTGGACCGCACGTGGAATGAAGATTTTCCTTCCCTCGGGACGAGAAACCATGGCGCAGTTGGTGTTGTGTGCGTGTGTGTGCGTGTCGGCTGTCCGAAAATCGCCCTAAACTCCGAGGCACGCACCATTTGCCATTAATTCCCTCTGCGATTGATTTCTGCCTGTCCCTGCGACCCTTTGTGACCCTTTGTGACCCTTTGACCCTGGATTCAGGGGCTTGGTGGACTCATAGCGATGGGGATAGGGACTTTTGACCCTTTTGACCCTTTGACCCTCCCATTTTCCCTGGCCTAAGTACGCTGTAGTCGTAATTATAGAAAGAATCTTGCGTGGACTGGGGCAAAAGGGGAACAGAACTTATCCATGTCCGAGCAGCGATCGGCCAGTCACCAAGCCGGCTGGATCCGAGACCCGCTGCGTGGGAACTCCCAAGAGTCGTTAAGCAAAGCCAAGAGATCAGCCAAGATGTCGCTCACGAGCCTAATTGCTGGATTGCCATATCGCTTGTCGTTGTACCATCGCGTAAGATTTTATCATTGTTTCTGGGGGCTGTCAGCTAGTCTAAAACGTACTCCTCAAACCAGAGAGGCTGATGATGCTGATGATGGGCCTCCACCCCCCAAAATGGTAGCGCCATTCCATGAGAGGCCCAGTCTCTCTGCCCGTCCTCGACCATTGTTTGGCCCAGCACTGACACAACCTTCAGGGGGTGCCAATGGACGTATTCCGTAGGCAGCAGGCAAATGCGGCCCTAAGAACTACCCAACTAATAAGAGTCCAGACTAGCAAAGGTTCGCCTCGCCGGTCTCCATCTCTTCCTTCTTAGTCCTCCCATTTCCTCCCTCCCACTTGGTCTCTCGCTCCAGATTTCCTTTCTTCTTTCATCCATCCATCTTGTATCCTTTTGCTTAGCCTTTTTTTTGGTTTTCTTCCTCTCGTTAACCACCACATTCGCTCTATCTTAATACAATCACCCACACTCGTTCTATAGCATCTGTCTTCTTTCGTTCACCCCCTCACTATGAAGCTCGCCGCCTCTGCTGTAGCGGCGGCTGCCCTCGTCGACGTGGCTGTCGCCTCTGTCCCAGCCATCGTCATTAAGGTAGCTGACCATCGCCATCACATCAATTCCTGCCCACTGACCCTTTCTAGGGATCCAAATTCTTCTATGAGAACAACGGCACGGAATTGTAAGTCATCCACTCCTATCAGTTTAGATCAGCACTTGCTAATGTGCCTCAGCTTCATCCGTGGTGTGGCCTACCAGCGTAAGCAACAGCCTAACATGCCCGCTGGCCCTGTCTATCCGAACTAATAATCCATACAGCCCCCTATGATGGCACTGGCACGACGACCTCCGCTGGCACGGTCGATTTCGTCGATCCCCTTGCCAACGAGACCATCTGCAAGCGGGATCTGCCCTACCTGCAGGAACTCAACACCAACGTGGTCCGTGTTTACGACGTTGACCCGAACGCGGACCACAGCACCTGCATGAACCTGCTGGCTGATGCCGGCATCTACGTGCTGGCGGATTTGTCCTCAGCGGACTACTCCATCGACAGCAGCGACCCGGAGTGGAACCTGGAGTTGTACGACTACTACGCCAGCGTGGTCGACTCGCTGGCCAACTACACCAACACTCTGGGTTTCTTCGCGGGTAACGAGAACTCCAACAGTGTCAACACCACCGGTGCCAGTGCCTACGTCAAGGCCGCCGTGCGTGACATGAAGGCCTACATCAAGTCCAAGAACTACCGCAGCATCGGTGTCGGTTACTCCGCCGCTGATGTCTCGGAGATCCGTACCGACCTCGTTGACTACTTCAACTGCGGTGACTCGGACGATTCCGTCGACTTCTTCGGTGACAACGTCTACGAGTGGTGCGGTGACTCCAGCTACACTGAGTCCGGCTACAATGTCATGACCGAGGATCTGAGCAACCTGTCCATCCCTTACTTCTTCTCCGAGTACGGTTGTATCACCGTCCAGCCCCGTTCCTTCAGCAACGTCCCCGTCATGTACGGTCCTAAGATGGATGGCTGGCTCGCCGGTGGTATTGTCTACGAGTACTTCCAGGATGCCAACGACTACGGTATGCCCCCACCCCTTTCATTGCCAACAACCCACGTAACAAGTTAACTAACACCGCCCAGGTCTGGTCACCATCTCCGACGGCTCCGTCAGCACCCTGACGGGCTTCTCCTCCTACTCCGAGGAGATCAACAGCGTCAGCCCCACCGGAACCAACAGCGCCAGCTACACCCCCACCAACACTGTCGCGCGGTCTTGCCCGACCGTCGGCTCCAGCTGGGAAGCCGCCAGCGCCTTGCCCCCGGCCCCCAACTCGGAACTCTGCTCCTGCATGGAAGAGACCCTCACCTGCGTCGTGAAGGACAGCGTCTCCTCGAAGAAGTACTCCGACCTGTACAGCACCGTCTGCGGATACGGCGTGTGCGCGGGTATCACCGGCAACACCACCACCGGAGAGTACGGTGCGTACAGCATGTGCAACACCAAGCAGATGCTCAACTGGGCCCTGAACGCCTACTACGAGGAGCAGAAGTCGGCGGGCAACGGTGCCTCGGCCTGTGACTTTGCTGGCTCGGCTACCACCACTTCGACTACTTCTCCTACCGGTACTTGCTCTTCTCTGCTCAAGGCTGTTGGCACCGCTGTTACGGGTACTGTCTCGTTGTCTGCGGCTGCTGGCACCAGCACTGGTGACTCCAGCAGCAGCGGTAGCTCCGAGAGTAGCTCCGCTGGTGTGCCTGGGTACATGACCTACACTGCTACCCTGGGTCTGGGTCAGTTGGTTGCGTTTGTTGCTGTTGGTGTGTTGTCCGGTACCGGAATGATTCTTTTGTAGATTGTGTCTATAAGTTTTGGTTTGGGGGATTGTGTAATGGGGAAGATGAAGAATGGGGGATGTAGGAAGGTGTGATAGATGTATTAGTGTCGGTCAATTTTACTATTTTTGTGATAAATTGTTTCATATGGTGATTTTGTTGTTTGTTTTACTGGGATAAATTGACTCTGTCTGGGACGCATGTTAGGGGCTACTTTCATGAATCATCACCCCAGAGAATAATAATAGCGGAGATTAGCCGATCACCTCACCGGGGCAAGATGGAAAAAGAAATAATCAAGAAGGGGGGGGTGAAAGGGAACCCACTTCAATAGTGCCTCACTAGTCGCTAGTCAACCCGTGACATTACTCGCTAGTTTGCGGGAGAAAAGCGGAGTTTTCATCCCATTCAAGGTGAGACTGTAGTGGGTTGGAGAGGTACACTATTTAAGCTAGAAAGCTTGTATTGCCATGAGAATCTGGTTAGGCAGCTACTACATCATGATATCGCATAGCAGGGGGTCAATGTCAGACTGATCGGGTGATCATCGGATGACTGTTTAGAGCTGGATGTCACCCCAGGAACAGATGTAACATTTAGGATACAAAGAGAAGAGTACGAATAGGCTGAATGGCAGGCTCGATCTCAATTATCAGTCTCTTTATGAGAGTTATCAATGACAAGTTTTGTCACGGTGTGGGTTGTGCAAAATATATTTTAATTGCGACATGCCCAGCTTGATGGATTCAGCATGACGAGGGATATTATCTTGCATCGCTACTGCATACGTAGGATAGCTGAGACATCTTATATTCGTTGTAAGACAAACTCGACGTGGTACGGAGAATGGATGCTACCAGTCAGACCTGACAGGTCATTGCCCGGATCCAAGTGAGACACCTAGTTGAAGAAATCCCGAGATCCTCCTCCAAAATGGGAGCCCGGCTCGGAGTATCTGATTGGCAGAAGCAATGCTTTATTTAGCACATCATCACGTGCAAGACTAGAGGAAAATCTCGCTCCGACGTCATTGTCTATGCCTTGCAGATCGCAAGGATACTTTCTTTCATGCCGGATGCGGGCTATTCTATGCTAGTAATTCGTTCGAAGGCGGGATCATCCTTGCACTAATATCTGGTGGTGTCGAAAACACCTTATCAAACGGCCACATCGGACGACTAATGCGATGGTGTCCCAGACGTTCCAAATCCTGATCCACTCCCCCCGGGGTCAGCGCCAGCAACCAGTCGGCCGCCATGTCGAAGAGCTCTGGTTCTAGATAGCCTATCTTGACGATGACAAGCTCAGCAGACCGCGGGTTAAGGTTCAAGTCGGTAAAGTCGCGCTCATGATGATACGGCTTGCGAAGTTGCGTTAGGATCGCAAAGACCGAGCCCACTTGTAAAACTGCCTCTACCACTGCGTCTTTATCGCCGTGCTTAATTGCATGAACTCGCCCGGTCATGGTGAGAGGGCCCGCGTGGGTGTAATCCACCTCAGCCCCTGCCGTGACAGTGACTGTTGCGCCAACCCCCGCCTTGACTATGGTCTGTATCGCTTGTGGTCCGGGCAGACTGGCGTAGATGACCGTAGGACCTGACTCCTTCCTGAATTCAGGATGCGCGAGCAGCTGTGTAAGCCCCCAGGTGACGTCCCCAGATCCCCCAGCGGTGGGGTTATCGCCCGAGTCCGAGATGAAGAACGGTCGTTTCGGTGATTTCAATGCGGCATCGATACACTCTCCATATGAGCCTGTCGGACCAACAAAATGAAACTCTGCATGGACTTCCCAAAACTTCCTTGCTAGACGCTCCGCCCCTGCGGCGACGGCTTCCTCGCACGTCCCGGTCACCATCACCACGGCGCAATTGCGCGGTTCATCAGCCCAGGCATACCCAACCCAAATCGCTGCATCGATGATGCCCGGCAACGACTCAACCTTGGGTACCAGCTCGTAGAGGCTTTTAGCCGGCTCTACCCTCGTGGATGTCTGCTCGCCAGGTAATAAGATAGGAGGAGGTATCCACGCTTTCAATGGCCGATAAAATAGCCCCTCCTCCTTTTGACGCGCGAGTAGATCGACCAAATTCCGACACGCACGCTCCTTTGTCTCCGTCTCATCCTCATGCGGTGCCATTCGATAACAAGTAATCAGATCAGTCTGATGCGCCAGATCACGCGAGACATTGCCATGAAGATCCATTGACGCCGACACAATAACATCTGGTCCGATTACCCGCCGGATCCGGCGCAGCAGCTCATACTCTGCATCGTCGAGACCTTCCACACACATAGCACCATGTATATCAAACCATAATCCGTCCAGCTGTGTTGACGCGACAATGTCGGTCAATCGGGTTATGATTTCATCAGCCAATTCTTCGAAGGATTTCCGGACCACAATGCCTCCGGGTAGTGCGTGTCCGATCAGTGCCCCTCGCCAGTCTGCTGCGTTGCCCAGTTCTGTGCCGGGCTGGAGAAAGGGATATTCGTCGATGATTTCATGGGCGCGGCGGGGGTGAAATGCGGGGGCGAGTGTGCGGGCGCGGGTGAACATGGAGGTTTCGCAGGCCAGGCCGGCGATGGCGATGACGGGGCGAGGGGACATGGTGAGTGATATTGATATCCACGTCTCTGGAGCATTTGCTCGTAAGAGAGAAAGAGTGTGGGAGTTGGAATGGGGTCAATGAGCTGGTGTTGCGGCAGGGATGGAATGCGGGGATGGCCGATCGCTCTTATCACGGGCTTCCCCGCTTATCTGGAGGCTCGACTTTGGAATGACAAGACACGAAGAAATTGAGTTCTCCAATTTTTCTATTCTAAGACAAATATCCTTAACAGTATCCAGACCACCTTCCTCAGTATCTTGAAATACCCTACAAGCTATCTCTAACCAAATATCTCATCCAACCTCATACTTCCCCTTGACTAGCGTTTTGGGATATACCACCTGCTGGGTGCAGAGGCCTCGCTTCCGCTGTACTCTTTATACGTACCCCGCCCCTCCACTTTTGATAATACTAGTTCTGCATTCTGCAGCATGTAAGCTCCAATGGGACGTATCCCAGGAGTCGGTTGAGTTGACTCCCCGGCCGATTGATTATCTGGCCGGGGAGAGCATTCGTTAGGGCTGCTCTGGTGTGTTGCCCGCTGAAGTCAACGTTGAATTCTTGCTGCATCTGCGGCGGAAGAAGACTCGCTTGGCCCACTTCCACGATTCAACACCCATAAAGAAAAGAACAGCCTCGACACCCACAACACCCCACTCCCATGTGATGGGCTTGTGCTTGAACACAACATCGTTCAGACGAGGGATGTAAAGGATTGGGAACATGGTGACCCACCCAGCCATGATGGACCAGAAGAGGAACTTGTTCCGCCAAACATCGTACATCCACTGGGTAAAGTACTTCTTGGATTCCGGCTGCATGCGGAAGAATGACCGTCGCATATCGATCATCTCCCATGCCAGGAAGAGCGCAAACCAAGTCAGGCAGACAAACGTTGTAGCACGGGCTTTAAAGACCAGTTCGCAATCTTGGATCTGATCCGACCACTCCTGGTTGCACCCACGGGCTAAGTTGCCGTCACCGAAGCCCCACATTCGGACAGAAAATGCTGCCAGACAGAGCGCTGCAGTCCATAAACCATAAACCATAATGTCGATGATCACCTCCCACGTGAATATGCCTTGCTTGCTCTGGGGAGGGCGGTCCATGATATCAGGGGCGGCTACCTCCATTCCAAGGCCCATATCGGGCATACCTGAAGTGATCATAATGATCCACAGAATCTCAACCGGGGCCAAAGGGAAGACAGATTGATTGTCGGCGTCCTTGAATGCCAGTCCGATGAGAAGGGTACAGGCCTGAGCGATGTTTTCAGCCAGCAAATGCAACACGAATTTCTGAATGTTGTCAAAGATACGGCGGCCTTCTTCAACAGCGTTAAGAATGGAGGCAAAGTTGTCATCTGTAAGAATGATGTCCGACGCGTCTTTAGCCACGTCCGATCCCGCCTGTCCCATGGCGATACCCACGTCGGCATGTTTGAGGGATGGCGAATCATTCACACCATCTCCAGTCATGGCTGCGAAGCGATTGCGACGATGAAGGGCGCTGATCATGTGGACTTTGGTCTGTGGTGCGCAGCGAGCGATGACCAAAGGAAGAGTCGGCAACGCATCAATCTCTTCGTCTGAAAGTTTGTCGAACTGGCCTGCTGTCATGACCATCGCATCCGCGACGTCGGCAGCCACAGTGCTGAAATCAGAAGGGAGGATTCCCACCTGCTGGGCAATCGCCCGCGCAGTGCCCGGATGATCTCCAGTAACCATGTGGACAACGATACCTGCCCGATAGCAGGCTTGGATTGAGCCTGCCGTCTCGGGTCGCGGCGGGTCGTATAACCCGATCAGACCTAGGAAACACAAGTCCTTTTCGATACTCTCGCGTTCCAGCTCGGAGCCTTCAACTACTCGTGTCTGTTCGGTGTACGGACGATGGGCTAGTGCGAGTACTCGTAGTCCTAGCTTGGCCAGCTCTTCCATATTCTGGAAGATCAAGTCGCGGTGCTCTTCAGTCAGAGCCACGGGTGTAGAGGATTCTTGATCCCAAATGACTGATGTGCATGAATCGACCACCCTCTCGACAGCTCCTTTGGTGAAGATCATAGTGGAGTTGTCTTGATCGTCCTTCGATCCTATCTTGCTGAAGATCACAGACATCTTCTTCACTGTAGAATCAAACGGAAATTCGGCCTTCTGATGCCACAGCGCGCCTTGTCCTTTGGTCCAACGGTCACGGTTCCAATTGAATCTGGATGCAAACACCTGAATCGCGATCTCTGTAGGCTCACCTCGTGCGTTCCATTCGCCATTCTCGGATTCAAAGATGTGGGACAGGTTGGCCATCGAGGCGACATTGAGGAAGTCCTGCAGTTGCTGGTTGTCTGAGAGTAGATCCTGAACATTTGCTGCCGGAGAATCCTCATCCCCGTCACCAGATTGCAGAGGAGAAAGAGGGGCAAAGCCCACATCCCCAATGGTAGGGTTGAATGGCTCGTTGGATGTGCCAACAGAATATGTTCCACGAGATGGGATCCATGCCTTCTTGACAACCATCTTGCCTTGTGTCAACGTCCCAGTCTTATCCGAGCAGATATCAGTAACGGCACCAAGCGCCTCCAGCGAGTCAAGTTTGCGAACAATGACATTCCGCTCCACCATACGTTTGGTGCCAACTGCCATGGTGATGGTAAGTACAACTACCAAGCAGGCAGGAATCATACTGATACCGGTCGCGACTGCGTACATGATGACTTCATTGTTGCTGCTGAAAAAGTTTGCAGCCATACAGACGATAGCAAACACAACCGCGACTCCAAATAGCAAACAAGCTAGCTTAGACAACTTCCTTTGCAAGGGCGTCCCGATATTGACGCCGAGGAAGCGACCGACGGCATCTGTTCCCGTGAGGGTCCAGGCCTGGACATACCATCGCTTTTTGGTTTCTCCGTCCGGACCACGCTTGACGGGACGGCGTTTGGTGTTGCTATTGCGCAAGGCGAGGGCAATGGACCCGATTTCGGTGGACATGCCCGTGCCGACGACCACACCACGAGCACGGCCGCGGGTAACGGTGCTCGAGCTATACGCGATGTTAAGGCGGTCTCCTGGGCCCGTGTCTTCCTTGAAAGTTGTATCGCATTCCTTCTGGACAGGGAGTGATTCGCCAGTTAGGAGAGCCTCGTCGGTCTCGAAATTCACTGCTTCAACCAAGCTTTTTAATACACCAGTTAGTGGGGTCCCAGCCTGGATTATTGGAATAAGGGAGGAAAACTCACCGAATATCAGCAGGAACAGTATCTCCGGTCCTCAATTCAACCATGTCACCGGGAACAATCTCCTGCGATGGTATGGAGAAGGTCTGCCCCCCTCGTGAAACAGTGCCGGTCGGCGACGAGAGTGAATGGAGAGATTCCATGGTCTTTTCCGCGGCATACTCTTGGAAGAACCCGACGACGATATTGAGGACAATGACCGCACAGATCACCCCACCCTCGATCCACGACTGAATCCCGAAACTGACCGCCATGGCCAGAATCAACACCTGCAGCAAAGAATTGGATCAGACATCGGAATCTTGGACGCATTTCATGCCACCAAATGGAGAGTGGGCCGCTTAACTAGCATCATTGCATTCGCCACCTGACGAAGGAGAATCTTTGCGATGGAAACACTTTCGCCCTCATCCAGCTTATTGGGACCGTATTGGTCCAGGCGACGGCGAGCGTCTTCCGGAGACAAGCCATCGTCCAGTGCTGTACCCAGTTCTTTAATGACCGTCTCGTATGTTAGAGCGTGGGCTGGTCCACTTAATCCGGGGCCCCGGTCGGAAGTGGAATGTTGTTTCTCGCTTGGCATTGGAGATAGCAGGGAAGCGGTACTCAACAGGTTACGAGGATGTAGTGTGTATAGCAAAGCTCAGCGGGATATCTTTCCGCGCGGGGGAGTAGGCTATTTAAGAGATTGGGTCCCCTCTCGTGGAAGTCTCTGGATCTGGGTGCCCCAGACTCATGCTGGTCCCCAGCTCCCCATTGACTTCATTTATTGCCCCATAGGGTTGGCAGAAAGTTTGAGGGGAGGGGGCAGGTATTGGCGCCGAGACTGCCGTCTTGGCCACAGACCGCATCCCGCTCCGCAGAACACCCCGGTTGTTTGGTTGACCCAAGGTAAGATACTCTGCCAAGCCTCCCGAATCTCGACACGCAGGATTGGCTACTTGGCAGTGCGTGCAAATTGTGACACAATCGATGAGCCGAGAGCCTCGACGGAGGGTGGAGGAATCTGTGGATAGAAAGTGTAGTTGTATAGCTGTGAGCTCGAACATATATTCACGTGGAAGATATGGCTTCAAGCGTAACTATTGGATTGCCACCGAGGTCGCGGGTCATATGGTACGTATCTTGCAGCCCCCAATAGCTAAGTATCTTGTTGACCTTTTGCCGGATAATTGGATGAAACCATACGCGGTGTGGTGAACCCAATCGTTCAACAGTCCCTGAAGAAGCTGTCAGTAGTTATTCACAGTTTAACCTTCTCACAGACATGACTAACAGTAACGTAGCCAAGAATGTCTGTTTGGATCATCTTAGCCAATGCCAATCTTGCCAAGGAGAAGACAAGAAAGGTAATTACAAATAGATAGGGCACCTTCACGGTTGTCCAAAACTGGCCCGACAAAACCATTGAATTCTCGCGCGTCGCAACAGAAACAATGTACCTGACTAACATGTCTCCAATTGGGTGGAAAGGGGCAGATGTATAGCCACCAGTGCCGAGGTTCGATAAACATTCTACCACTAGGCCACCCGTCACTACCAGGTACTATTACCAGACCAGGCACATCTGATTCTGGGCAAGACGGGGATTTGGAGGGCACTGATGGCGGAGATTGGGCGACAGGCGGAAATCCACCCTTGGCACTTGGCCTTGGCTTGTAGCGGGTGGATGTCTTAACACCTTGGCATGGGTCCCATCCAGTTGAAATGTCTGTCACATGTTCAATTGCAACGACCTGGGATTCTGACAGAAAGATCAATTAGACAGTGACTGCCATGGTGGGGCCCGATCGATGCAAGAAAAATATATCACTCCACTATTGACAGCAATATGTTATTTTTTTCGCACTAGTAAATACTACTATTATGCTTTACACTACAATGTGTGGTATTTGTGTCATCTGGCGATAGAGAACACTGTATCGGTCATTGAAAGGATTATGATGATCACTTACAATACTGGTCCCATGGTTTAAGGGGAAGAGGGAAATTGATAGCATTACTATCGTCCTCTCTACTAGTACATTGAAGTTCAGTATTTAATAAGACTGAATCTGTAAACGCGATGAAACGTTCTGATATCTCTAGCGTTCTATACCTTGATCCCATATATCCTCTAGTAGTTGAAAAATTCTGTGAAGGACCGCATCATTATACCACTGGCACTTCAAGGCACCCAACACCTGTCAGTTGACATTACATACGGTTGATGGGCGCATCCGGAGCACATGCAATCAATCCACCGTCAATAACTGCTCACAGAATCCCCCAAATCCACGCGCCCGATCGTGGATGTGGATCTCCAGAATCCAGTGTCGCATGTGTCCATCACGGCCCGGAACCATCATCTTATCGCCATTTCCTTGCGCGATATATAAACTGATTTTATCATTCGGAATTCTCTCATGCGGGAACGACCCGACCAGGTGGCCTGCAATGGGAGCACCGAAATCCCATCCAGCTTGTTGGACCTCCTGGCAGGCAATGGCATACAATTCTTCCGCCGTCATATCCGGGTTTTCTCGAAACCGTCGCTTGACTGTGTGCCATATGGGGTCTAGGGCATCGCGCAGTTTCAGCTTTGCGGGGTCATCCCCAAGCACGTATGTGCGCCCGAAGTCGGCTTCCCATTCCTCGAAGACCGGACCGAGGTCCACCACCAGGATGTCGTCTGGTTGAATGATGCGATCCGGAGGGTTCTCGGCAAAGGGACTCAGGGTGTTTGGTCCGCTGCGGACAACGCGCTTATGCCAGTGGGTGCGGACTCCGTGGCGTTTGGCTCCAAGCTCATGGATCGCAGTGCTGAGAGCCTTTTCACTCACGCCGGGCCGAATCAGGTCTCGTTCAATCTCTTCGAAAAGTTGCACCGCTTTTTTCTGCGCGTCCAGAAGGTAGGCGGCGCGCTCGCTTTCAATTGATGTCGACATTCCAAGTAGAGACAACAAAGTACGAGGCCAAGTGATGGGAGTGGACAAGGGACGATTTCGAGGGGAAATGCGATGAGTCCAAGCATATGTGGGGATGGGGGGAAAGATAAGGATGACAAATGGAGCTAAGCTCACTCGGTCGCATCACGTCGAAGCGGGGTTGGCATCACCAGAGGTGGGGGACTGATTTCGAGAATATCATCACAACCACAATCTACAGTGTTAGAGTCTACATTGTAGCAACATGGACCCCTCACTTGTTGCTGACATCCCACTTACCCAAACATTCCACTATCGTACTACTACTCATCACTACGACGTGCGCTGGACTGCAATAGGTGACGCTTCCCTGCCACCATTGATCTTCGTGCATGGCACCCCGTGGTCTTCGCGAGTGTGGCACGTCTTTGCAAGATCCCTGGCTAGATATTTCCATGTCTATCTCTTTGACAACCCGGGATTCGGCGAGAGTCCACTGGGAACTCCTCTCCCAGGGAAAGAGGAAGCCATTAGCAAAGAAGTCGCCCTAGATGCGGATCTCGCACAGCAGTCGGAGGTGTTTGCTGCCCTTTACCAATCTTGGTCGAAGGACTGGCCTCGGGCGCATAAGAAGGCACATGTTGTTGCCCATGATCACGGGGGGCTGATGAGCTTACGGGCGCATCTCATCCGTTCCTGCGAGTTTGCCAGTCTGTGCTTGATTAATGTGGTTGCTTTGGGGCCATTCGGGCAGCCTCTGTTCAAATCGGTGGCGGAAAATGAACACGTCTTTACCAGTTTGACCGGGCCGATGTTCGAAGGAATGGTTGAGGCATATATTCGGAATGCGGCATACACAGAGCTGAGGAAGGAGACGATGGCAATGTTGAAGCGCCCGTGGATCATCAATGAGGAAGGCAGAAAAGGATTCATTAGACAGATGGCGCAAGCCAATAGTCGCAGTACAGAGGCAGTCGACCGGAGATACTCCGAAGTGGGCCAGGTGATGCCGGTCAGGATTATCTGGGGGACAGAAGACCAATGGATCCCGGTGGAGACGGCAGAGAGACTAAGAGCGAAGTTGAATGCCAGAGAGGTAGTGCTGATCGAAGGAGCAGGGCATCTTGTTATGTATGATCAGGAGGGAAGGTTAGGAATGGAATTGGGCTGGTGGTTGAGTGAAGTCAGCCATGCCCAGGGATAGATAATGAGGTACTGAACTCATTGTATACTTAGCATGCAATTCAGCAAACACAACAAACACCGGCCCATCATGTGACATGATCGCCAGCTGCTGGGCATCTCCACTTGGTCTCCCCCACTCTGCTACAGAAACCACGGCTCCTGTACCATCCGCTCTATTTACTAGTATATGCGGATGGGGCAACGGTCCAGATAGCCGCCATGTCAACTGAGCCCCTCTTACCGTCTTATGCTTCTGCTACTCAGCATGATGCCAGTCCCCATGTCAGACGCCATTCTGCCCGTCGACGGACCTCCCTTATCATTCCAGCGGCTCCCGTCATCCAAACCTTGAGTGGGCTCACATTCATGACAACGGCGATCATCTCCACCGTCTGGGCTTACCGAAGCTATGCCCCTCCCCCAGAGCCGGTACGTTCTTCGCTCCCATTAACATGAAAATAACCAAACAATCTCGTCTAGTCACCAGCTGAGCCGCCTTCGTTACTCCCGTATTTCGCATCGCTATGCCTCACCATCTCGCTCGGCTTCTGGGTTGGGTACTTACTTTTCATACTGTATGATGGAGCCGGCGGGCCAAGAATGCAACGCAAAGTCGTCATCGGGGCATCCACCGTAGGAAAGTTGGTTCTAGCGGGGGCTCATATAGGGGTTTGGCTGGGGTACAAATATCTTCTCACTGGCCCGAAGCAGCCAAGCTGGGCACTGATGTTCATGGCAACACAAGCATGGTGGGATGTTCTGCTGTTCGTTGTTTATTCATGTCTGAGAGCGCCAGTGGAACCACGAGTAAGATGGTGAGGTGGGTGGCACTGTTGAATCGGCTTGGCTGCTATCGAGTTTGTTTCGTGGTTTCAGTACACATACTTTCCTCCTTGAACGGCGAGTATGTTAACGATGTTCAGACGGTCGTAGATTAATGGTTCTTCCTTTCCCCAGACAGTGAGTGCCTATGACAAGTTTCTTCGGCTGCAGGGACCTTGTAAAAGACACGATGAGCTTTCCATGGTAGCTTATCTTATTTGAGCCATTTTGAAATTTAATTGCTTCCCGAAATTGCCCATGACTGCATCCTCTCTGTCTCTACTATTCTCTTTCTCGCCAAGTAGATAACCAACCGCATAGCCATGCCCGTTTGGGTTAAGGGCGCGGTGCGGCCAGAGCCGGCGGTTTCCCGAACGGGTGCCCGACTTCCTTCTGGATCATCTCTTAAGAAGCAAGCACTGGATCTCAACGAATATTTGTATGGTTACTGCTTGTGAGGTTAAAACTGCATGCTTTGATGAACTACCGTCTATGCACAAGCAAGCTTTTCTCCCTCCTGCACCGAAATTATCTCTATACTGAACCTGGCGTTTCCAGTGACGTTCCCGAACATGCAAGCTATACTTGAAGCGGTCCCTTCGCGTTATCGTGGTCCTGGTGGAGCGGTTGCCATCATTAAGGATGGTGAACTGGCTGGAAAACTTACCTGGGGATATGCGGATTTGCGGAAGCGAATCCCCATGACCTCCTCAACGCTGATGCCAATCTGCTCGATTACGAAGCAGATGTTGTGTTTGATTCTCAAGGATCTGGAGCGCAACCCCACACCAGCGATGGTGGAGCGAGGCAATATCCCCCAACAGCTGTCGGATGCCTTTCGCCAATTGGTCTCTCCCGAACTCATCGACAGCAACGGTCTTCGAATCGACCACCTCTGCAACAATCAATCGGGTATTCGAGATTATTGGGCCATGTCGATGTTTTGGGGCACACAACCAGAAGGGGAATTCAGTTTGGCGGGAGACGCCAAGAAAGCGCTTGACAGGACCAAGTCCCTCCATTTCCAACCAGGCACACAATTCTCTTACTGTAATCTCAACTTCCATATCCTTGCTCGCATCGTCGAGCAGGTTAGTGGAGCGTCTCTCGGCAAACTGCTCTCGGAACGACTCTTCTTGCCCGCTGGGATGAAAACCGCATTCCTCTGCGCAGATAACGCTGAGTTGCCTGCGCCATGCGTGGGATACGAAGGCAACGAATCCTTTGGCTATATACCGGCCGTCAACCGGACTCAGTGGTCTGGTGACGCCGGCGTCGTGGCTAGCCTGGAGGATATGATTGCGTACGAATGTTATCTGGACCAGGCGTGGGCCGATCGGGGGAGTGTGTATCGAGAAATCGCGAAAGAACCGTCATTCGATGATGGTACACCAGCCGCGTATGGATATGGCTTAGAACATATAATGTTCGGACAAACTACGACCATCGGCCATGGCGGGGCCATTCGTGGATATCGCCTTCACCGGACCCAAGTACCGTCAGAACGATTAGCCGTTGTGGTTATGCTAAATCATGAGATAGATGCCGCAGAGGTAGCTGGGCATATCCTTCAGGAAGCTCACAGTCTCCCTGCACAGCATGGTCTGCTTTCCATGCCGGTCGCAAACTGGGTGGGGTTTTACTTTGACCCGGATGCACAATTGGTAGTTGAAGTTCGCCTTGGTGGACCAGGAGAAGTCATTCTCACCTATACGGGTGACGAGGAGACACTGAAGCTCACGGAGAGATGTGAGGCCCGGTCGGACTTGGCAACTGCCACGCTGTGTTCCGATACCCTCCTACTCCACCGCAAATACGATAACCGTCATATTCAGGCTAAACGGATTACTGCGGGTCAACAGCCGACCAAGGGGGACTATGTGGGCCAATACCACTGTGCTGAAGTCGGCTCTATATTCCAGTGCAGCGGAGACGGTGGCATGCTATACGGATCGTTTAAGGGGTTCCTAGGCCACGGACCGGCTGAGCTAATGCGATACTTGGGAGATGACATATGGTTTCTCGCATGTGCACGAGGCTTGGATGCGCCAGCGCCGGGGAACTGGACAGTTGTATTTCAACGGGATGTACAGGGCGAGGTTGTCGGTGTTACGTTCGGGTGTTGGCTAGCGAGAAAGGTCACCTTTGTGAAGGACAGAACCCCCTAGAAATTGGATTAGAACTAGGGATGCATAGCTTCATGAGGGGAGGAGGAACATCGTGGTGAACATTCCACGGACACTTGCATTCTTGGAAAACATTATGTAGCTTGGAGCCTCATTATTATGGACAGGCCCTCAAATTCCAGAGTGGGCTGACGAACAGCGTGATAAAGGTATAAAGCTTGAGACCATAGTACAGTTGCCCTCGTTCAAAGTGACGGCTACTGACAGAGATCCAAACCTAACATGACTCTTATTGGAGCAAGACTACTAAACCAAAGAAACCGTATCCAGCAAGATGTGAATGTATTCGATACAGAAGCGAAGAAGCATGCCTTCCACGGTAAACAAGCGAAGAGCAAGAAATTCGAAAATTTTCAAGCCCTACCCAACTTCGCACATAGAAATCCGCCGAGAGAAGTTTCATTAGAAAGAGACCCGCCGGCATTGGACTGCAGACTCATCACAGCGCGGGGAAAGAAAGTCCGCTTCCCACGCACAAAGAACGCGCAAAATTTTACTGTCGCCACGGAGGAGAGGCGAGTCGACTCGAGTCGAGCTTGAGGTGGTGCAGCTTGGCGGGCTCTCCCGCGTGGTCCCCAAGTATGCGGGATTATTCAGAGCGATTCATTTGTTTTCTTGGGACGGCGCCTCCACCCGTCGGTCGGTCGCGAACACGGCTTGCTATCCCACGAGGTTACAGACCAGAGATAAAGGGATTTCGACTTCTTTGGGCCACAAAAATCCCGCAGTGATGGTGTCAGCACGAAGCGAAGTGAGGATGGACTAATGCAGGCTGGCAGGATGGCGAATCTGACATTTGTGCGAAGGCAACACGGGGTGCTTTCTATGACAATTTCTACACTTACCCAATTGCGTGGAGAAGCAGCCAAACAGGGACTTAGGATAGGTTCTCTACTGAATGTTGATGCACAGGTAACGAAACACGATATCAGACACCAGACAGGCACAGGTATTGTCTCAGCCACATGCTTTGAAGGGTGGATGTCTTGTTCTACGATTTTACAGGCGAGCCCCCCACGTGGAGATGCTTATTTCCGGGAATGGACCAATAGGCGACGGATGAGGGCGAGTCTATCGGCAATAGGGATCTCATCCCAAGCTTGATGCAGGAGCCATGACCCAGCACCTATGTGATCGAGTACCGTCTCACCTGTTCTCCACGTGCGAGATTTTCCAAGTTGCAGAGAAATCTCTGAGCATCAGGTTCTCTCGTGGGCTTCGGCCTGTGCGAGAAATAGGCAATCAGATGAATGTCAATACTTAGTAAGTAGCGGCCCTTGTGCGGAAGAATGCCCACAAATTGTCTGAACTGCTGTCAGCCATATGTGGGCAGTAAATGGCCTGCTACCGTAGTGTCCTTGCGCGGCTCGTGTCCTTGCCAGCTTTGCTTGACCGGAGCGATCCATGGAAGGGCAACCAGGATCCACAGGGCCAGTGAGGGATTTCCCAGAACCAGCTCCTGACAGCTGCTCCCCTGCAACTAGTAGCTAGACACTGTTAATCTCTCGTATGGCTTTGGGGGTCCGCATAATCCTTTTTGCTCTCCACAGCAGCTGAATGCGTCTGCCTGCCCGTCCTAAGACGCCGTGACACATATTTTCGCGGTCCCCTCCACGATATATGGGCAGCCATCCCACCATACCATGACTTTTTAGGACTGGTCTGGAGTTCACGATGACGGCTTGGAAGCAGATAAATAAACGGAGGGGCTTCCCTGGAGCTTGCTGTTGAAATTTCCAGCAGCAGCCTCTCCCTCTCCAATCAATCAATCTTTGACATTCGCCTTGCACAGTCGACTACACCCAGTGCATCACTGCACTCCACCGAGAGCGGCATCCGCGACTGATTTATCTCCTCTTCTCTTTCGATAAATATGACCACTCCTCCTACCTCGGCTGCGTCTGGTCAGCAGCCAGCCGACTCTTCATCTACCCACGACCTAGAGGCCGATGAAGAAACACTCAATGACCAGGTGCGAAGTACTGCTCGATCCCAGCGAATCACCTTCGACGGTCCCAATGTACAAGACGGCACTCGGTCCATATACGCTCCTGGTGATAAACGTTCCCGCAGTCGAGATACAATTCGCAGCACTCGCAGTATCCCCCAGTCCCCAACGGCAGCCGGTATACCAATCGAGTTCCGTACCCTGTCATTTCAAATCTCCGAATCCCAGGCAGCCCCAGAGCATGTGTTGAAAGAGCGAGGAAAGGAAGAGAAGAAGCCAGACCAGGACTACTTTGAGAGTCTGGACTTCCATCTGCTAGCTGCCGACCGGTTGTGCCAGCAGTTCAATGTTGACGCAAGCCGTGGCTTGAGTACGGACTCGGCATCGACTCGTCTTCAACGCGATGGGAAGAACATCATCGCACACCACGGGGAGAATTATGTGAAGAAGATCCTTGGCTATATCTTCGGCGGCTTCTGCTCGGTCCTCTGGATCGGCGTGATTATTTTCTTTATATGCTGGAAACCGCTCAGCAATCCTCCCTCAGTCACGAACTTGGCCATGGCCATCCTGGTCATCATCGTCATCATCCTGCAAGCATCATTCTCCGCCTTTCAGGATTGGTCGACATCGCGCGTGATGAAATCAATCCTGGGCCTTCTGCCTGCGGAGGCTCTCGTTCTCCGCGAAGGGAACTTGGTTAAGCTGCCAGCTACTGACCTTGTCGCGGGGGATGTCGTTCATATCTCCATTGGGAACAAAGTGCCGGCTGACATGCGCATTATCAAAAGCTCGGGCGATGTTCGATTCGATCGTTCTATCCTGACGGGAGAGTCCGATGAGGTCGAGGGTGCCACTGACGCAACCGACCAAAACTTCCTGGAGACCCGCAATATCGCCTTCATGGGCACTGGTGTCACCAACGGCAACGCTGTTGGCGTTGTTGTCCTGACTGGGAGTCGCTCCGTCATGGGTCGCTTGGCGTCCATTACAGCTGACGTAAAGGAGAAGCCTACGCTCATCCAGAAGGAGATCACGCGCTTCGTACGGATTATCGTGGTGCTCACTGTCATCCTGGCGGCAGCCATCCTATTCAGCTGGGTGGGCTGGCTGCGCGTTGACCACCCACAATTCATGAGCGTTGTTGAGATGCTGAACGATGTTATGGGCTGCGTTGTCGCCTTCATTCCCGAGGGTATGCCGGTCGGAGTTGCCCTTACCTTGATGATTGTGGCCAAGAGGATGAAGGCGAACAATATATTGCCCAAGGGACTGGCGACCGTGGAAACCCTTGGCTGCGTCAACGTGCTCTGCTCAGACAAAACCGGCACACTGACCCAGAACAAGATGTTTGTGCAGTCGGTAGGCCTCGTTGACCAGGAATTTTTTGTTGAGGATCTGGTGAACGCGCAGCAGAAATCGGTTCCCCTTCCGCAACCTCTTGAGCCCCTCTTGCGAGGCTCCAGGCTTTGCAATGATGCCTTCTTTGACCAAGAAACATTGACGTTGCCAATTGCTGATCGTATTGTTAATGGAAATGCAACCGACGCGGCTGTTCTGCGTTTGGCCGAGATGCTGAGAACAAATGGACAGACTGATCTTAATGATTACGAACGCACCCATCAGATCCCCTTCAACTCGAAAAACAAGTGGATGCTCACGGTGCACCAAAATCCGTCCTCCTCGACCCATAATCTCATCTATGTCAAAGGCGCCCCGGATGTACTTCTGCCCAAGTGTACTTCATACTGGTCCAAGGACGGCGTGGCCAAGCCTCTGGATGCAGCTGCGAAGGATATGTTCAGTGCATTCCAGCAAAAGCTCTCCCGCCGCGCCCAGCGAGTCATTGTTCTTTGCCAACGGGAATATGCACCGACTGCTGCAGTGGGCACAAACCAGTTCAACGATGAGCTGCTAGCCAATGGCGTGCAGGACCTGACAATTATCGGCATCTTTGGTATCATCGATCCTCCCCGCCCGGAAATCCCGGAAACAGTGGCAGCCTGTCGACGCGCTGACATTCGCTTCTTCATGGTGACAGGTGATTTTGGTCTGACTGCTGCGGCGATTGCACGGGACATTGGAATTTTCAGCGGAACGGCCGAGCCAGATACCGTTGCGGACCTTGTGGCATCACCGGTCGCAGTGCCTGCTGAGAAGAATGAAGAAAGATCGAGACGCAGTCTAATGGTGGAAGGGTCGCAGATCTCAACTCTGAGCGAAAACCAGTGGAATTCGATCTGCCAGTATGAGGAGATTGTCTTTGCCCGTACCACTCCGGAGCAAAAGCTGCGCATTGTTGAGGAGCTCAAGTCCCGCGACAATGTCGTGGCCGTGACAGGCGACGGAGTCAACGATGCCCCTGCCTTGCGCGCGGCTGATATCGGAATTGCTGTTGTCTCAGGCAGCGACGTTGCCATCGAAGCGGCGGACCTGGTGTTGCTCGATAAGTTCGATTCCATCGTGGAGGCTATCCGCCTGGGTCGGCTGGTATTCCAGAACCTCCAGAAGGTTATCGCTTATCTGCTGCCGGCAGGCAGTTGGTCTGAGATCTGGCCAGTGATTATGAACGTTTTCTTTGGAGTCCCGTTGCCGCTGAGTTCCTTCCTGATGATCATCATCTGTGTATTCACGGATCTGTTCTTGTCGCTGTCGCTCATCATGGAGAAGGAAGAATTCGACCTGCTTAGCCTCCCACCTCGCAACCACAAAACGGACCACCTGATCAACCTTCGGATCTACGGGCAGTCCTACCTCTTCGTCGGAGTCATAGAAGCCTTTTGCGCCCATATCATGTTCTTCCTGTACATGTACAAGAAAGCGGGCATTCCTTTCCACGCCCTGGTATTCGCATTCGAGAAATACTCGGACGGCTTCTACGGCTATACAGAGGCCGAGCTGACGAATTTCAACAATGTCGGACAGAGCGTGTACTTCGTCACGTTGGTTATCATGCAATGGGGCAATATCCTCTCCGTCCGGAGCAAGCGCATGTCCATCCTGCAGGCCGATCCTATTCGCGCTAAACGCCGGAATCCATGGCTACCTCTGGCTATGCTCGTGTCCTTGGTGATTGCTATCTTTGTGACAGAGGAGCCTGGTCTGCAATCCCTGTTTAATACCGCCTCTATCCCGTTGGAGTTTTGGTTTATTCCATTGGCTCTGGCGTTCGGCGTCCTGGTCATGGATGAGTTGCGGAAGGTGTTGGTGCGCGTGTTCCCGCGGGGACCTATCGCGAAGATTGCGTGGTGACAAGTTGGTGTTAGTCGTGCTGTTGGATTTCACTTAAGTAGAAGTATATACTCATTTATGATTACATCATTAGTTCCTCGGTGCAACGCACCGCAATATACAAAATAATAAGATTCTTCTTGTCAGTTAGCAAAGAGACGGCCGAATAAGGAATGGATCGGGAATGCCTTCCCTTTTCGGCTCTGTTATTTGCACTCTTTGCAGTTGATGCAAACCCTGCAAATTAATTCGAAGTATATCACGTGGCGGCATGTCCCCTTCCGGCCATCATGTGATATTCCTTCCTCTTGCTGCCATCACCACCACCAGGATT